TTTTTTCTCAATGTCATAATTATTATTAGTATCTGAAAAAGGGACTGGGAAAGTTATTGAAGGAGATGAATCTCCTTTAATGAACTTGGAATAATTCACGGACTTAAAGTCTCATGGTTGATTAGCATTTGTTTTTTATTTCAGGGGATGGAACACTGTTATAAATTGTTGTTGATTAGCATTTGTTCTTTATTTCACGGACTTGAAGTTTGATACTACACAGAAGAAAATGGGTTTTGGACATGGGAATACTATTATTAAAGATTGTTGGGCACTCTGTGTAGGGATTAGGGAAACATATGCTGTTATGAAACAAAGTGACAATCATTTAGAATTTTTCTCAAAGATTGTTCTTTACCATATTCTATTCAAAGGAAAACTTTTTCTTGATTCAACTGAATGCTTTTTTTCCTGCCTTCTGCAGAATGGGGATGGTAGCTTTGCAACATATGAGCTCACAAGATCTTACAGCTGGTTAGAGGTAGTCACCTTGACAATTGCATTTTCCACAACTCTGCATTTAGTGAATAATTTTTGGCATGGGATCAATAGAAGCCATGTTCTTTTATAATCTTTATCCTAATGTCAGATTGAATGTTGTTATATACATACCATGATTACTAGACCTTGTTTTGAAGCTCCTTATGTAGGTAGAGGTTGTCTTTATGTCTATGTTGGCCAAAAAGAAAGTTCTGCCCATAAGTTGGTTCGTTTGGATTTGTGTGCTATGTTTTCTGTACAATCTGTGGCAGATAATGAAGCTATTGACTATAGAACACCAGGGTCACCTGTGAACATAATGTGAGCTCCTTGCTAAACTAAATCCTTACATTGTTGGAATGATGAAGGAATACATATTTTTGGTGTTTCACCTCACATAAAGCTCTCTGAATAGAGGTTTGAGATTAACGATCGCAATTGAGCATAGGCAGTATCTCAGTCCTCAGTTTGCAAATTTGCTTGAAGAAATCATCTGTTGTATATTGCATGCTATACAGTGAATCATAACACCACCACCACTTTTTTTTTTTTTTTCCTTTTTACTTTTGCTTTTGCTTTTGCTTTGAAGTAGCAATGAACTTCTTGAATCTACTCTATCATGGCAATTGGATTATGTATCTAATTACTTGCTTTTTTTTTTTTTTTCCTGTTTTCTTTTCTTTCCTTATTTTGTTTTGTTCTTTTCACTTTGCCATTGCCAGGTAATCAACCCAGCTGAAACTTTTGGTGACATTGTTATCGATTACCCGTAAGATATCAGCACATTGAGTTATATAGCCTGCAATATTCTTGTCTGTTTAATTTCTTCATTTGAATGCTAACTATGGCATTTCTATAGATATGTCGAATGTACTTCTGCTGCAATTCAAGCATTGGTGTCATTTAAGAAATTATATCCTGGACATCGACCAGAAGAAGTAGAAAATTGTATCAGAAAGGCAACTCTGTTCATTGAAAGTATCCAGGAGAAGGATGGATCATGGTTTGCTCCTCTTCCATTAAAAACCTTTCTTTGGAGGACTAATTGATTATATAATCATTAATGTGTATCATACCTTTCTTATTTTCGGTCTATCACCTGTAAAGATTGCTTATTCAACAATGTTTTAAATGCCTAAGATATATAGTTTCATTAACTTCAACTGAAGAAATATTTAGTCCTTCAATATCTTAAATTGTTCAACAGGTATGGCTCATGGGCTGTTTGCTTCACCTATGCCACATGGTTTGGAATAAAAGGGATGGTGGCTGCTGGAAAGAACTTTAATAATAGCTCAAGCATTCGTAAAGCCTGTGATTTTTTGTTGTCCAAGCAGTGTTCTTCTGGTGGCTGGGGAGAGAGTTATCTTTCATGTCAAAACAAGGTTAGATGCTTTCACTATTAAGTACTTACTACCTTTTCTCCCACCTCTGATGCATGTCATATTTAATCATTAATGTTTCTTAAGTTCTTATGTTATAATCATATATTTTTGTTCAATTCAAGATATGTATTCATATAGTTCTTGTTTCAATATTTTTACTTTTATTTTAATTCCGTACAGGTCTATTCAAATCTTGAAGGGAACAGGGCTCATGTGGTAAATACAGGATGGGCTATGTTGTCTCTCATTGAAGCTGGGCAGGTATAGTGAATCTCACTATTTTGACATTGAATTATACAGCATCTTATTACCACTTATCATTTCATTCATGGAGCGAAATATCATGTAAAGTTTTTAAAATTGACTGGTATCATACTGGAAGTAGTTAGGATTTGGAGAAAGACAAGGAATGTCCTCTCTATTGTAATAATGTTAAATCATGTTGTCTTCTTTGATGTCTTGTATATTGTGTGTCTAACTATACATGATGGATTATATGGGAAATTTGATATTGTAATTGCATACCATGGTATTCACGTGCTAGCAAGTTCCATTTTCCCCCTCTTGTGCATGCAATTTTGTGTAATATGCTATTAAATATGCAGGCTGAGAGAGAGCCAGAGCCGTTGCACCGTGCAGCAAGATATTTGATAAATTCCCAACTGGAAAATGGAGATTTTCCGCAGCAGGTAATCCTACACCTCCTTTTTAACCACTGATTTATTTTAATGCAGCAGTGATTCTACACCTGCTCATTAACCACTTATTTATTTTAATCATAGTTTGCCAGAGTTTGTTTCTTTACTTCATATGGTCGTGTGCTTTTGCTCGTATCCCCTACCCTTGCATGTTATTGTCCTCCCGTGGTATTCATATACTCAAATCTATTCTTTTGTCCCCTCGATACAGGAAATCATGGGAGTTTTCAATAGGAATTGTATGATAACATATGCTGCCTACAGGGACATTTTCCCCATTTGGGCATTGGGAGAATACCGGTGTCGGGTGTTGCAGGCTAAGGCTTCATAAGAGTAGTACCTTATGCATTCGGTAACATTTTGAATGTTTTTGAAGCCCCTGCTTATCTCTTCCAGGCTCTATGCATCTTTCACTGCTTGGAATCGCAACCATAGGAGGGAAAAGAAGAAGCAGAAGCCATAAGTTTTGAAACAGTATGTGGTTATTTTGCAAGAGCAATCAATCAATCAATCAAAACTTCTTCCAAAAGTGGGATGGAAGAAAATAAACTTCAAAGTTCCATCTCAGGTGTAAGCTTCATGTGTGGTAGCTATTAATCACCAGAATCTAAGCCATGCAATGTATCTATGAGTAGCGGCTCTTCTATCTCGTCTCTAATTTATGCAACTTGTCTTTCGTAAACCAATCCATCCATTCCAATTACAGCCCCAGTAACTAATAACTATAATGTTATAAAGTGTTGTTGGGTTCTATGATCATCACTGTTTTAACTTTCGAGTGTGTTGGTTTGTTAACCTGAGATTGCAATCTAAAATGCCTTCAATTTGAGCATTTAAGTCATGAATAGATTCAAACCTTTCATGAATTTTAAGTCATTTATTTGAGCATGTAAGTACAATGCACTCATAGCTATCAGGCCACTGGATGTGAATGGATTCAAACCTTTCATGAATTTTAAGTCATTTAAGAATTGATTCCTCAACTTTCAATTTTTTTAAATATAGCCTTCTTATTATTTTTTAAATACGTGTTTTTAATGTGGCATCTCCGATGAGATTTCCTTTATTTTTTGTATAAACTTAATAGTTGAATTTTCATAAAAATAATAACTGCCACGTGTGTTTATATGCAAATTTTGTATAAAATTTTTTTTATGCTTACTCCATTCTAAAATTTCTTGAATTATGAGATCAAATCTAAAATTTGTTTACTTACTTAAAATACAATATTCTCAATTAAAATTAGCATTATATTATTTATCAGAATTCATCTCTCTTTGTTTTGTTTTTTTTGTTTTTTTTCCATCTTCTTCTGCTATTCTATTCTAATTTCTACATCCTTGTATTGTAGAGTAAATTGTAAATTAGTCCTTTTAATTATTTTTTTTAAAGAATTAAAAAATATTTTTAGTTTTAAAAAATAATAATTATCCTTATATTTTTAAATCTAGTTGTAACTTATTTTTTATAGTTGTTATTTAATTTTTTTTAAATAAAAAAGAAAAAACAACTAAAAAAAATATGAAACAATTGATGAGAAAAAAATATTTTATGAAATAAAATGATATCAAATTAAGTATGGTCAGCATTGATTAATGAATGAAAAGATTATTTTTTAAAAAAATAGTAATGAATTCGTTTCCATGAAATAGAAGGATTAATTTGTCATTTAATATTGGATTATATGTTTGTGTTGTATGGAATTCAAATTTGAAAAGTTTTTTAAAAAAAGAGGTGAGGTTGCAAATTGCAAAGCATATAAGGACGAAAATAGAAAACTACATTTATGGTCAGTGGCATAAATGTAATTGCATAGTTCAAACGCTCCTTAATCCAAAATTCGAAAACGCAGTACCAAGCGCGAAATTTGAAGACACTTCTGTCTCTCTCTCCCAAAGTCCAAAGAGCACGGAAAGAGAGAGAAGAAAAGGCAAAGCATCGATTTTTACAGAGGAGACAGCGACTGTGAGATTTGCTCTCTTTTTTTGGTAATTGTAATTTATTGTTTTTTTTATTATTTTTTTGAAATCTCTCTCCCTCTCCTTCTCTCTCTGTGTTTGTGGTTTTGGTTTTGAATTTCTTTCTTTTGAATCAAATGCTCTTCTTTTCTCTCTCTCTCTTTGCAGTTTCCAAGACAAGGTTAGGTGTCGTTTCACTCATTTTTTTGTTTTTTTCTCAGAAAATGGAATTTGGGTATCCATTTTTGAATTTGGAACTTGATCTTTTGGTCCCAAAAGCTTTTTTATTTTTTTTAAATTTATGGTTTAATTTTTGTTTTCTGTAATCTTCTCTGTCTAATGGTATTAGCGATTTTTTTTTTTTTTTTTTTTGTAGGGATTTTGAGGTTCATATGAGAGATTTTTTTTTAAACATTTGACAATGTAAGCTAAGTTAGGGATTTTGGAGGATTTAGTTTTGGGAATTGTGTTATCTCAAGATGAAGGCGCATTCCCAAATGAAAGCTAGAGGATCCTCGAGGGTTCATGCGCAGCAAGTAGTTTTTGAGCTTAAGCAAAAGGTGGTTCTTGCATTGAACAAGCTTGCGGATCGAGATACTTGTCAAATTGGTGTTGATGAGCTTCAGAAAATGGCGGAATGTTTAACCCCAGATGGGGTTGCTCCGTTTCTTTCGTGTATTTTGGATACCGATAAGGAGCAGAAGAGTGCGGTTAGGAAGGAGTGTGTTAGGTTGATTGGTACTTTGGTGAGTTTTCATGAGGGTTTTGTGGGACCCCATTTGAGTAAGATGGTTGCTAGTGTTGTTAAGAGGCTTAAGGATCCGGATTCGGTCGTGAGGGATGCTTGTGTGGAGACGATGGGTGTTTTGGCTTCTAAGTTGAGTAATCATGGGGATGAGGGAGATGGGGTTTTTGTTATGTTGGTCAAACCGCTTTTTGAAGCTTTGGGTGAACAGAATAAGCAGGTGCAGTCGGGTTCTGCGTTGTGCTTGGCAAGGGTCATTGATAATTCTCATGATCCTCCAGTTTCTATTCTGCAGCGAATGTTGGCTCGGACGATGAAGTTGCTCAAGAATCCACATTTCATGGCAAAACCAGCAGTAATTGAGTTGAACAGAAGTATCATTCAGGTTGTTTTCTCAACTTTGAAATTGTTGCCTGGGATTCTCTACATCATGTTCATCTAATGTTGCTGTGTTTTAGGAAACTGGCTTGACAGTTTAAATTCAATATTTGCCTATGATTACAAAATAATCAGTTGTATGAACTGTTATGCTAGTTGCATGTACTCATAGTAATTTGCAAAATGGCATTTTTCCTTTCTCTATTTCAGGCTGGAGGTGCTCCATCTCAAAATATTCTATCTGCTGCAATGGCTAGTTTCCAAGAAGCTCTCAAAAATAGTGATTGGACAACACGGAAAGCAGCTTCTGTAGCACTGGGAGAAATTGCTTCAAGTGGTGCATCCTGCTTTGGAACTTTCAGGGCTTCCTGCATCCGATCTCTTGAATCATGCCGATTTGACAAGGTTGCTGTTAATTAAGATTTATATTTCAAGATTCACATCTGATGAATTGTGTGCTTGATTACTCAAATGCTTTTTGTGTTTCTTGTAGGTGAAACCAGTTAGGGACACAGTACAGCATGCACTTCAGTACTGGAAAAGTCTTCCAGGGTCTGATACCCCTGAACCTTCTGAAACTGGATCTTCTATAAAAGGTTTTGTGTCCATGCTCATTAATTTAAAGTGTCAATAGAGTCGTGTGTTAAAATGGAGGTTTGAAATTTATGCTAGGCTGAGTTTGTTTGTAAACTGTTCTATTGATTTTGCCTTTGCAAATCTAAATGCTTTATCATATGTTTTTCATGATGCACAAATGTTTTAGCAGCAGACTTGAGGTCCCTTGCAAGATATGCTTGTCTATCCCTCTATCCTTTTGAATAATCCATGAGATAACTATTGCTCTCAGTATAGTATGCAAGAACATCACCACTGTTTGGTTGTTTAAACTTTTGCAAAGCCTGTGCTGTCTTACTTCCTCTTTACATTCTGTGAATTAATTTTCTATGAGTGCATTTCATTAAACTCCGTTACTCTGGCTGTGCAATAAATTACCATGGGTATGAGTTCCTAATTTCACAGGGTTGGGAAGATTTGCATGTATTTGACTGAAGTGACTGTTCTGCAGCCTGTAGAAATTTGCTTTGTAATATTCTTGAGAGCATTGGTGTAAAGAGCTGGAGAGAGTATCATTCTATGAACTGTGGTTGAATCTTTTACCCAATTTCTTAAAGAACAATGCAGTAGTGTCTTGAAAATTCCATGTGTGATGTGGTCATATACGCTTACAATTGTCCCATAGATGCCTCCTCTACCATGTGTTTCTGCTTTTGGATCAATTCTTTCTGTGATCCTATCTTCAACTTTATACAGAAAACTTTTATGGAGGTGACTACAGTGATGTCACAAGTGCCAGTGATGTTGTGCGGAAGGATGCCACACTGAGTAGAGTAGTTTCAGACTCGAATAAAAGAAGGATTCCTTTGTCAGCTACGAAATTATGTCAAAATTATGTGGACTCTCATCATCCCAAAGCAGAGGATTGGCATATTGAAATTGCTGTCCCAAAAAAGAATAACATTTCTTTGGCAGATCTTCAAAATGAGGAATCAGAGGGTAGTTCCATTACCAAAACTGTAGAAAGGATGAGTGCCGGTGTACTGAGTCCTCCGGATGTTAGATGTGAATATTTGCCAATGGATGACAAGCAAGACTCTTCATCTGTGTCCAACATAGTTGCTGACAACTTCGAGACCAAGTTTGTCACAGTTTCTCATGGCTTGCTTGAGAATGGCAGTTCATTCAAGTCAAGGGGTCGGAATCAGCAGTTTGCATCTGAAGGGATAAACAGTGAGGAACAAATATACTCTGCACAGATGCGAGATCGTAGGAGTCTTGACTCTACAGTTACAGAGAACAGTTTCCAAACATTGCATGGATGTTGTTCCCAGGTAGCCAGTGAAATGGCTTGCATTCGGAAGCAACTTTTGGAGCTGGAAAACAAGCAGTCGAATTTAATGGAGCTGCTACAGGTAAATAATTTTAGAATTTCTTGATGTCTTTTACAGGTATAGAGTTTATAGCTAGTTTAGAACAATGAAACATAATGTGTCGAGTAGGTATGTTCTTGTTAGCTATAATTCTATTGCTAGTGACCTCTTGCTACTTTTGTGTTTCTTTTCGCTTCCTCATTTTCTGATGATGTATTCTATTGAGGGATTGCTCAAATATTTTCTTTCTAATCAAGAGAGGGCCTAAATATTTGCCAACTGTGAAGTCTATGTGCTATTTTTAATCATTCAATTTCATTTACAGGTGTTTTCAACAGGTGTGATGGATAACTTGTCTATATTACAGTCTAAAGTGTCTGGTTTAGAACATGAAGTAGATAGAATAACTCAAGTTCTCATGCAAGAAGCGAGACGTTCTGATTCAGCTATCTCTAGGCTTATGAAGCAGAATCAAAGTGTTTCTTCTCCCAGACTTTCAACATACACTCCTAGGCCATCTGTAGATATTCGCAATAGACAACCTTCTTTGCTTTCTACAAAGAATTCTGATATATGGGAGGAAAAAACATTCAGCAGAAGCAGACCAATTAACTCTGCTAAACATGGGACAGAGATGTGGACTAATCCCTCTGTAAAGACTAGTAGGAATGCTATAGGAAAGGACATGCTGAAACGCTCTGGGCAGGGGGCACAAAGCATGGGTCAGACACGAAAAGTTGAATCTGTCTTTGCTTCAATCTCAAGTCCCAATTCTAGACAAAGCGGTCCAGAGAGCAAAAATTGCACATGGCAATGTGTGAGAGGTTTCCTATGTGAAGGCGACCTGGAGTCTGCTTATGAGGAAGCTCTTTGTTCTGGTGATGAACTTGTTCTGATTGAGCTTATTGATAGGACTGGTCCTGTACTGGACAGTTTGTCTCCCAAGACTGCTGGTGATGTTCTTAGCACTTTGGCTTCGTACTTTTTGGAGCATCAGTTTACGAACTCAATTATCCCTTGGTTGCAGCAGGCAAATACTTTAATTTCTTATTTTTTATCTTTCATTACTGTGCCTCAATTACTTTCAGTGGCTTGAAATTCATAGTAAAACCCTCTGAAATTTTCTCCTTTTAGGTGGTAGACTTGAGTGCAATCAATGGACCTGATTATCTTGTTCTCTCTGCAAAAACAAGAAGAGAATTCTTTTGTGCGATCCAGGAGGCTGTAAATATGGAATTTTCCAATCCAGCTGAGAGAAGATCTATCTCTCAACTTGCCATGAAGTTGCGTCAACTATGGGGTAAGGCAACTTGTTCATTCAGGAGTCTATTTTTTATAGGCATATTTCACCGAACTAGTATTTTTCATTTGGTTTTGAATGCTCAGTGTATGCTGGAGCAATAGTAGTTTCCAAATATCATGGCAAGCATGAAAATTTCCAAATTATGAAAATATAACAAATACTTAAACAGAATCCATGTAATTCCTTGTTGCTGTTTTGCTAATTGGTACCGGATACATAAATAGTTTTGTGTATAATTTATCTGTTAATCAAACATAATAGTTTTGCATAAAATTTATCTGTTAATCAAGGTTTAACAGCGAACTCTTGAAGAGCTATTATGTACAGAAGAGATTAATGGTCTTCTGTTGTGGCATGTGTAAACTGTAACATTTGCATTGTACAAGCACTTCTCACTTGTGGTGACCAAAATGGTATAGCACCTGCAATGTGATAAACTGTCATTTATTTATGATTCCTGGTACGGAATTTTATCAATGCTAACAATTAGATCTCGCATTTTTTTGCAGGGAAGAGTTCCTGATAGTTTTAGCCCCATCTGAAGCATGGTTTCCAATCCATTTGCTGCTTGGACGTTGGGATTCATGTGAGCAATACCGATCCTTCCACTTTGAAACTTTCCTTTCCCCAATGTGTTTAGAAGCCAAGTGTTTGTTCTGAAGCCAGATTTGATGCTGGTTGTTGCACTGCGATGTTTTCTCGTATGAGTAGTTTGCTAGTTGTTAATGCTCTTGACTGCTGTTCTAAAAACAGAAAGAAGCAGGGATTGTAGGATAACTGAAGTCCTCCAGTATGGAGATATGGTCTACCAAATTGAAATTTTGTGAAAAATAGGCCAATATGTTTGTTTTGCATATTCTCCAAAACAGCGAGAGAAATGACATATAATGGCATGGACAAGAGCTCAAAATTGAACTTACTTTCATGCACCTCCCTGTAAAAACAATGAAGTGCTCAAAATTGAGCTCAATACTGCCATTAAAAGTTACCCAGAAGGTTTTTTTTTTTTTTTTTTTCTTTTGACAGATCAATTGGTTATGATCGAGCACTAAAACTGTGCCTTAAAGGGTGAATTTATATGGAAAATTACTGAAATTTGAAAGTTTAGGTTAATTTGAGACTAAGAATGGAGCTAATGCCTTCTGTTCGGTCTTTCGAATTGCCATTAAAGCGTCAAAAACACTATTAAACCATACCGGATAATGTCTTTAATAACCTGAAGCAAGATCTGGATTATGATGCTGCCTTACCTTCTTTTAACGCAAAAATTATATTGATTATATTATACAAGTCTGAAAGATAATATGTTACTAATAGTTGCATTTGGGATGCTAAGTTCAGCCATAAAAATGAAACTGAATCTCCTGTAAGTAAAAACACGGCCATATGATTGCAACTTATAAAAGAAGAAGAGAGAAGATGATAGATTCAGCAGCATATTTGTTGAGAATTTGAAATTCCAAGAAATGGAGAATAAACTAATATTTCAAAACACCAAAATGGATAGACATTTCTTACAATTTCAACTTCCATCCATATCGGTACAAGTTCAACTCAATGCAGATGCTTTCCTGTCATTGGATTCGAAATTCCAACACGAGAAGGAGGGCTGTACAGATCACTATCAGTTGGGGGCTCACTTCTGCTCCTTACATTTTCAGGTTTGCTACTCCTTGGAGGCTCCCCTTCTCTATGATCATGACTTCTAGTTGGGTTTCTTTCTTTCTCTGAAGGAGTGAGGGGAGGAGTTTCCCCTTCTGTATGATCATGACTTCTAGCTCGGTTTCTTACCTTCTCAGAAGTGTAAGGAGAAGGTTCCCCTTCTCTATGATCATGACTTCTAGTTCGGTTTCTTTCCTTATCCGGAGTGTGAGGAGAAGGTTCCCCTTCTCTATGATCATGACTTCTAGTTCGGTTTCTTTCCTTCTCTTGAGTGTATGGAGTGCGCCTTGGCTCTTCATAAAGGGTTACACCTCTCCCACTAGTTTCAAACATGGCATCTTCATCCTTTGACTGGACACTCTCAAGTAATTCAACCACCTGGTTCATGAGGGGTCTCCCTTTCGGATTTTGGCTAAGGCATTGGTATGCCAAATTCGCTACTTTCATTGCAACTCTGGATGGGTACTGCCCTTCCAGTCTGAGATCTAAGATTCTCAGAACCTTCTTATTGTGGTTCAAGAGAGGGCGGGCCCACTCAACAAGGTTGTGTTCTCGGCTAGGCCTGCTCTTGTCCAATGCTCTCCTTCCAAGAAGCAACTCAAGTAACACTACCCCAAACCCATAAACATCACTTCGAGCCGTTAAATGCCCTGCTCAGAAAAATTATATAAGCTTAGTTCAAAGATGTATTCTTATCAATCATCTCAGTTGAACATTAAATAGATTGTCAATATTTACTTTCCTATTACAAACTACTTCCTGTTTTCAGTACCAAATACAAACATCTTTCCTAAAAAAGAGTAATGAGTGATGGAGTCATGGACTAATGAGGAAGAGCTTTGAAAAATAGAAAATATCTACGCCTATCAATCTATCTGCAATCAATCACTGTTTATTCACCATGAGAGAAAAGGAGAAAGTACGAGAATTTGAACCAGTTAAATCCAATTCAAATTTTCTAATGCAAAAAATGCTGCATAAAGATGAAAAGCTTGAAACGTTTATCCAATACCAATACAACATTTATAACTATGTTTTATCTCTTTGCTTTGGGATAGAGAATAGAGATTCTTCAGAATTTCAAAATTACCCCCATAAATGGAATGATTATTGCAATATGTCACCAAACACTTACCAGTCATTACATATTCAGGAGCAGCATATCCATATGTCCCCATCACACGTGTTGACACATGAGTCTGATCTCCCATTGGTCCGTCTTTTGCAAGTCCAAAATCTGAAAGTTTTGCATTAAAATCCTGCATATTATCATCACAATTTCAGTAACAGAACTACCAAAAACTTCCTCAAGCATATGCAGTGACTTCGTGAAGACTAACTAATGCACTTTATTTCATAAATGATACTTGCCAAGAAAAAAATTCTACAACTTCAGCATGAATGAGACATGGATCATTTTTATTCTTTTCACCAGCTTCAAAGGAAACAACAATGTTAATTTAACAATGTACCACTAGAAGTAAGACAGATTTTCAGCAAGATAAGGTCCAGCTGGCCAGTTATTTGAATTTCAAAAGGAGGAAACAGCACCATTCCCCAGGAGGAAGGTGAACTTGTTTAATAACTAACAACTAATGAAGCAAAGATAGCTAACCGAATCCAGCAAGATGTTTGATGTCTTGAAATCACGGTATATGATAGATCTTTCTGCACCATGAAGAAAAGCAAGTCCTTTTGCAGCATCTAAAGCAATCTTCATTCTTTTTGACCACGTCAAAGTACAACCGACTCCTAACAAATAAGTCGAAAAAAAATAAAAACATATATCTTCTTCTGAAGAAAGAGGATAATCTTCCGTGCTTTAAAATCATCGAGAATATCATAAAATAAACTACATTGAAGACAGTACAATCTAGTCCTAATACAATGTTAAATCCACCTGAATAAAATGTTCCTTTGTTTTTCTTTTCCTGTTGGTTGCTAAACACACCTTGACTATCTAATAAATTATAGACAACATGAACCATGAGATCAAACAAATCAGACCTTTATTGCTTAAAGTTTGTGACTTTACATATTTCCAACTGGAAAACATAAACGCAGCTATGCTCATACAATCAACAGTGTAAGCTACACAAACATCCTAATAGCTTTTACATAGTTATTTTATAGATAGTTATGTAAAAGTTCAGATCAATCATATGCTTCAAAATTCAATAATTCTATGCTACTGAATAAGATTCCTCACTAAACTGTACACAAAACTTCACTCCCTATAAGCACAATAAATTCAAATTTTCAACAGCTACTTACTGCGAAAAAGATGCTTTTCCAGGCTCCCACTTGCCATGTATTCATAGACCAACAGCCTGTGCTCATCTTCACAGCAATACCCAATGAGCTTCACAAGATTTTGGTGACTGAGTTGACCTAAATAGTTGACTTCTGCCTGCAAACCAAACAGGATACTATAAATGAAAGCAACTAAATGCCATCTTTAACAGAATAGTTTACACAAGAAAAGCAAGTTTAGTTTTTTGCCCAATGGCAAACCAACATTGTCAAATTGTAATCACTATCCGATCTCCTTCCCTCAAAAAATAATGGGCATTCTCAGGAAATTGACATATACATCTTGTTCACTGATATCCCCATCCCCGTTCTAACTAATAGAAGATTTCTCACATCCCACTAGGCAAATTCATTTCTTGAGTGCAGTGAAATATGATATAAGATTCCAGTCTCTTTTCATTCTCAATTCTCAATTACATCAATATGAGTTATTATCCTCCAGACACAAATCAATAGATACATAACTAAGTCTCCCAAATAAACCTACTGAAATATGTCTTATCCAAACTAAATGAAAGTTAAGTCGACTCAGTACAGACCATTATGGATGGCAAATATGAAACCAAATTTGATAATTAGTACCATTATAACTTACAAAATAAATAAACATTCTGAAAAAGTATAAAATGGTGAATACCAGCCATTCTCTGTCACCTTGTAACCCATCAGGGTTAAGCTCCTTAATGGCAACATATGTGGTATTGTAACCAAGCCTTACACTCTCATCTATGACTCCTTTATAAACAACTCCGAATCCACCCTCACCAAGAATATAATCTGGCCGGAAATGCTTCGTGGCCAGCGTCATTTCCTCGTATGTAAAGATATCAACATTAACATAACCAGGACTATTACGTAGATCTGTAACATTCTTGGGAATTGATGGAATACTACTTGCTCTTTTGATCTCAACGGACTCCAAAACATTTGATCTAGTTGGAGACTGATCGTAGTCATGCCCTGCATCTTCAGAGGAACAATTATTAATAAGCTACTGCACATTCACCTACTACACCCACAAATCAACAAACCCTAACCCTTTTGGGGAAAAAAGGACAATTTGAGTAACATTTAACAAGTTAGAAACTTCTTGCGTGTTGTAAAGCTAATAATAAGAGTCCCAAATTAACAGAATATATCAACAATCTACATTACTTAATTTCCTAAATGCCAAACTCACATTAATTCAAGCATTTATTAAACTACATACAAACACTTTTTAAGTTTACAATAAATAAATCCACTTCACTAAAATGCTCCATTTTCGTTAAGAACATGAAAGGCATAAAAACAAAACAAAAATCCAAATGAAACCAATTTCCTCAACTATGCCGGAGAAAATCAATGCATAAAGTTATCAAAAGGCAATAAACACAAAATACAAAAAGAACATAGACAAATACTAAAAAGGTGTTGACTTTAAAAGTAGTACCTTGGTTTCCCTTAGAAGATAACTGCTGTTGTTCTTGTGAAATTTTGTCATTATCAGTACTGAAACAAATCCCCATTAATCTTGACCTTAGACCAAATCTTAACTTATTGCCTTTCATCTTCCCATTTACTGCATACAAACCCCACCCACATTAGCCTCCTTCCCCACCAAAAATATAAATAAATGAAAAATCTCTTCTTTGTTGCTGTAACAAAAACCAAAGAAATGACAAATGGGTCTTGATCTGATCTGGGATCACTCAAATCTCAAAAGGGTCACCAAGAAATGCAGGATTTTGTCACGAAACAAACAGGAACAGAACCTACAAGTTGTAAAAATCAACGGACAACAAGGATAAAAGGTTAGAGAGAGAGAGAGAGAGAGAGAGAGAGAAGATAGTTTCTATGTGTTTCTTAAGAGAGAGAAAAGAGAATGATTGGTAATGAAATATTGAGTTCGGAGATGTCTTGTAAGAATAGCCGCCAAAAACGCCAAAGCAAGCGGGCCCCATTTGGCAGGACCCATCTTTTTAATCCCTAAATTACTCTCTTTATTTTTAATGCAACATCCCTCCTAATATTAATTAATTATACACTAATTTTGCCATTAAATTTCCATGTTTGAGGAGCATTTCTTTCTCCTTCCATATATGCCAAGAAATTCAATCACTGTGTTTTTTCCTTTTCATCTCATAAGAATTTATTAAATTTCTCTATATACATTACATGATAATACATCTTTAAAATTGTTTTTTTTAAAAAAAAACTTAATTTTAAACCATGTAAAAAATTAAAAATTAAAAACAAAATCGATTACTATGTTTTCTTGTTGGAGGCACATCAACTTGGGAGATTCCCACCTAGGATGCTTGACCTCAGCTTTCAATGCAAAATTTGAAAAGCATTCATCAATGGTCACGTTTCACATCGTATGGTATGATCATGGAGGAGACTTTGATTTTCTTTTACGGAATAAAATCTGAAGACTTCTATCTTGGAAGTTTGGAGTACTCAACTCTTTGTCTTTTGCTCTTTTGTTTACAAACAAAAGAAAGAACACTATACATCACTATCAAAATAATGGGGGTTTTTTTTATTTAGTTTTTCTTCTGTTTTTTTTTTTTTTAATGATTCCAGAAGAGTTTTTTAGACGTGTTTCTTAAAATTTTATATAAATTCAAAGTATTGATATTTAAAAAAAATTACCACTCAAATCACCGATATATATATATATAATATATATAAGGAGATTTTGATAATTATTCCAAAATTTTGAGATGGAAATTATAATAAAAATATACTAAAAGATATTAAGATAAAGATTTTGAGAGATGAAATTTTAGGATGCAATTAATCTGTAAAACTTATTATTTAATTAATGAATGTATATAGTAACTGCTATTTACTATTGTTATTTTGAATAAATTATTAGTCACTAATCTTTTTTTCTTATCTAGTAATTAAAAAAATATTATTAAATAAAAACAACTGTAAAAAATATGTTGCATCATGCATCATGCTTCATGTTTGTTAATAGATTTAAACTAAAAATCTATGATAGAAAAAAAAATGAAATAAGGGTTATTAACAAAGCCTTTAAAACTTTACGTGGGCCAAAAGAGTGAAAATCAAATGGGCTCTAATGGGCCAAATTTGACCCATAAAAACCCTAACAAGGATCTTTTTTCCTGTTATTTGCTCCACTCTCTGGAAGTCTGAAAATTTACCCTCTTCTTCAATGGCAGACGAAGCCAACAGAACTGTAATTCCTCCTATTCAAATCCCTCTCTCTTTCTTTCTTTCAAAGTTTCAATGTTTTGGCATCTGGGTTTCTTCTGTATATGATAAATAGACTGATAAAAACTCATTATAAGATCAAAGTTGTCAACTTTTTTGAGTATTTAATTTGATTTGATTGTTGTTTTCCTGTTTTAAAAAAAAAAAAAACAGGCTTTTTTAGAGCTTCAAGGTCGCATGATTGAGACCACCTCAAAATTCAAGCAGGTAACTTGGATTTATTCGCTTTTTTTTTTTTTTTTTTTTTGTACTTGGGTTTGATTGAATTTATTGTAGGAAGGTTTGGTGCAATTTATAAGCCATTTTCCTGTTGGATTTGAAAGGGTATTCTTTCAACTGCAACTTAATACTTTAAAAATGATAACTTGTTTATTTGGTATCACATCTAACTAAAATTGAATAGTCCATGACCTAATTTAGTGGATGCAGCACATCAAGTTGCATTGCTTGTATCTGTACTAAATTTAGTATGTAGGTTTATAAGTGCGATCATTTGTTCTGGATTTGTTGTTTTCTTTGGTATTTAGGGTATACATCAGTGATGTTTATATAAAAGATGCTTGGTTTAATAGCGAATTCCTGTGTCATTTATATGTCTTTGTAAAAAGATTAGTTAACACCGGAATGAAGTGAGTAATCCCTTTGTTTTTTAGGTCCAGAACCAGATACGAACCAAGGAGGGAGAAAAGAAGCGTGCTTTCTTAACCTTGGAGGAGCTGCGGCAAGTTCCTGACGATACAAATACATACAAATCTATAGGTATGTTGGCAGACATTTCCTGTATTACAGGCAAGCATTCGTATATTGTGGCTGGGGTCGCATCTTTAATTGAGAATGTGAATGTATTTGTGTGATGTCCTGTGGTTTCTTATTTCTATATTGATCATGGGCTGGTTTCTTTTGATTATATGTGCTTTTCTTTATCTGCGGATGAGTTGCTGATTTGATGTTCATCGCTTTGTTGTTTTGCAGGGAGAACGTGAGTAGTGCATAACTCAAACAAATTAAACTGAATCGTGATTTATGGGTTGTTTGAATGGATGGATGGCAGGTGTTATGAACTCATCCTTTTTTATCATATGGTGGTCAGGTTTGTCTTGGAGCCAAAGTCAGTTTTAATGAGTGAACAAGAGAAGAAACTCAAGGATAGTGAGACTGCAATATCCTCACTACAGGTAAATCTCTCTCCCCACTCTTCTCTCTCTCACACACAGATACACAGACTTTTGTGTTAAAGTAACCATTTCTTTTCTATGGATTTATGTGCAAACCAACTCCATTGCCACCTTGCGTTGGACTCAGTTCTGTTTCTCCTTTCTTCTGTTGAATTTTCCCAATCTATTTTAGAGCTGCTGTATGTTAAAATTATTATGTGAATTGACTTTCTTATCGGCTCATCTTATATTCAATACATGTGTGCTACTGTAGTATATTTTCCCCTCTTGCATTACAATTTTCTAGCCATGAATTATACATTCTACGTTTTAATTTCCAATTATAAATACCTGTGAATGTTTGCTGCTGATCTGCAGCTGAACCATAGCGAGTTATCTCAGTTATGCTGGAGTTTTATGCTTGGTCTAGCTTGTACTATCATCTTTTCAAATGTGTTTTTCTATTGAATTTATTTAACTTGCTGGTAAATTGTAAAAGTTATTTCCCTTCACGTATGCAAAAATCTTTCTGCATGGCTTTAAATAAATCAAAAGAAGATTAAGATATGCAGTTGCTATGTAAAGTTGGAGTTTCAATCTACAAGTGGCACAATGAAAACTTAGAAGGCTAGTTGCACAGTTTGAAGAAGTTATTCATCTGGCCATGTTAGATTGTACCCATGGAAATAGCAATCTAAGCTGTGCATAGTTACCAATCTATCCGCTGCTTGGTTTGGTTTGTATTCGTACCATCCTTTGCTGTAGTTTTCTAAAACTTTTGCAAATAACATTTGAAGCAGTACCCTTTGATTAATCTAGTCTTAAAACATAATAGATTTTTCTTCCATGAGAATTTAGTGGAAATGATCCCGTTTGCTATCCTTTGGACAGACCTCAAAGGAATACTTGGAAAAGCAGATGTCAGAGGTTGAGAACAACCTGAGGGAACTTCTGCAGCAAGATCCAGGTCTTGCTCGTCAGATAATGTCCATGAGTGTAATGTAAATCTCTATCTGTTACTCAAATATTCACATTAAAAGACGTTCCGTTTCTCACTTGAAAGGATCGTAAGAAAAATATTTGTGCAATTCCTAGCTTTTGTTGTCATGTAATTTTGTTTACCAAGATTTGTTCTGTTGCATGGTTGTATGTTTGCAAAGTTTTATTGGTCTCATAAGAACACTGCTCCATCCATCATTTTTTCTTTATAGCAGAAGTGCGCAATGATTCACCACAATGAAACCATCCTTATTTTGTCAAACCTCCATTGCTTCTGATATTAAAGCAATCTAGCTGCCCATTCACATCGCAACCGCCAGAAATTTTTATGTAATTCACCTGGCCTTGACATGCTACAAACCAGCAATAGAACTGTGTGGTTTCCCAGAAATTGGAACAAAAATCCGAAGTGTAATGGCCATCAAAAGGGAGTACTATTTGTTCATGAAGGTCATCATTTTTAGATTTGCAATGGATGATAATGTTCAACCCTGAACCTGACTGGTTAGTGATGTTTAAATGTGTTAGGGTTCGAAAACAAAAGGAATCACACGTAGTTAGGATTGGTAACAAGGATGACAGTAGCAGATGACATGTCTAGTGATCAAGGGAGTAATGTCTGTAGTATTTTTTCTGTTTATTTTGGATTTTAATGTTTCGTTAGGATCAGTAACTACTAGCTTAATACCCTCTCGTTGTCGCGGATAAGTTTATCATATCTATGTTTTAATATTTTAAATAATTTAAAAATAAAAATATAAAATAAAATTTAATTAATGCTCATTGTAAAAAAATTATTTAAGTTAATATTATATATATAATTGAATTGAAATATTTCTTAGGAATATTTTTTATTTTGATAGATAAAAAATATATGCAATTAACTAATTATTTTTAAAAAATCCAATTAGAAGGTCAAGTGAAAGTCATTTGCAACAAGTAAATTTCTTATATCTTGAAAAAAAAAAACATGAATTAAATTTATAAAACCTGACATCTATTTATAGTTTGGTCGAATTAAAAACATATATATATTCATGACCACTTCAAACATCTAACAAACACTATCAATATCGATCAATATAAAGATATTGTTATATTGATAAATATAAATATCAATAGAACAAAGTAACATTTTATGGCTAATTTTTTATTAAGAAAAACCCTTAATTAGGCACTAGATCACAAGTTGATGAAATAAATAAACCAGGAAATTAACCAAAACCAGAAAGAACAATAAAAGAAAAGAAGACAATTAAAGTAATTCAAGCTCTGCACTATATTATTATCTTAATTTTTCAGTTGATCAAGTTTTCCCTCCTGGCTACCTAGAAGTTTAAGCTTTGTGAGGATGAAGACGAACTGGAAGTCCCTTTTCAGGGATTGGAAGTGGATCGACTACAATCTTTTCATCTTGAATCAACGTATCAAATTTGAACCTTTTGACCAAATCATGCATGAAAACAAGTATTTCCAATCGAGCATACTCTTTGACCAATCGTGCATGAAACCATTGAAATGAAATCACTGATGGCTTCCCTAAAAGCACCTTGAAGTGGTGGTGAAATCCTCATCACTTCACAAGCTACATTCCATGAATATTTCATCTTTTTAGTGTCATCCCAAGTCAATAATTCACCAGCTGCAGCTTTGGATTTAGCTATCTCCACTTGTTCTATGACAATAAGTAATTAAATAAAAAAATAAAATAGTATTAATTAAGCCCATAGTATTGACCTCAATATTCATAACCATGAAGATTATATGGAGGACTAAATAAGGAATATTGTCCATAATTCCTCAAGCTAGATACCTTTTTTGGTCAATGCTATATCCTGTCTCTTTGTCTAATAAAGGCATATGATTTCGACATGCACTAAGGAAGATAAAGAGAATTTTCCAAAACTTCATTATATATATATATATATGTATGTATGTATGTATGTATGTATATGTATATCTGATTAAGAAACTAAACATCTTCTTCTTCTTCTTCTTCTTCTTCTTTCCTTATGGGAATGATTAAGAAATTATTATAACATAATAATTTTGCGACATCATTTTTTATTCATAAATTATAAATTATATTACAATATACAGCTAAAAGAATTACAGAATTTTAGTTCATATCTAGTACAGGGTTGATGAGGTGAGAATATCTCTTATATTTTTTACTTACATTTCAAAACGTTAGCAATAAGAATATCTACCTTTAATGTAACGTTTTCCACTGGGCCACTGGGCCAATAACTTGCAAACAAAGAAACCTCCAATTCCTTAATGTTGATATATAAAAACACTTACCCTTGTAAACTCCATCATAGATGTACGGGAGCTCAGCAAGATACTTGACAACGAAGGTACAAACAGCACTAGCTGTATCACGTCCCCCAATCAACAATCCAAGAATCTTATCAGCAATATCAAGCTCGTTCATTAATTTTCCATTTTCTTCACATGCCAACAACATGTGTGACAATATATCCTTAGTGGAGGATGCTTTTCCCTCCGCAAGGTCCTTTCTTTGCCGAATAATAGCTAGAAGCTCAGTTCTGATTAAATTCGAGGCTTTGATGGCACGGTTAAATGGAGTTCCAGGCAGGTCAATGGGGATGGAAATGACACCAGACGCTAAAAGCTCCAAAGGGTCAGAAAATTTAGCTATCTGGGTTGAATCTTCAAGACTCACAAACAATCTAAAAGCCAACCACAAGATGTAATTCTTCGACAAAGGAAACACTACAACTTGTTCTTTATTTTCCCATCCTGAGGCAAAATGTTTCTGTGCGATGGTATCCATGATACCAATATATCTTTGCAAGGCCTCAGGTTTCAAGAATCGAGGGAGCAATTTTCTCATCCTCTTGGCTTCCTCTGTAGATGATGTCTGGAGGGAAGAGGGAAAGATTTTGTTCACCGAGTCGGGCCACCATCCTACAAAAAAGCTTGTTCTCATTGGAAAACAAAGAACTTGTTGCCAGCAGCACCACAAAAAACTGCTGCAGGTTGGCCAAGAAGATTCGTTTTGAAAATTTCAGATGAGAATTTAGCTATGCGATCAAAGAAGAACTTTTCAGGATGGCATTTCCATCCTGCGGACAATAACTCAAAGCTCTCTCCCACATAGGGAAAGCCTAGCTTGCCTGGAGGGAGATTGGGATAATTGTGCTGGGATCTATGACTGTGAAAGATGAAAAAGAGGGAAATGTTACTGATGAAGGAAACAAAGAGGACAATTAAGGAGGAGGGTGAGGAAGAGATGCTCCATTGATTCGGTGGGCACTGAGCACGTAGTTGTGCAAGGTGATGGTCAGTTTGTGTTGCAAAATTATGAGCACTTGTTTGATTTATTTATAGGCACAATAAGATTTGAATTATTAATTTGGTCCATTTTATCATTAATTTATTGGTTTTTGGACAAATTATGTTCTTTCATATATCCGATTGAACAGTTAATACTAATGATTAAACTTTCACCATTAAATATAAAACTTAATGCAACATATTTTTGAAAAAAATTCTCTCACACGTAAAACTATTTAAAAAAAATTATTAAAACCTCTCTGCATATACTAAAGAGATTTTTAAAAACGAAGGGTTGTTCATTGTTTGCCTTTTTTAAAGATATTTTTAAAAAAAAATTAGTTTTTTGAAAAAAAAATAATCAAAACAATGCCATATTATTCTTTCCGTTAATAGTTGAAGTTTGATGGTCAATCTTAACAGGTTAAATATTAGGAAAAAAAAAACATAATTTGTTCAAAAAATAATAGTTTGAAAATAAAATAAATTAAATTGATAGTACAAGTTTTATTTTGTCACAACTCTAATACTATTAGAAGGAAATATATGCCATTAAATCGAAAATAATCTCTCTACTTTTTTAGCCTATATCTATTTTTTCTTAAAATTTGAGTCTAATAAAAAAATTGATACTATAGGGAAAATCTCCAATTTTAAGTGTTCGGATATTCCCATGAGACAATTTAATGAAATTTATATATGGTGCTTTGTGCTCCATTGGTGGTGCCTAAGCAAATTTGTTTAGATTTTTCATTCTACGTTGAATTGAAAATAAATATATATTTTTTTAAGTTAAAAATAAGAATGTCTTCGAATCAATTTTCACGTGTTTCAAAATTAATCTCTTTTTAAGCATGGCTAAAAAGCACCACTCAACATACGGTTTTGGATAAAATAAATATTAATTATTCATTACCATCTTTTGTATTCTTTTACAAACACCATCTTTTGGGGTGTTTATGTGTAGGCTTGATTTTCGAAATGAACTACGAAAAAACTGATGAAAGGATAAATATATTTATTTATCTTTATGTAATTCTAAAAATCTTTTATATGTCATTAAGTTTTTAATTATATCTCATTTATTTTTAAAATATATCAAGTAGCCAAATAAAACATTTTTTAGCCAAAATATCCTTAATTGAAATGTAAAAAGAAAAAAAAATCTAAGAACTTCAAAAATCAAACAAGCAGGTCATGTGACTTTAAATGTTTTTGTTCTTAATCTTATTTTCACATCTTAATAAAAAAAAATTCATAGTCAAAAAATTTGATCACAGGGCAGATTTACATTTCAAACAAATGAGATGCAATTAAGGGATAAGTGTGTATATTTACCCAAAGATGCAGTGCTGGACTGTCCAAATTCTTCCTAGCAAGAACTCAATCATAGTGGCCATTTAGTTGAATTTGAGATGTCATCTTCTTGCAAGTCCAAAATCCATGACTTCATTTGGTGGGTTTTGAGAGTTCAATTTAGTGCTGATAGTTTTTATTTTCAGGGGTTACTCGTCCTGTTTAAATGTCTTCCTTTGGACATATGTTGTCTATAATTTTCCTTGGTCAGGCAACTCCAGATATGGCTGTCACTCTGCTTGAAATTGCAAGGATCTTCGCTCCTAAGGTTCCCAGGAAAGATTGATCCTGATGTGTTGCAACTATTGTGGAAAGTGGGATTCCATTTAACCCGTGATCTCACTGATACTTTTTGCATTTTTTTTTTCTTTGTTTTTGGTTTCCAATGTCCATTTTGAATTTTGTCTTGTTGTATCTGCTCTTTGCATGTCCAGTAACTTAGGAATTGACTCCAACTTGTTTGATGTTAGTCTGCTTAACTTTTTGAAGACACTAATGTTAACTGATGACTGTCTCTTCCATTTCCAGAAATGCCATGTTGGTCCTGATGGGAAGCACACAGCAATGGAAGCAGTCACACCATAGTCCTTGACCTATCGCCACAACAGCCTGGGATGATGTTGGGATTTACTTCAGTGGACATTGATATCAACAAATTAGGGTTGATTCTGTACTTCTCTTCTATTGTTGTTTTCTTCACTCCTCCTCTGTTTTCCAGTACTGAAATCTCTGTTTTTTTTTTTTTGGTAGAAACGTAAAGATAAAGATATGTCTATTTTTTTTAATAAGAAAATAAAAATATCAGATATCTCCAATATTCATGTAATTTCTCACCATCTTTTCCTCCTCAATTGCTTCAGTAATTTGGTAAGAAAGCACACAAGGTTGACCATGAAACGGGTGAATTTAATTTAATGATCAATCTTTTGGGTTAAGTGTTGGATAAAAAAATTGAAAGTGCTCTTAATATAATATATAAGATAATATGTGCTATATGAACCAACATATAATTGGGATTAAAATGATGTAAATCTTTCTGAAGTCTGCATTCTACCAAACCGATACTAATTGACTTTAGTCAATGTTATAGTTTGAGGAAAATAAACTACTTTTGGGAGTGGGATTATGTACTTAAACAAATGATACTCATGATGTTGCATTTAGGTGGATGTGTAAGAAGAATATTTCTAATTCGTCGGATTAAATATTTGATTATCATCATTAAAAAAATTCTTTCTCCCTTTGTATGATATTAGACTTGGATTGTTGATAGGTTTAAAAAAATTCGATTTTTAGAATTGATGAAAGACTGGATATGATTCATATTAAATAACCATCTCAATTAAAAAATTTAAACTCGTTGGTGAAGCTTTATGCATGAATGGTTTTATATTATTCTCTAAAATACGTTTTTAAATAAAAACTTTTAGAATTTGAAATTTATAAAGACTCACCATTATTTTATGTTCAATTATTTAATTTTAATAAGAAACAATAAAGGTAGTTAAATTCAAAGATTTTAACTGTTGGTGAGGCTTTATGCATGAATAGTTTTATATTATTTTCTAAAACACTTTTTTAAATAAAAGTTTTTTGAACTTGAAATTCATATAGACTCACCATTATTTTATGCTTAATTATTTAATTTTAATAAGAAACACTAGAGATAGTAAAATTCAAATTCGTGACCATTTAGTAATCATTATTTTGATACCACAAAATAAGGAGAAGGCTGGTTGGGAAGAAACAAGAAAAGATGTTACCCTTGAAGAGAAATTGCTTTGATACCTTATAAAAAAACATTTCAACTTAAAAATTTAAATTATTGAGTTAATTTCAAAAATGATTGTATATATTTCTCTTTATAATCAACTGGAAATGAAATGAAAGACATGAGGTGATAATAAAACAAAAAGAAAAAAAAATGAAATTCTAAGTTAATCAAGACAAATACATTTCCTTAATGGAAATTAAATTTTATTTGTAATTAATTTAATAGTATATATATAATTATGAGGAGGTCACTTTAGGTTGATTAAATTAATTAATGTGGAAATTATTATTTTTAACATATTGTTATAAGCTGACTTTTTTTTTAATCAAATTTAAACCATGTATGCATAAAGCCAAGATTGATAGATAGCTAAGTATATACTATTGACTTCTTCTTCATGAATTTAATTGTCGTCTGTCGATCCAACCTAACTTACAAAATAAATATATACTATTAAATTAAACCATGTATGCATAAAAAATAAATACTTGACTTTGCAGGTCGTCTACCGTCCAATCACCCAATTCAAAATTCAACCTTCCTAAAGCTATTTTCTAATTATTTTTTTTACAAGATTGACTGATATCCTAGATTGATAGATAAGTATATACTATTGACTTCTTCTTCATTAATTTAATTGTCGTCTGTCGATCCAACCTAACTTACAAAATAAATATATATATTGTTTCTTTATAAAATGACAAGTGCTAGCTGCTGCTGATCACTTCTTCCATTATTATGATTAATTTCTCAGTAGTATTGTCTATATATAGTTGGTGAATTCTGTGTCAAATATTTCTGGTTGGTCAGTATATATTGCCAATCCTTTATGCCTTTTTTTTATATATAATTAATTTGTGGTCCGTATATATATATATATATATATATATATATATAGACCGAGCATCCATCCATTGGATATGTGCTTGATTTAAATTTGTAATCCTAGCCATCTCAGTGTTAATTTATAGCTAAAACACAGCAAATTATATACCTAATATTTGTAAATGCAAAGAGGAATGACAATCTGAAAAACCAAAGATTTTTTTAAAAATTAATTCATCATATATATTTTTATTTTTTATTATTATTTACTAATGGATTTCGTACACCATCATGGTGGCTTTAGCCAATTTGAAGCTCTTGAGACTGCAAAGAATATTAACTATGTTAATTACTTTCCTATTAATATATAATTTTTTTTTTAATCTATCAGCATGTATAAACGGGGATCAGTTGTTTCGAGAAATTTTATGGTGTTAAAGAAGATAGGAGAGATAGAATTGAAACTAAAGAAAAGAAAAGAAAAGTTTAGATGCTTTGAATGTAATTTTTTATCTTATTTTTATATTTATCTTTCTCCGTAAAGTGAATTGTTACAAAAAAAAAAAATTTATGTCATCAGTCTATAATTAAAGCACAAAGTTGTATTTTTTTATATAATAAACGTCGTCGTCAAGAATATCCAAAAGATAAATCATCGTAGTCTCAGAAGCAATTAATTTAAGCTAGATGTTTTTGTGGCCAATTAGTTTATACTGAAAGTGACGTCGTCCAACCTATGGTATTTTGGTAAGGAAACACAGAATTAGGTTGACATTAATTAGTGTTAACTGAAAGTGACGATTAGTTTCCACATGCATGCAATATGACACTTCTGAGTTTTAATTAATTTAATGATCTGGTCGTGGGATAAGGAAATTGAACGACGTCGTAATTAGTTAGTTAACACGCTATTCGAACCAACATAATTCGACGAAAAACTTCATTTCAATTAAAACCTTGTATTTGTATAAAATCCGAAAATTAAATTTTGCATAAATTAATAATTTTCAAAATTCAACTCTGTATTCATTTTAATTAAAACAATTCGATTCAATTGTTAATTACAAAAATTAATGAAACACAATTTTAACTACTTGCTCCACTTAAAATTCGACTCATCGAGAGAATCCTTTGATGATCATATGGAAAAATTAGAAATACAAAAATTTATAAATCTTTTGGTTTATTTTATTTATTTTAATTCTTTTAAAAATTAAAGCCAAACATCTTAAAAGTTGGGATGCACATAGATAGTATTTTCTAATTCATCAAAAAATTTTATTTTATTTTATTTTATTTTACAATTAAGGATAGTTGGATTGAATTGCCTAAATATAGCAATTATAAAGTTAAATTTATAAAATTATTTACATAAGGTTCAATCCACTAATTTGACGCAAACATAGGGTCTCTAAATTGAATTTTTCCTAATTTGATTATTAAAATAATGTCAATCTTTCTAAAGTCATGCTACCAAACCGTTATTATGCAGCATGTTAAATCCAATTTAATTCAGTTTCTTAATAACATAAAATATTAAAAATGTAATTAAGATTAATTGTAGTTTATATTTTAAAGTTAATTTGATTCATTTTCCTACAAATTGGATTGAGAGATTAATTATTTTGTGTACTGCGCTTCGATCATCGTTTATTTTGTTTTCGTTACAAAATCCTCCAAAAAAAAACCCCGCAACACTAATTTGGTACAAATATATAGCATTAAAATTGAATTTTTCCTAATTTGATTATTAAAATAACTCAGCCTTTCTAAAGTCATATGCCACCAAACCGTTCTTGGCTTTGGTCAGTAAGAGGAAGTTAATTAAATCATATATTTTTTAATGGAAGTATTAAAAAAAGAAAAGCATATGGATTTGATTGGTGCCAGGTCTGAGGAGATATACTTAAGAATAATCATGCAAGCAGGGGGTCCAATTGGGTTTGGTCTAAAATAATTGATTAGTGACTTTTTAGAAGGAATTACAACCTCAAAGATTTTATAGATGAAATTGATGGTGACTTCTCACTTATCTGTGCAAAGACTTCAGATCGAGTTGACTTCTTCATACTAAAAACCCAGCTAATTAGTTAATTAATCACAAATTTCGTACCCTAAATCTTCATAATTTAAATGCTAATCAGCAATGCTTTGAATTGGACCTAATTTCTTATACAGTTGGTTTATTCCTCTATGGAAAATTGTGCTTCCCTAACTAATTAACTGCGTAGTTTCAACTTGTCCAAGCTAAATAATTATATAAAAAATTAATCTCTCTCATTGGTTTTTATCGTTATTTCATAAAAAAAAAAAACATACATTTAACGATTCACTTGTAATCCAATATATATATATTGCTTAATCTATCAGCATATGTATAAATGGGATCAGTTGTATAGTAAAATTTTACGGTATTAAAAGAGATAGGAGAGAGATAATTGAAAAAAGAAAAAAGAGTTAAAAAATAGTTTTATCTCTTATGATGGTATGGATGTAATTTTTTTTTTTATCTTTTTTCTTAAAGTGAACCATTATTAAATCGGCAAATTAAATTCTATATAAATAATTTTTGAAATTCACAATTTTAACTGCTTGCTCTACTTAAAATTCGACTTATTAGAGAATCATTTGATAGTCATATGGAAAAATTAGAAATACAAAAATTTATAAATCTTTGGTTTATTTTAATTCTTTTAAAAATTAAAGCCAAACATCTAAACGTCCAAGTCAAAGTTGTGATGCACATAGATGATATTTTCTAATTCATCAAGTTTTAATATAACAAATGGATTTTTTTTTAAAGCATAGTTGATTGAATTGCCTAAATATAACAATTATAAATTTAAATTTATAAAATTATTTACATAAGATTCAATCTGCTAATTTGACGCAAACATAGGGTCTCTAAATTGAAATTTTACTAATTTGATTATTAAAATAATGTCAGTCTTTCTAAAGTCATGCTACCAAACCGTTCTTGACTTTGGTCAATGGGAGGAAATTAATTAAATTATATATTTTTGTATGGAAGTATTTAAATCAAAGATATGTTTTTGATTTGGAAGCAAGCAATTAATGGATACCTTGGCTTCAAAGTTATATATATATATATATATATATATATATATATATATATATATATATATATATATATATCCTACAAATTAATTAAGGGAAAAGGTCAAACTACAAATGCCAATCAACAATGTTTTGAATTGCACCAAATTTCTTAGTAGGTTTAATCCTTTTATGGAAAATTGTGCTCTCCTAACTAACTACCTACGTATTTTCAGCTTGTCCTGTTAAAAGCTTATCTTAATCAAAAAGTTTAAGTCGACGGACGAAGTTATTACTTTATATTTAATTAATCAAAAGAGAAGACAAATAATGAAACTTGAATTCTCGATCATTTAGTTATCAAATCTTTGATACTTTGTCAAAAAAATTAATTAATCAAAAGAAAAAAATGATGATGAGATTTGAACTCGTGATCAATTGATCATCAAATCTCCGATATCTTGTCAAAAAAACCATTTTAATTCAAAAATTGAAGGAGCTGAGTGAGACCTTAAGAAAGGTTTTATATTGCTCTTTAACATGTCCAAGCTATATAATTATATAAAAAATTCATCTCTTGTTGGTTTTCATCATTGTTTCATAAAAATTAAAAAAAAAAAAAATCTTATAGCTAATAGTTCATTTTTAATCTTTTATATTGTTTAATATTCTTATATTTATTTGATTTGAAATAGTCTCTCTACCAAAACTAATTCTAAATATTTTTTTTAAAAAAAACATACATTTAAAGGTTCATTTGTAATCCAATTTTCATTATAGAATCTCTTTAATAAAAAAAGAAAAAGAAAAGAAAAGAAACGAAAAGAAGGCCATGCAAGTTGAGGTCACAAAAACAACGTCATGACAATTGAAAGACCGTATTTCCTTGTCCAGTCATCTTTATCTACCTTTTTTCTTTCTTTCTTTTTCATAAACCAAATGGAAAGCCACTTGGAGAAGAAAGAAGAAGATACATAGAAACCTAGCTCGTCAATCATGGTCGCTCTCGTGTTCCACGATAATAGAATCTCTTGATTTCTCACTAGCTAGTTTCTTTTAATCGATAGGTCTAAGTATTGCTAGCTATAAAATTGAGATTAAAATAACGTAAATCTTTCTGAAGTCTGCATTCTACCAAGCCGATACTAATTGACTCTAGTCAATGTTATAGTTTGAGGGAAATAAACTACTTTTGAGAGCGGAATTAAGTAGTTAAACAAATGGGACTAATTGACTCTAGTCTTTTGTATGACACGAGACATGGACCTTTGATGGGTTTGCAAAAATTCGATTTTTAAAATCAATCAAAACTAGGCGTGATTCGTGCCAAACGACTATCTCAATTAAAAAAAAAAAAAATTTAAGTTGTCGGTGAGGCTCCTTCGATGAATAGTTTTATATTATTCTATGACATATTTCTTCAAGTAAAAATTTTTTGAGCTTGAAACTTGTACGGACTCACTATTACTTTATATTTAATTATTTAATTTCAAAAACAAAAAATATAAGTGACGAGATTCGGATTCATATTCATTTGGTCATTAAAGTTCTAATACTATAAAATAATGAGACGGTTGATTAAAAAGAAACGAGAGAAAGATGTTATCCTAAAAGAGAAATTATTCGATATCATGTTAAAAAATCATTTCAATCTTAATGTTTAAGCTATAGAGTGAGTTTTAAAAAATAATTTTATATTATTTTCTAACAATTTGACTCTTACCTAATTCCTAATTCCTAATTTAGAGAATAATAGACTTAATCTGAATTGATTAAGTCTGGCTTGAGAGACCCCAATATATATATCTATAAACATTAAATAATAATAATAATAAAAAGGACTCTAGCAGGAACTCCATTAATTAATGGAGTTAATTTGCTCTAAAATCTGTGACCATATAGAAGGAATTAACAACGTAATCAAAGATTTACATGGATTTGACTTCTCACTTCGTTACACACGAGAATTCAAATTGTATGATCCAACAGCTGAAAATGACCATGAAGTTGATGGCATAAACGTCCAGTCGGCCTAAAAGACGCACTTCCTGATGCTCTTAATTTATTAATCGCAACTCTTAAACCAATATCTTTTAATCTATAGTTTCTTGATTTACCAAATATACCCAAAATAAATAAATAAATAAATAAACTGCTCAATATATTATATTTTTTAATTCACATATTCAAAAGTCTTAATAGAATTAATTTTTTAAGATTAAAATCTATAATTTTTTATTATAAAAAACCACTGCCATGTGTTTGGTATAAAATTTTTAAATTGCAAACTTGCATGTTTGGTTTAAAATTTCTTTGGAGTAGAAAGTTGCTAGAATGGATATCTCTATTGACTGAATAAATAAAAATATGTGTGAATTTTTTCATTAAAGAATCGGAAAAAAAAAAAAAAAAGAAGAAGAAGCTGTGCTTGATTTGTAAACTAGTTAACGTCAGCAAAAATTGATGAGGTCATGAAAACGACGTCGTAACAATTGAAAGACCTTATTTCCTTGTCTAACCGGTCTAATCATCTTTAACGTTCTTTCTTTCTTTTTATAAACCAAATTAAGGGTAAGCCACTTGGAGAAGAAAGAAGAAGATAGCTGGATAGAAACCTAGCTGGTCAATCATGATCAACCGTGTTTCGCAATAGTAGAATCTGTTGATTTCTCACTTGTTTCCTTGGCAAAAGATGGGATCCTTCTTCTTCCATACCATGATCACTTTCCTTGAAATACCTGCTTCTTCTTCTTCTTTTTCTTTTTTCTAATGAGAAAACCCTTCTTTTTTTTTTTCGTAATGAGAGTCGTGTTTAGTCGTCTTGTCTTGACCTGCCTAACAATGGAGTGGAATTGGTAAGGTGTGAATTTGGGAATTAGTACTCAAGTTTAACATGGGAAGATATATATATATATATATATATATATATATATTGGTACTTTATGGGAGCATTATTTGCTTAATTTCCTGCTTTTTATGTCAAGCTTTTTAATTTATGCATAATATTATGATAATTGAGGTTGAACTATTAATTATTTGCATTTTGTGTTTTTACCGATTCATCAATAAAGTCCTTCTATTATCATTTTCAGTCAATTGTGTACTTTTATTTTTTTATTTTTAATTTCAACTAATTAAGTGTGAGAATCGTAGAGGCCAGGTGGATGATGAAATTAAGATGAATAAAAGAGAATTTGATGATAATGACTAAGTAATAATAATAAATAAAATCTATCCAATTGGCTGAATAAATTTTTAAATTTGAAAAACTATAATTATCTAGCTGAAATTTGATAGACACGCATTCAATTGATCAAATTGATAGTATAAGGACTTTTTAATGAATTGGTAAAAAAGCAAGGTGTAAATAATGGGTTTAACTAAGATAATTCAGTACTACTATGTAATTTGGTACAATATCCACCAAGCTTCCTAAGCTTCAAACAAAAAAAGAAAGAAAAAAAAATCAAGTGTCTAATCTTTTTTTTTTTTTATAAAATTTTTAAGTTAAACTATTATAATTAATCATACAATTTCCACAAACAAATCTTATACTTAATTAGCTTGCAATTATATTATGTGATTAAAAACGAATCACACACAAATTATGTGAATAATTCTAATGATTTAGTCTAAAAATCTTCATAAAAATATATTAAAAAATTGACCTATATTCAATGATAAACTCAACTCAATTAACAATATAATAAAAAATTTTAAAAAATATTTTATTATATAAAAATAGATTCAACTATTAACTCTTTTTTTTTTTTCATCTTATAAAAAATTAATAGATGAAGAAAAGAGGGGAAAAAAAAATCTTGTTGCCATGGAAGTAGAAATTAAGAAACGAAGACTCCATGAGAATTAATTATAATAGGAATCTCTCAAGCAAATGGTTAGATTAGGTGAGTTGGATTTGGCCAACTCTTACACAAGTCGTGATGGCACAAATTGGTGATATCACATATTGTGAATTTTCCCTTTCTTTTTCTTTTTGTTTTTTAATAGAAAGTCACATGTAAATCACTTAAATTATGCAATTTTGGATTGATTTTTCCTTTTTTCCTTTGAGAATAATGATTTGATTGATTGATTGATTAAGATTGCTTCTGCATTCATTCATAGTAGTACTATTATAGTACTGATGAAATTTCATTGCCTCCTATGTTGAATGAATGCAAATATATATATATATATTTCATTAAATTGTCTCATGGAATATCAGAATAATTAAAATTGGAGATTTTTCCTATATTTTTAAATTTTAGCTTCAAATTTTAAGAAAAATTAGATAAAGGCTTACAAATTAGAGAGATTATTTTCCCCTTGTATATCCCAACAACAGCTAAGTCCTCCTGTTAAAACAAGAAAAAACATATATGTATATATATATATATATATATATTTTTGAAACCCTATCTATCAAAATCATGTACAATTTATTTATTTTTTAATTGACATCCTATTTTTTTATCTAATTTAATAATTTTATTTTTATGTTGTTTTTGTTTCAAATCCTATTGTGTTATTTTAATATTAAATATAAATTATTACTAGATTTTTTTTTTTGAAATTGACCGATGATTAGATATAATTCAATACTGATCTAATTTAAGAACTAATGAATTTAATATCGTTGGTACAATTCGGAAATATTTTGCTGCATGTAAGAATTAAAAACTTAAACAAATAAATAAATAATGTAATTAGATCAGTATCACTGGCGGCTTTGTTTGACTTAGCGGAGACCCAAACGAGGTCTGGGAGCAGCGCCCGGCCCCACTAATTCATTACTGCGACTACTTTCTTTCATTTGGATGACCAAGACACGGAAACACAAATTTCCACATTTCCACTCACTTTTTATTCTAAACCTAAATCGAGTAATTTTTTAATACACCCAGATAAGACATATACAGGAGTTATTTATGAACTTATAACTCATTTTAAAAAGAGAGGTAAACATAAAAAAGAGAGAAAGAGAGAAATAAAAGAGATAAAATAAAAAAATTTGAGCGAGACGTGAAAATCTTCTTATCATTTTTTATGGGTATCGAAGTAATTTCATTATTTTTTATTTGTCTATCTCTTTCCTCAGAGAGATTCATGTACTAACTATTATACATGTCATTAATTACTCTTGATGTATTATAAAATTTCTCACCTAAATCCGCTTTATCTCTAAAACATTAATTTACATCGATACCTTTTCTTTAATCTCTAAACCAACCCCAAAAAAACCATCATAGTTCTTATTCTCCCAATCATTAAAAAAAAAAAAAACAGAAAAAAGTATTTTTTATTTATTTATTTGATGGTTAGAGGTACCTTTGTTTAGCTTACACGTTAATTGAAACTTATTTTTTTTCTAATAAATTTTAAAATTATACTTATTATATAACGTATTTAAAAAAATAATTTTTTTTATCCAACGATGAAAGGCATTTTTAGTTTAATTTATACGTCAATAAAATTTAAGTTATCTTTCTATACAATCTTAAAAATATATTTAAATTCTCGTTTTAATGTATTAAATTATTTTTTTGAAATGCCAACTTCAAAATTTAAATTCGAAAAAAATGATCAATGATATAAAATATAAACACTGCATTATGTATATATAGTTTAGTATGGATGGAATTGATTGTATATAGACTCTCGTAGTATAGTAGGGAAGGTTTTTTTTTTTTTTTCCTTAGTGTAATGCCTTTGTTATTATATATATATATTTTTTTATAATTTTTTTTAGATATTTCTATTTCACATTGAAAACAACATCAATCATGTTCGGAATAAAACTATAAGATTTAACTGCTGCCAATTACGTTGTTTTTGCATTTTTTTTAGTAAAGTTAATAATAATTACTGTCCCAAACCTAACGTCCCCTCCCACTAAAACCATGCAATATTTTCCTATAAATAGATCAAACATGGGCTCATAGTTCTGCACCACAAACTCATCACTTTGCACAACTGGGAAGACGCCCACAGAATCAATGGAACATCTTTTCCTCACCCTCCTCCTCTTCTTTGTCTCCTTCATCACTATTTCCCTCTTTTTCATCTTTTACAGTCATAGATCCCAGCACAATTATCCCAACCTCCCTCCAGGCAAGCTAGGCTTTCCATATGTAGGAGAGAGCTTAGAGTTCTTGTCCGCTGGATGGAATGGCCATCCTGAAAATTTCATCTTTGATCGCATAGCTAAATACTCATCTGAAATTTTCAAAACAAATCTTCTTGGCCAACCTGCAGCAGTTTTTGGTGGTGCTGCTGGCAACAAGTTCTTGTTCTCCAACGAGAACAAGCTCGTTGTAGCGTGGTGGCCCGACTCGGTTAACAAAATCTTTCCCTCTTCGCTCCAGACATCATCTAAAGAGGAAGCCAAGAGGATGAGAAAATTGCTCCCTCAATTCTTGAAACCTGAGGCCTTGCAAAGATATATTGGTATCATGGATACCATCGCACAGAAACATTTTGCCTCAGGATGGGAAAATAAAGAGCAAGTTGTAGTGTTTCCTTTGGCAAAGAATTACACCTTTTGGTTGGCTTGTAGATTGTTTGTGAGTCTTGAAGATCCAACCCACATAGCTAAATTTTCTGACCCTTTTGAGCTTTTAGCCTCTGGTATCATTTCCATCCCCATTGACCTGCCTGGAACTCCATTTAACCGTGCCATCAAAGCCTCAAACTTCATCAGAACTGAGCTTGTAGCTATTATTAGGCAAAGAAAGAAGGATCTTGCAGAGGGAAAAGCATCCGCCACAAAGGATATATTGTCACACATGTTGTTGGCATGTGATGAAAATGGAAAATTCATGAACGAGCTTGATATTGCTGATAAGATTCTCGGATTGTTGATTGGTGGACATGATACAGCTAGTGCTGCTTGCACCTTCATTGTCAAGTATCTTGCTGAGCTCCCACATATCTATGATGCAGTTTACAAGGGTAAGTGTTAACGTATATAACTATGATGAAGTTTTGGAAATTTCTTTCTAACTTTCTTAGTGCTTGTCGAAATCATATGTCTTTATTATGCAAAGAGACAGGACGTAGTATTCACTAAAAAAGTTATCTAGCTTGAATAATTACGGACAATAATCGCTATTTATTCCACCATATAGTCTTCATGGTTATGAATATCGAGATGAATACAATAGACTTAATACCTTTTTTTTAATTATTTTTTTAATTACTTGTGATAGAACAAATGGAGATAGCTAAATCCAAAGCTGCTGGTGAATTATTGAATTGGGAGGACATTAAAAAGATGAAATATTCATGGAATGTAGCTTGTGAAGTGATGAGGATTTCGCCGCCACTTCAAGGTGCTTTTAGGGAAGCTATCAATGATTTCATTTTCAATGGTTTCACAATTCCAAAGGGTTGGAAGGTAAATATTTCTTCATTGTAATCACGTTCCTTTTTTCTTTTTTGACCACTTTGTATTCTTTTTTCAAGAACCTAACATGAAATTTCATTTAAAACATGTGTAACTAGTTATATTGGAGCACCAACTCAACCCACAAAAGTCCTGTATACTTCCCTGAGCCTGAGAAATTTGATCCTACAAGATTTGAAGGGAATGGACCGGCTCCTTACACATTTGTGCCGTTTGGTGGAGGACCTAGGATGTGTCCCGGAAAGGAGTATGCTCGATTGGAAATACTTGTTTTCATGCATAATTTGGTCAAAAGGTTCAAATTTGATAAGCTGATCCAAGATGAGAAGATTGTAGTTAATCCACTTCCAATCCCTGAAAAGGGACTTCCAGTTCGTCTTCATCCTCACAAAGCTTTAGACTAATTAAGAGGAGGGAAAACATCATCGATTGATAAAGATCATACATAATACAGTGCAAATTAAGCTTGGATTACAGATATATATATAGTTGTCTTCTTTTCTTTTATTAATGTTCTTTCTGGTTTAATTAGGTTTCCTTTATGTATACTGCCTAAGGCATTTTATAAAAATTTAGCCATGACTTTCTTGTTATCCCTCACCTCGCTTGTACAATATATGACTTTAATTTGATGAATGGTCTAGATCGATGCCACTTTTCCTAAATTTTTAATTCATTTTTCAATTTTTAATTAACATCTCTCTCGAAGTGAGTTATTTTTCATTTAAAATCAAGTCTTATTTATTTATTTATTTATTAATTTTCGTAATATTCCAACCATAAAATAATAAACAATTTGTTGCAGATGACTCTCATGCATGTGGCCATTAGAAAATTTTTTTTGTGTTTTTAAAGGAGGCTAAATGATTATTTACCCTTTAAATTTAACATTCCAACCATGTTTCATTCGACATAAAGTTTTTCTATTAGTTTTTGTAGAATAAATTATTAAACAGTCTTTTTTTTTTTTTAATTTTAAGAACCAATTATTTAATTCATTGACTAGTGTTAACTATACTTAATTTAATATCACTTTATTTCAAAAAATATCACCTTCTTTCATAACCCCTTCATATTTTTTACTTTTTTTTCCTCCTTTTCAATTTCTTAAGAAAAAAAAAAGGGATTTATCAAGAAATTACAACCATTAAAATTCGAATTTCACTTCATTAAAAAAGCCATTAAATCACCAGACTAAAATTGAAGAAATTGTTGCAGATGACTCTCATGCACGTGGCCATTAGAAGAAAAAAAAAAGTGTTTTTAAAGGAGGCTAGATGATTATTTACCCTTTAAATTTAACATTCCAACCATGTTTCATTTGAAATAAAGTTTTTCTGTTAGTTTTTGTAGAATAAATTATTAAACATTCTTTTTTTTTTTTTTTTTTTTTAAGAACTAATTGTTAACTATACTTAATTTAATATCACTTTATTTCAAAAAATATCATCTTCTTTCATAATCCCTTCATATTTTTTACTTTTTTTTTCTCCTTTTCAATTTCTTGAAAAAAAAAGAAGCAAAAAGGGTTGAGTTATAAGTAAATTTAAAAAACATAGGTACTAAATAATTATTTTTTAAAAGCAAAAAAGATTAATTAATTCGTATCTCAAAACTAGAACTAATTTCACTAATATCAAATCATTAACAGTGGTTGCTTTGGACATGACATTTGCATATGTAATGGCTGTCCAGATAAAGGGCTTCTTCCATGCTATATAATTTCATCAGCCCAATGAGACCAGAATTCTAATGTTCATATAGATCATTATCCATGCCAAAATTATGAAAAATACCTATCCAATTCTATAAAAAAATTATATATTTTTACAGGTGTTGGTAGATCCATATCCATTTACACTCTCGTGCATGCCCTCTGCAAGCACAGAAGATAGAGAGTTTCCCCGTTAGATAAGCAAAAGAGTGAATATTGAAAACTATTATTAGTTACCAAGCAAGAGATTAATCAATCATACGCTAAGAAGAGATTGATGGCACAAAAAAAAAAAAAAAAAAAAATGAAGCCGAAACTGTATTCACTTCGCTCGAAAGAATGTGCAGCATCAAAACGTTCTACAACCTAAAATACACAAACAAGTATGTATATGATACACACAATAATTACAAACAGAAAACAAGCGGGGACAACTCTCCGATAAACTCGCTTTCGAAAATTTGGGTAGACTTGCATTTTACGGGGGAATATGTGAAAAGAAAAAAAATTTCAAGTTCAATAAGCAACAAGTTGTGCAAAGCTCCAGCACACCAAATGAAACTCCGGCGAGGCATCTTCGACTATCATGAAATGGAAGGATAAAGTGGCAGAAAACTTTGGCAACATTCATGAGACTTAATGGCACCAGCTCGGTGCATAAGAGATTTGATTCCTTCCAGGTTCATCTGCATTTAACTCTGATTGACATACAGAACTGGAACGAGTCCGGCCATTTTGCCATCCCTACCAGGGCGTTTCTTCTTGACCTGGAATAGGTGGTGAATAAAAAGACGTTAGCCACTTACATGATGTATGTTTGTGCTTAAACATTTGCCTTCCTTTTGGGTAGGCTAATTACCCACCAAGAGAGATTTTTCAACTTGGTTGACAGGAGATCAAAAAAGTTTACATTTTGATTCAACCATAATCAACCAAAAAAAAAAAAGTGATAGCTATCTAATTACTGGAAGTAGAAAAGTTCAAAAAGAATTTTGCTTATTTTAGTTTCAACTATTTATGTATACTTACATAAAACCATCCATCAACTTCGTACTCAATTTCAACCTCTTCTCCTGCTGTTAAACTCAACTGCAAGAAAATCCATAATTAATCATCTGTGTTTGGACTAAAATGAAAATGAACTTACCAATTACGGTTTCATGCATAAAACCTATCTCAATTTCCTACAGAAAGTAAAATCATGCTGAAAAATCAGAAAGTCTTGCGTTCTTGAATTAGGAACCAGCATTCTAATTACAATGACCAGAAAGTTAACTAAGAGTCAACTAACCTCATCATCTCCACCTGCACTGAAGTCATAGAGTGCAGATCCAAATTGCGGAGTTGCAGATGATGGTCGTTCTGATTCCTGAGATTCAAAACTCAGGGACCCACGCCCAGCTAAGGGGTTCTCAAATGACCTATCAGGTGATGTGTATGGTGGGGGCTCTTCCCGAATCTGAAAAGGATTGGGAGTATTAAAGCCACAGCTGATTTAAATGCATAATAATTAGTAAAAAAGAGGCCATGACCCTCACCGGAGAACCTACACCCTCATAATAGGATGAAGTAGCGCTATACCTGCTTCCTCCTGACCTCTCCTGTTATAAACAACTTAAGTGCATTAATATATGCACCAATAGGCATGCAAAGAGATCAGAGACACCAAGTCAAATGCTTTGGAGGATTTGTTTTTCTTCTGATAACAAAAGGACCATTTCAATTTTCTTCTACCATCGTCAAATCCATTACCCAGCAAGCAATCAAAACTAAGAAAGACATCATAGTGGAAGAAAACTAAAATTGAGTTTTTTAATCAAGAAGCTTTCTTTTTCTCTTTATATGAGAGCTTACACCCGGAATATGTGAAAGTAGGTTACCAATTTATGGTACCCGAATGCTTCTTTAGTCACATTCAAATAAACTAGGGATAATAATTCTTTTAACCAACCATACATGTAGAAATTAGGGATAATACTTATTCATGACAGTTATCAGCATCTTTACTCAAGCAACCATTTGCGAATAACAACATGGTTTACACCCACACAAATTGAATATGAGCACATGACTATTAAAAGAATGGGTCCAGGCATTATGCTTCAACAAAAAATGGCACAGCATTACCAATCAGCGTTCCCAATGAAAGTGATACAATGACAAGATGTCAAAGGAGAAAAGTTCCAGATTTTCTTCTATTGAAATGATAAGAATTTTAGTACTAGTTCAATTCTTTCAAACATTTACCGATATTTGTGATGCTCCATAACTTGTGGGCCGAGAACTGAACAATGATGGGTAGTTCATTCCACCAAAGTGGGATGATATTGAAGTTTCAACTGACCCAATTGAGTCTGGGGATGATGACCCAGATGACCTTCCATCCTCTTCCTGCAAATTCATTGGAGCATAATTGTGAGTAGGATCATTTTTAAAGGACCACACTGGTCATATATACAATACCAAGCTCCAAATGTATTGTATGCCATTCAAACGACAAAAAAAAAAAAAAAAAAAATTGTAAATTCATACCTGCTCTGAAGACTCCAAAAGGGTCTTTGCCCACATATCATCATAACTAACTGAAGGTCTAGATATTATATTTTCCTCTTCAACATCTGGAGCGTCAGTTCCCATACCAGCAAGAAATTCATTGACCTAGCATGAAGTAGATAAACTCAAATTAAAAGGGGTGCAGACTGCAGATCAATCTATGCCAGATCATATCAAACAACTTGAACATTCATTTGCCATTAGAATCCACATGTAGAAACAAGTGCATGATCAGCTTAACAATCATTGGCAAAGATTCATGAACTGCTTCAATTTGGAATCTACGTTGCCACTGAACAATTTCACTTCTCCCCACAAAAGATCGGATTGTATTTCTAATTTGATTTTAAGGGAAATTACAACAACAACATTCTTGAGCAACAAATTACCCCAGTGGAACAGATTAAGCAACAAGGGGCAAACCACAGGAGTAAGAGATAACTAGTACACTATGCTGGAGCTCTGATGCAAAAGATTAAACTAGAACTTGGCAATGCCTATACAGCACAAAAAGACAACCAGCATTATGTATGATTGATGCCAGACTTTCCTAATACTATAAATCAAATAGAACGCTGTTGGACTTCGCTCAGAGGACCCCACAAATAAGATTCGTTGGAGCCTTTTATTACATGCTTTATTTGGAGGAAGGGATTGCCAAGGTGTCTTAGGATAACTTATTTCAGTTGAGTTATTGGAGTCTGAAAATATTTGATATTCATAGATCACCAACACTTATTCTGTCGTGGAAAGATTTGAGTTTAGCATTCTACATCTGTCATTTAGTTCATCTCCAAATACATATTGAAAGAAACAAACTTTCTTACCCTACTCATTGCAGGTGCACTATTTCCCAATAAACCATCATCACCAAGGTTTGCTGCCCAAGCATTCACGAGGTCATCATCAAGTGCATCAGACTCAACTGGGGCTGGTTTTGTTGACTCATAAATTAGGTCAGAAATTCCAGTGGCAACAGCTGGATCACTTAAACCAGTCGATGCACTTATGTTGTGCTTTGTGCGATAGACATCAATAAGTTTAGCACTGTCATTAAATTTCAATCAAAACCACAAACATCATAAATGACATAGAAAAAAGGCAAAAGCATCATACATGAATCAATGGCATCACAATGACAAAGCAAACCCCTGCAGGCTTCGGCAAAATAAAATCAGAGATTTTCAGTAAAGTCATTCAACACTTTAAATAGTTCAATCCCAAAGCATGATCATGAAGGGGAATGGTGGTAAGTTAGAACACTTTGGTACATGTAATGCAAGTGATGTTGTCACCCTAAAATGATTGGTGCAGTTCATATAAATAGTAATTTATGATAGTAATTAAAATGGCCAATTCCTTCTTTGGTGTCAAGGTAATAAATAGCTATGAATAGCCATTACCTCCTGGGAAAGGGTAGAAGAATGAGACCTATTATTTACATGCACTAAATCATGGCTTCTCACCTCTTCTTTCCTGATGAAACACACCAGTAAAGTCAAAAGAAAATCATTCTTGTCAATAAATATGTACCTTATTGGCCCCAGAGGTAGATACTTTGCTCTTGGAACATAACAAAACAATGAAACCAGATCTAACAATCTCTCATGCGTTTCATAAAGTTTCTTCAGTTCTTCATCTGTCCATTCTTTATTTGCATTGTCATGGTGTCTTATATCTCTGAAACATGGTGAAATTGAACAAGTGTTAATGGGAAAAAAAAGACAGAAAAGGGTGGAAAGCTTCAGTTCTTACTTGATCAGTTCATCCTGCGCTCTATACATTTCATCAAGGACCTTTACCATGGGACTTATTAAGACTCCAAGGCCTGTACCGCTAGCTCCTTGATCTTCCCCATTACTAAGATGCATTTCGGATAACTGAGACTGCACTCCACCCTGTGCTAAAGCATTTAAAAATTCGTAGATCTGTATCCTAAAGGGCTCACCAGACCTGATTGCCATAGTTGTGAGGGCTTGAGCAGCAACAATTCGAACCTGGAGTTTTCACACAGATTGAAAAAAATAAGAGAAGGGGAAATTTAAGCAAGCAGATGCATTTGTTGTAAAAAGCTTAAGGCACACTTTAAGGCAAAGGTCTGATAGAACCTACGTGCAAAGAAAAGGCAGACCAGAACAAAGTGAGGCACACCATTCAAAAACTTCAAGACTCAAAAACTATCATTTCTAAAAGGGGAGGGTGGGATACCTAAAATGAAGTCAAGGAAATGAAAGCCCCAAACAAAATAGAGATTGGTTTCACTCTGCCCATTCACACAGATGCATGGATGCATCACCAATGTAATACTACATTGCCATCCATCTAATATCAAAGTTACATGTACGTGAGACTACTAATAAAAGCGAGTCCCAATGTGTGGATATGATCTGGTAAAGACAATCAAATACCAATACCAAGCATTATGCACATTCTGGTCTAGAACATAAATGACAATCACTGTGAGGTGTGCCAGTTAAAATTGGCAGTGGTTGAAAACACTGAAACCTAGTTAATTAACAGAATTTTCAGTACTGAAACACAGAAGAGGAATGGAGAAAACAACAATAGAAGAGAAATGCAGAGTCAACCCTAATTTGTTGATATTAATCATTTTAACCCTAGCAATATAGAATTTAATTTTTAAAAGAAAGTGATCTGGATTTTGTACTATAGCCTATGCTTTAGGAATGGGCTGGGGCATGTCTTTCTTCTCAGGAAGCACTCTGGCATGAGATACACTAATGCCACACCATTTGGAGGCCGTTATCTGATACACAAAAGATACTGCTGATAAAAGGGGCAGTTGAACTTTGTGCTACACAGACCCAAATATTCAAAGGGTACCAAGCTCAAAAGCAGACTACTGAAATATATCTTAAGAGTATTCAAACATGTGATGAACTAAAAAAAAACAGAATGTGCATATGTTCATATCTTTCCAGAGAACTACTGAATTACATAGGGAAGCAGACAGCTCTCTCTTTTGGTACAATCAACCAATAACAAAACTGTAATATTGAATGATCATCAAGGTAGAATCTTATACCTCCCAGCTGCCACTGAAAGCACACCTCTGTAGTCGAGTCAATGCACCAGCTAGAGTAGGATTACGAGAACTGGCAGCAGCAACCATTTTATCTGCATCTAACATCATCAATGCAGTGCCAGGAGGCGTCGCAGATTCCCAAGCATATTCAGAAGCAGCATAATTTGCATTTTCTCCAAGAAACCATACCTATAGGTTTTTAGTTCACAGATTCAGATAAAAAGAATGAAAGAAAGAAATCTATTCCTTAGTATTCTTTCAGTTTTACAGTATATACGATAAACAATTGTTGACTAAAGAAGTTGCTTACTGCTGCTTGGACTAATCTCTGCAATGCCAAAGCCGACTTTGGATCAGATGCAGATACTCTGTCCACTGAAGTAAATCCCAACATCGAACCAGGCTGTGGTGGCGGTAGGTCAAGGACTATAGTGACTGCTTCCAATGCGGTGTGCTTTCCATCAGGACCAGCACCAACAAGGCATGTCTGGAAATGGAACAGGCCGTCATCAGTTAACATTAGTGTCTTTTAAAGTAAGCATATCTATCAGTGATATGCTTAGACCATTACCAACATATCAAGCAGATTAAAATCAAACAAGTTGGAATCACTTCCTAAGTTGATGGACATGCAAATAGCAGAGACAAGAAGACAAAATTCAAAATGGACATTGGAATCCAAAAACAAAAAAACAAAAAGCAAAAAGTATCAGTAAGATCACAGGTTGAATGGAATCCTACTTTCCACAATAATTGCAACACATCAGCATCAATCTTTCCTGGAACCTTAGTTGCGAAGATCCTTGCAATTTCAAGCAGAGTGACAGCCATATCCGGAGTTGCCTGACCAAGAAAAATTTTAGTAAGTGCAGTTTCATGGAACAAGACACATCAAATCATTGTGTAAAAGAACAGAACTCTCTTCTATCCATCCTCATACGTTAGTTGATGTACTGAGTCCTTGTTTTCAGTTTTTAACATTCGAATCCACAGTTAAGAAGGTGCATAGGTGATTCACTGTCCACGCATCTCTCATTGGGTTTTATAATCAATAACATTAGCAATAAACCAAGGTCAAGTGTCAATCACTCAATACACTATCCAGAGAGAAACAGGTAGACTACTTCCAATCTTATTGATCTGTTTTTTCCTCTTTCCTATTCTATATACCATTTCCCTAGTCATAATTAAACATAGTCAGGAAAAAAAAAACCTTTTTCTATTGTTAAGGAACACTCATTAACCCAGTGACAACTCTCTTTCAGTTTTCAACAAGAATTCTATTAGTCATGTGAATGATTGATTTGTTAGTCTTTATGAGCACTTTTAAAACTAGCGATTTGTGTTTAATTTTATGTATTTACCAGTAATTCAAAACTTGTTTTATCACTCATCACCCTTCTTAGCCTTTACAAAGTTCCCATGGTAGAAGGGCTAAGCCTACACAAACTTATCAAAAGGGAAAAACTAATAATCATCAAATGCATATCAAAGCATGAGCTCCAAATAAATATGTCGAACTCCCAAGAAAATATAACTTAATTCAATGCATAGCATACCTTGAAACGAGCATGCAAAGTCAGCAAAACATCATTCAACAATGTAGCTGGCCATGATGGATCAGAAAGCTCTGATGCAATAATGGATTCTAGTTCATCGAAGGATTCATGTGGAAGTTGCATCCATATCAATGCCTTGATTACCATTGCTCGAACATAGACACATTCACAGGCTACAGTTGTCCGCACTACCTCCATTAATGAAGCTAATAAACTTGCAATTGTATCCTTGCTACCTGTTGCACTAGATACAGCAGAAGCCTTCCTGGCACCTATAAAACAAAAGGAGGAGAGGATTAAAGACAGACTAAGATCATATAATGATCCAACATATAGATGACATATGTCCCAAGGAAGACATTTAAACAGAACGAGTAACCCCGGAAAATAAAAACTATCAGCACTAAGTTTCTCTGAAACTAGTGAACTCTCAAAACCCACTAAATGAACTCATGGATTTTGGACTTGCAAGAAGATGACATCTCAAAAATAACTAAACGGCCAATATAATTGAGTTCTTAAAATTAAGAACTTGGACAGTCCAGCACTTCATCTCTTTTCAGAAGTTCATCTCAAGAATCAAGCTTGCACCTTTCCACCAAACATTGGCCTCTCCATCTCAAATTCACAGCCACAAAATATGGAATAATAGAAGAAACACAATGGGAAAAAAGGAAGAAAGCAGAAAGCTTATAATAGGCAATGCAGACACAATGAAACGAACATAAAAATGAGATCAATTTTGTATGATACACTTTAAAACAGATAATGCAAATTCATGTCACAGTTTCATTGGGTTTGTGTGTCAAGCATATGCATACATGCAAACCACATATATGGAATTCCACACTCAAGTTGATGATGTTTGTAAAAGGCTACCCAAGATATTAATGAATAATATTTCTTTCCAAGTCAATGTAGAATGAAAAATCTAAACAAATTTGCTTCAGGCACCACCAATGGAGCACAAAGCACCATATGGCTGATACAATAATGCCATGAAAGTAACATAATAGTTTGATGGTCAGGGATCTTTGTAGAATACACTTAAGCACCCCAAACAATGGTGTTTGTAAAAGGCTACACAAGATGTTAATGAATAATATTTTTTTTTCAAGTCAATGTAGAATGAAAATTTTAAACAAATTTGCTTCAGGCACCACCAATGGAGCACAAAGCACCATATGGCTGATACAATAATGCCATGAAAGTAACATAATAGTTTGATGGTCAGGGATCTTTGTAGAATACACTTAAGCACCCCAAACAATGGTGTTTGTAAAAGGCTACACAAGATGTTAATGAATAATATTTTTTTTTTCAAGTCAATGTAGAATGAAAATTTTAAACAAATTTGCTTCAGGCACCACCAATGGAGCACAAAGCACCATATGGCTGATACAATAATGACATGAAAGTAACAACATAATAGTTTGATGGTCAGGGATCTTTGTAGAATACAAAAATAGTTCAGTTTGACTCTCAAAAAATTACCATCTGCATATGGATTTTCATTAAAATCCTCATCTGCACTCTCGGAAACGGCATTCACATTAACTCTTTCATCTATGTCCTGTAATCCTACAGCAAAGGCAGCAGCCCGACTTCTTCCCATCTCTTGCACAACTCTTGCTGCTGCATGAAGTACTGGCCTGGAGAAACTACGAAAAGAACTTTCCAACCTGAACGGAAAAAAAAGAAAAGAACAAATCAATTTTCAAATACAATGGAAAACGGAAATTCAATAGAAACCAACAAATAAGTCCTGTCATTTTTTAAATACGTTAAAGAATTTTCTAAAGAAATAATAAATCCAATAGATTCTAATACCCTGAAAAAGAAAAGGAAAGAAATGGGAGCTCAATCTACCTTCTCATTACAAGTTTAATAAGAGGTTGCGGGCGCCTGGTCTTTTGGGATTTATCTCTAGAAGTCTTCGACGTATCATTTGAATCAGCACTAGATCCCTTTGATGATACAGAGGGTGCTTCTGGCAACTTCAGTATCTCCCTTGTTAAACGGTACCAGCCAGCAGCACGCTCCTCAGTACTACAGAATTGCAATTCAGAAAAGGCATATTTTAGAGAAATTAAAAAAAAAAAAAAAAAGGCACTTGCATATTAGTTCCATCCCATGCCTACAAAACTTTGCTACAACATGAGTAAAGTGTTGCACAAATAAAAGTAAATAAAAATATAAGATTAAAAGCCTACCTCTCTGTGTTATCATGTTTTCCTAGGACGCATAAGATTGCCTCAAAACAGACTCTTTCACTGGGATCTAGAAGGAGTTGATAAAGCACTGAGTTGAACTGAGATTTAATGTCGGGCCTATCTGCAGGAAACAATGTCAAGAAGCTAATCATCTCATTAGTTCAGAATCCTTAGATCTTTCCTTCAAAATTTAAAGAGAAATGCAAACCCCATTTTACCATCTAATGCACGAGCTCTAGATATTGTATGACACAACCTGGCCAGTGCTACTCTAGCAAGCACATCGTGCAAATGGAGGACATCCTGCAACGCTCCTGATTCAAATAATACCAAATTAATGCAAAACCAGAAAAGCAGTAACGTGATAGACATAAAGCAAATTAACAGTGCCATATAACTTAAAAGAACATCCTGAAGCACCAAAACCAAAAACAACAAAGGTAGCTATGGCTTGCAACGAATAAAAGGAGAAACATTTTCATTCATGTTGACAACCTACAACTCACGATATCCAGTGTTAAGAGAATGAGCTGTTCACGCACAAATTTTCACAGCTAAACCTTGAATCAAGCAACCTACTATTTTTCATTCAATTTTAGTTGACAGAATTAGACATCTGACAAAGTACTGTCACTTAAACTCTGCGTAGATAACAATCAGCAATCACTAAAGCAGAAGCCTATAAGTATATCTATGAGAATGGACCATACCTCCAGGGAGTGCAAGCTTTCCTGCAGTAAGGTGCAGAGGTATAGCATTAGATATAAAAGAACAACCAAATCTTAGTTCTAGGATAATAACACAATGAGAAACAGTTCCATGATGAAAAGAATGGCGACAACAAGAAGGTTAAAAGAAAAAAGTAACCTAATGCCATTGAAACGCCGTAAGGGTCTTTTGCAGCCAACTCAGAGAGAATTTCCAAAGCATGCCTTACAGCAACAGGATCAGCAAACGAAACCCTGCAGTCAGACACAAGCTTGCTTCATAAAGACAAGTAAAAGACTAACTAATATCTGGAATATGCTTCAACTAAGGTGTCTAAAGTGCAAGCAGGGGTAGAAGAGGAAAAGAGATAAGCAAGTGAATGCTACAACTAAAACAATAATATGATACCAAATGCAGGCATGGATCATATATTTATAGCATCTCAGCAAACCTTGCAATGGAAGATAAAATATATTACAGTCACAGCACCCAACTTTGTCTTAACAATAGTGACTATATTCTCCTTCTGCTGATCAATGAAGCAAAGATATGCATACAAGATACTAGTACAAATTGCAGAGATGCCGAATATGAACCATATTTGTACTATGGGATTGCATGCAGGAAATACTATAAAAAAAAAAAATCAAACCAGGCCAAGCCAAACAAAGCAACCAAACCCAACAAAACAAAAGCTAAGTACCCAAACAACTTGCAATCAGCAATATGAACCTCAATCTATGTACCAAAATAAAGAAACTTACCCCTGTACAGCACGGTGCAGAAATGCTGGGTTTCCAGGATCCAGGGGAAGTCTTCTTAATGCACTTAGCGCAGCATATTGCAAATTACTCCGAATGATAGACTAATATGTAAAGATCATTAAAACCAGTACAATAAGCAAACACATAAAATGTAGAATAATATTTCAAGTGCAAGACTCATAATTATGGCATAATTCACAAGAGGAAACGAGGGCAAATAGAAAGATTACGATGACCAAATCATCTAGCACTTAATAGCGTCAAACAGACTTAAAAAATACAGGTTCCATAACAAACCATGTCAAAGTAAAAAACTGACAGAATATAAGACCCATGCATTAACAATTTTTATAGTGAAGCAAAGTTCATAAACTCTCCCAGAGTCTGATGATAAATTCATTATTTTCACTGAAATGTAAGAAACTCTCGTTACCAATAACAAAATATCAAAATCAATATCAACAATGTATCTGCAGAAAGGCTAAGTTAAACTTTTTGCTTCATTAACAGTCCCCAACATACATGACTCCTAAATTTACTCAAGGCTATATTGCAAGGAGTAATGTTATTCTTACATAATTGTCTTACAGAATTCACTTACCGAAAAAAATTTCAACCATTGGATTGGTATCTCATGCATTAAATAAGTGGATTTTGTAAGTCCCACGAATCCAATGGTTGATATTTTTCAGTAAGCGATTCCGTAATACAATTATGCAAGATTAGCATTACTCTACTGCATGAGCAGTCAATGAACAAGCATTCAATGTCAAGTAGCAATAAATATCGTTAAAACAAGAGAGAGATTACCATTGTTAAGATAATAAACAAATTTGGGAACTTTACAGACAATACATACCATCAATAAATTGATATTCTTACCTCCTTATCACCACCTTTAGTCCCAAAAACACCTTTCTTTCGTTTTTGAGGGTTGTCACCAACCTGAAATTCAATATGAAATCTAAAGCATTATTGTGCTAAGCAACCAGGACGCTTGATACATTGAGTGAATGTCAAGCTTTGAAAAAGTTGTCTGGTTTGTGTTTAGTTGTATAGGTTACATAGTCAGTGGATTCGGGTTTTTTTTTACTTTTACCTTTCATTAAAATAAAGGACGATATTCTTAGGTGAAACATAAATGGAATAAATCAGAGTAGGGCACACCTTGTCAAGAATGCCAAATACAATCTCATACAATCTTGATAAAATATCAGTGTTGCTGGCAGGAGCATATGTAAGAGCCTTCAGTGCTTGCAATCTCCGAGCATGAACTTCAAAGATATAAAATAAATGTTATCAAAATCTAAAACTTCCAATATCAGAGAACAAAAACTTGGTAAAAATAGGTAATTAGAAAACAAAATATTTTTGTAAGGCACTGCAATCATTTTTCTTCCTTGCCAGTCTTAGTTTCCCTCTAACAATAAAATAAAATCGCATACAGAATAGCCTCAAGAAGATCATATTTCTTTTACGCATTACTATATGTTTTGTATGGTTGATGGCATGAAAATAGTTGACAGTGGATAAGTCCCATGGCACCAAACAATTAATCCACATAAGAACAGAAGAAGAAGAAGAAAAGTTTATACACCATCAAGACATAGTGAAATTGCATCTCGTTGCCATTTTTACACACTAAATCAAAATTACTTAATTGCAGTCTATGCATAAGATATGTTTTACGAGATACCACATCAAAAACTAGAACATTTGTCAATCACTTTTTATTAAGAACTTCATGAATCCTTATAGAGCACGACCACAAGTACAATTAGATTCAACTTCATCCTTTGCATGAAGCAACTTTGAAAAGAAAACTTGCCAATCACTTTTTATTAAGAACAACCTTGTGCAGTACAAAGCATTCAAGCAATCAAAGAAAGAAAAACAGTACGAAACCACTTTACATTCAACATTATCATCTGAAGCCTCTTTCGAAAGCTGGTCTACTACTCTCGGTGCAACATCAGCTCTAGTCACCCCTCCAACAGCATCAATATCAGCCAAAGCATCCCAATTAGGAGTAGGTATTCCACCACCAGGATTTAAACCTTGAGAACCAGTATCTGATAAAATCCTAGCCAAGTAATAATACACATAGCGCAGAATCGTCCTGTCTTCACATTGCTGATCCAGCTGCAGTAGATTCAATAAAAAATAATAAAATAAATAAAAACCACTTTAACTATGAATTGTTCAAATCATCAACTCCAAAGCTCATCAGGTAATATAAAAAGAAATTAGTAAACCTACCATGAGAAGAGATGGTGCCAATGATGGATCCACCGAATTGTAAACAGCAAGTTTCGGAAACACATGATGCACTAATTGCTTTTGAGAACTTTTCTATTCACAAAACAATCACAAAACAAATTATTTAAACTTCCATTAAAATTAAAATTAAAATACGAAAGCAAGATGTTTACTTGATCAGACGTAGCAGCTAGTTCATGGATACTCCTTGCTAGTTGCGAATACGAAACCGGCTACAAAAATCAATCAAGAAAGAAAAATCAAATTAACGAGAGAACAGAATCTTCTTAGAAAGGCGTAATAGAGAAGGAAGCTTAGCTTAGGATAATTTACCTTCTTCTTTTGTTTTTGAGGCATGATATTGATACCAGTAGTAGTTTTCATGGCAGCTTTAGCAGCAGAAATGGTGTCGTTTTGGATCTGCATAAGAGTAGCTCTCTTTGACTTTCTCTCTCCTAACGTTGTCTTCCCTGACGCTGACGACGAACTCGTCGTCGTCGTTGCTATGGATGACATCGATACCGTCGGCTGCTGCGATGCCGTTGGCGCTGCCGCTGCCGTCGATCCCGATGACTTCGGCGCCACCCCGGGGTCCGCCGTTATCAGATCCATCAATGTCGTCCCCGACGACGAATCCTAAATCACAAATTACAAGTAAAATTGAATTGTTAGCTGAAAATGTAGAGATTTGGAAGGAAATTACAAGGGAAGGAGAGTAAATTACCGCCATGATTGTTGATTTTGTGCGGTTTGGAGCTACCAAGTTTGAATCTCTCTGTTTTTTTTTGGGAGAAATGGGCAAACGAGGAAGTCAGTTTAATTGTTAGAGCTTGGAAGTTGAAACTGGATTTTGATCTGACCCGAATCGGAAATGGTTAGGACTTCTCGGGTCAGCCCGGTTACTAGCAGATCTTATTTATTTATTTATTTGGGTTAATTCGACTTACTGCCTTACAGTTTATAGAATTTATGAATCATTCCCTTTATTTTAGAAACCTTTCAATTAGACCCTTCCATTGGTCTTCGTGGGTAACAGGGAGCGTTTGAGTAGAATTCATGACCCATCTATCCTTCTTTTGTAAGAGATAGAAATCAAATGCAACCCTAAAAATTTTAAAAGAGTTTTCATTAAATACTTAAATTAGCTTATTAAAAAGATCAATAATTATATTATCTACTATAATCTATTAATATTATTTGTATTTTTCATTAATATGTTGATAAACAAACGATTTTATCTTTTTTTGTATTTTTGTAATTTTCAATTTTCTTAATATAAATTCATCTTTATAAATTTTTTTAAATTTTTTTATCGAATTTAATATTTAAAATAATACTTTGCTTGTGAGTTGTATGTTGCAGAAATAAGTATAAAAAATATTTCTATCACTTTAATAGTAAATTTACGAGTTTGATATTATCATAAAAATAAATATTTAATTTAAATTTTCTTCCAATCTCTAGAGGTTAAAAGAGAAAAAAATATAAAATATAAAAAATCTATCGTAAGTTTACTATTAATGGAAACTAAAATAGATTTGATCAAAAGTTTCTTTAAAATTCAGGAGGTGATTGGTAGAATAAAAAGTTATAGTGGTAAATTGAACGAATAATAAATATCATGGGCTAAATTGAAATTAAGAACACTATTTTTAATGTCTAAAATATTCTTTGTTTATTTCGAAAAGGAATATCCGTAAAAGATTGATTGTCATTTTCAAAGCTAAGTACTGTGATTTTCATTCTAACACAAGACAAGACAAGAAGACAGAAGAAGTACAGTACTAAAAAGATATTTAAGGATCCAATTATTGGGATTTGAAAATATACTCTGTGGTCAACATCCCACTTGAAGATTTCCTTACCTTTTCCTTATTCTTTGCTTTCTTTCTTTCTTTCTCATAACATTTTCTTGCTGCTTGCTGTCTGTCCATGAAATGATGATGGAGAATGCATTGGTGGGTAAGTTTTGTAAGCCATGCTTTCATTTGAGTTCAGGAAGAGCAGCAATGGTGCTGCAGAAAAGGAAGGGAATTGGCACCAACCACAAGTTCTACTGTTCTTCCAAATTCAAGGTTCATTCACTTGTTTCTCACACCCATAATCTCTCTAATTTAAAGGTACCCTTCTTCCAATCTTCAGCTTTTTGTATATATTTAACAGTTCAAACATGTAATGAACCTTCAAAATTTGATCAAGAAACAGGATCATTTGGTTGTTTTTCTTGAAACAAAGTTAAAATGAAGTGTTACTATTTGCTGCAGGTGGGTACTAGTGTTGAAAAACAAGAGAGTAGCTATGCTGGTTTAGTTTCTGATCAAGAAATTGTTTGGCCTTCTCCTGATGATGAAATCCCATTTTGGAAGAGGGATTTCCCTTCATGGAATGTGAGTCCAGAAGTGCCAAATGAAAGTACTGTGAAGGATTCTGATCTGATGCACATAATTCATGTTACAGCTGAGATGGCGCCAATAGCTAAAGTTGGTGGACTTGGTGATGTTGTTACTGGACTTGCTCGAGCAAGTCTGTCTCGGGGCCATACTGTGGATATAATGCTCCCCTTCTATAAGTGCATCTCGAAGCAGCAAATCAATGAGTTGGAATTGATTAACACTTATGATTCTTATCATGATGGGAATTGGATTCCTACCAGTGCGTATCGTGGAGCTGTTTCAGGCATTTCAGTTATATTTATTGAGCCATCGAATGAGTTCTTCAAGGGGGAACATGTATATGGAGGTTCATACAATGAGCTAGAGGCTTATTTGTTTTTTAGCCGTGCTTGCCTTGAATGGATGCAGGTTTGTTGGTTGATCTTGAGCATGATCTTATTTTTGCCTGCTACGTATTGTCTGCATTTCTACTACTCGAAAATTGTTATGATTTGTCTATCAATCCATAGAAGCTCAAGTAAGCTTACCCCAAATTGGAAATGAGAACTTGAGGTGTCATGGCTTAGAGTTTGTAAAACTATTAATAAGCATATATGAGTTACAAATTGCGCTTGGTTTTTTTGTCACTGATACAATGCAGAAGATTATTACACCTGCATTTACTCCTCCCGCTTAAAAAAAGTGCATAAATGAGGCACTCCATTTCTGTTCAGTATCTTTTTGGACCTTTGTTTCCCAGTTGATATTATTATTGTCTTTTAGTTATGAAGATGATCATTTTCCAGATTTCTGACAAGATAGTATATGGTGGCAGGTAACAGGAACTCAGCCTGAAATTATCCATGTCCATGAATGGCAAATAGGTGCTTTGCCCCTGCTTTACTGGGATATGTACCGATATCTTTCACTGACGGTATTTACTCTTCTTACTATTACTGCACAGCATTTACTGCTCTGATTTAGAGGAAAAAAATGTTCTTTCACATCGTTTTGATGTCAAAGTTGTACTTTCTAGAAACCACGGATTGTATTAACTATACATAACATGGAGCATTATGGAGAGTGCCGGTAAGTTATTGTTCATCTGTCTTTTTCACCTTCTTAAGTTTGAATTTCTCATAGCCTGTTCAGCTGTGTCAGTTGCATTATATGGGCCTTTTGGTGTTTTAATCCTACCAGATTATGATGAGGTGATGCAATAACAGAACACATATTGAACATTCTATAAAAATTTTTTATGGTTTCTTTGCTTTGGCAGCCAAGAGCAACTCAGCAAGTGTGGTCTTGATGGTTCTATGTATGCAACGACAGAGAAGGTGAGTAATTTTTTTTTTATATAGTTTTTAATTTTATCACATGTCATGTCAGTTAGATTTTCGTTGCAGAGCATTTCATAACATCCTAAAACTGGCTAGGAATTTGCTTTTTGATCTAAATCCTTTCAGGCGCATCTTGTTTATAGGAATCTGTAGGTTGTGCATCTTCTGCTTCTCACCAAGAGTTATTCAGCATCTTTTCCTAAGAAGTAGCCTGTGGTCTTTATATGTTTTTTCATTAGCATTAAACTCATGGAAAGCTCTAGCAAGGAATTTGCTTTTTGATCTAAATATTTTCAGGCGCATCTTGTTTATAGGATTCTGTAGGTTGTGGTTCTTTGGCTTCTCACCAAGAGTTATTCATCTTCTACCTTCCGTAGAGAACCTGTTTATTTCAAATTACCCCCATTAAAAGTCCAACATTTGAATGTTTCTAATATCTCTCGACATGTCAGGCAGTTGATGATCGAACTATTGGCCATAATCCTGAGAGACTGTGCTTATTGAAAGGTGGAATAGTATACAGCAACGCAGTAGTGTAAGTATTGTTGTTTTGTCTGCAAATGATTTGTTCTTGATATGGTGTCATTTGGTCTAAATTTGCATACGAGGAAATATAAATTGCCCTTCATAACTACTTCTTTCTTATCTGCACTTGATTCTGGTGTCTTATATTGTAAAATATATTGCCTTTGGCACATAGCATCATACACTCTCCATATTTCTTGACTGCTTGATTTTGGAACTAATCAAATTGTGATCCATGTTCAGACCACATAGGTGAACACGAAGTGGGAAAATCTGCATTTTAAAAGTTATGAAATGAATCCTGAGATTCATCTGAGTTAGAATGGTTGAATTTGGATAAAGTCTAGGTGTGAAGAACCTTATTTAAATTGTTCATAATTTATGGTTTGAATCCAGACAGAAGGTGAGCTTTAACTCCAACATGAATTATTTTAGATGTGAGTTTGTTTATTTCCATGATACACATTGCTGCTACTCTGTGACATCTGCAAGCATAGATGTGAACTTATTTCACTAATACTCCAGCATTGCCCTTTAAGTCTGTTTTGTTTCCGAGAAACTAATTTTCCTTTCATTTTCCAGTACAGTCTCCCCAACATATCTTAAGGAAACTCTCTGCTCAATATGGTTGGCGAGCACTTTGATAACGCATCGTGATAAGTAGGTTCCACTTTTTTAATTCTAACCAATGCATGATTTGACATTTATTTTCCTTTAGTTGTTTATTCCCCCAGCATAATAAAATGAACTATCCTCGGATCACTTATTAGCAATACGAACTTGTGTCAATTAAGTATGCTGGATTTTGTTTTATATTATAGCATAATAGTGCTGGAGCTAATGCCTGATTGAACATTAAGAACGTAGATGTGAAAGTTTCAGCATGGCTTTATGATTCTCCTCTGTATCTTCCCATGTGGTATTTTGCAATTCTGCAGGTATTATGGTGTTTTAAACGGGATTGACACTGCAATGTGGAACCCTGCTACCGATGTTTTCTTGCCTGCTAAATTTGATGGTAACCTCGGTTATTGATAAACTTAAACATCTCTCCATTAAAACTATTTCTATATAGGTCCTTCAAAAACAACCAAGACTGTTCATTCAGTAGCCTAATGCTTTCCTTGACACAGTTGATTCGAGTTGTATGAATATGGCTGTTGCATAGGACTTGGACTACCTTCTGTTTTTTTTTTTTTTTTGTTCGGACAACTACTTTGTATAAATAAGTTCAGATAACTGCAGGCTGCTTATTCGATGTCTACTATATATTTTAATAAATGAGTAGTAGTAAAAGGCATCATTATATAAATGTTCATGCTTTAACTGTTTGAAAAGCATTTTTGTGGTTCATATTCGATATCGACTTTCATCTGATTATTCAACCTGCCCTGCTTTAATTTTCCTCATGGTTAACAAATGAATTTTGGGATTTTCACTTCTTGCTATTTTGTTTCTTACAGCTCAAAAAATTGAGGGCAAGAAGTTATGTAAATACTACATACAAAAGGGGCTAGGTTTGGCTACTGAAAGCATTACCAGCAGTAATCATGTGCCAGATGCAACAGTTAAGGTTCCCTTGGTAGTCTGTATTACTAGACTAGTTCCTCAAAAGGGTCTCCATTTGATTACTCATGCACTCAAGCGAGTTGAAGAACTGGTATGACTTCACCCCGTCTTCCCCAACACCCCCCAACCCACTCTTCCCCCTACTCATTTGAACATGGATTTGATGTTTCTCTTTCTATACTGTTGGTGTCAATGTAGGGTGGGCAGATGATTGTCCTTGGAAAAGCATCAGATGGTCGAGTTGAAGGGGAATTCAAACGTCTTGCAGATTTGGTAATGACCATGAGGTTTTTCTTTAACTAATGATTGCAACATTTTCGTTTCCTTTTTCCACACCATTTATAACATTATCAGCTATTGGTGTTTCATGAACTTGATTATAAAAGAAATTGCATTTCCATAGAAGAATACGATGCGATGCTCAAAAGGCAATATATCAGTAACTGAGACAGGCAGTTGCCGGAATCTTCAACTATTTTTTTTTTTTCCATTTTCTTTAATCTTTCTGTTATACGACCCTTTTCCCCTTAAACTGTAATTTCCTTTCACAGCTGCTTTACATAAAGCTAAGAAAAACTCATTAATCTAATATTTTGCAGCATAACCGAGGTCCTAGCATCCGTATCCTTTTGATGTATAGGTAAATCATCATGCAAACCATAACTTGCATTTAATATTTTGAAATGACTTGTAATGTCTGACTACAAATTATCGTCATGTTTGTGGCTTTCTTGGTAACGCAGTGAGGAGCTGTCCCACATGCTTTATGCTGCGGCGGACATGGTGTTAGTTCCTTCCATGTATGAGCCATGTGGACTTTCCCAGATGATTGGGATGCGTTATGGATCGGTATGCATGTAGCTCTGCAGAATGACTAGATCTAACCATTATTATCATGATTGAAAATAATATTACAAAAACTACTTATCAATGACTTTGCTCATTTATTGGTTATATTATTGGCAGATTCTTAAGGTACAATTCTCTGAAATCGAAAGTTCAGACAGTTATAAGTTAGTAGCATTATTTGTAATTCTATTATGTACAAGTGTTTGCTACTTTGCAACATCTTGTCTGTACATCATTGTTAACTTATAATATACTTTTGTTGAATGGACATATAAATGAACAGCAGATACATGGCATAAGCTCAGGGAACGTAAAAAAAGGTGAAGGTCTCATTTGAATCGCAATGGTTTTTTCAGGTTCCAGTTGTTAGAAAGACTGGTGGCCTTGCGGACACTGTCTTCGACATGGATGACCAGTCAAACCGTGAGATGGCTAATGGGTAATTCGACTTCTATTCGTGAATTTTTGATTCTGTGTTCAAAACGACTTAGTGACTTAATTTTCATCATTTCCTCCTGACTTCAGTTTTTGAACTGTTCCCACATAATTTGGTGAAGAGATATGGTCTAGTACTGGTTTACCTTATCTGACAAGAGAGTTATCCGGTGCTTTAACTTAATAGTTAATACTGCTGTCTTGATTTGATCAGGTTTGTTTTTGAAGGAATTGATGAAGGATCCTTAAACTGGGCTCTAGACCGCGCATTTGCTTACTACAAAGACAGTAAGTTCTGCCTATTCTAGTTCTTGCATGTTTACTTTCTCATGGGCAACAGTCTTTTTTACCACACACAATTTACTCTAAGAAGACGTCATTGGTGAGAGATACATGGCTACTGACACTTGACTGATAACATTTTACTAGATGGTACTGCTTATTTCATAAATCACGAAAATCATTCCTGAAATTGGTTTTCTAGGCCTTCCTGTTTTAAAAATATATCAATCATCATCTATGAGGTGTCTAAATATAAGAAAATATCTTGAATTTTAGCTATGTATTTTTTGCATTTCCACCCCCAACTTCCACATAGTTGACTCTTGCAATTAACATTTTCTAAATTTTGGATTGAGTTTGTGTTGGTCTGCGTAATTATTTCAACTTAAACGTGAGTGAATGCATGCACATGCATCCTGTGATTGGACTTGTAGACATAGGTTTAGAGTTCGAGATGGTCAGATATTATTATGGCATAGAGCTTCGTATCAGGTTAATGTGTTTATCTTCAGGGTTTTGAATCTTTTCTATCCTCAATTTGGATCGCAGAACCAGACGAGTGGAATGGCATTGTGAAGAAGATTATGAAAATTGACAATAGCTGGAACAACACAGCTGGGAAATACATTGAAATTTACAACTCAGTTAGAGTGAGATCTTGACAGTACCCAGGTCGGTGCTGGCATACGTTTCAAATTCAAGAGCTGGGTCTAGGCCAGCAACACGCTTTAGTTGGGAACCATTCACTTCTGCTCGAGAGTTTAGCATTAAAGAGTTTTTGTTCGCACGAAGCTGAAATAAAGATAGTTGGAAGAAGTAGAACAGTCTGACTAATAGCACAATATGGGGAAGAAAACACCATTACTAGCTGCTTGTACTCTTCCAGATGGATTTTTGTAACTGCTGTGTATTTACTTAACAATCTCAATGAAATTTTGAATGGGAAAGTATGCTGTTTCTGCTGCACCAAGTACACCATTGTTTGCTAAAATGCCATTCTGTACGCCGATTTATGGATATTTATGGGTGAGGTGAATAACTTGATGGATGGAAACTAGTACTGTTCCACCATTTTTTCCCATTTCTATCCTTAGTTTGCGAGGTATTATTCTACTTTTTATTGAGGACTAATTTTAGCAGAATAGCAGTCGAGCCAAGTAGATTGGCTCTGAAGGTTTTGTTGTAGACGAGTCTCAATGCATGAAAGAAAATGTGCACTTAAAAGAAAATTAAGAAACTAAGAAAGAAGGCTCACTTGTGTAAATCTTCTTGTGCTGGATGCTATTCTCACCACCAACACCCAAATCTCCACTATATGCCCCCACTCTAGAAAATGTGCACTTAAAGAACTCCCCGCAACCAATTTCTGACACTTCAAACTCTCTGATAGATTTATGATGAGTTCTTGGCAGCTCACCCTCCTCCAAAGACTCTGAAGATTCATCCCCGTCATCTGGGCACTTTACACCTTCAGAAAGTTGCTTAGAATCATCTGAAAAGTTTATAATATTAATCTTGCAGTCTTGCTTGCCTAAAAACACAAAATTAAGGAAACATAATTGATATAATTACCACTGCACAAATTAAACACAGCACAGAAAAAGTTACATAAAGAAAACTTGTTAAGGATCATCCAAATTATTCTTTTACCTGCTTCTTTCCAGCAGCATTGCCATCTGTATTTACATATTCAATGTCCAAAGATGCATTCGGATTCAGATCATTTTCGGCAAGAAAATCCCAAAGCCTAAACAAACAAAAATCAAATAAATCAACAAAAGTTTCCAGTAAAATTGAGCAAAATGATATCAAATATCTTAAGCTGACCTCATGACAGGCAAAAAAATAAAAAATAAAAAGAAATCGTAAGCTGCAAGAAAAAAGAAAAAGAAAAAAACGCTGTAAATTGTAGCAATTAAAAATGGGTCCAGATGATTTAGCCCAACTGATCCTCTGAATTCATGCTGGACTAATAAAATAATAATTAACATTTTAATTTGATATAATTTTTCTACTATTAATTAACAAAACAATATAAACCAAGAAAGAACATTGAAAAAAAAAAGTAATAATGAAACTACCAACTAAGAGACAAAAAGGGCAGTGTTGGCATCACGAAGAAATTGCTCCAACTGGGTTTTTGCTTGATTTTGAGTCTTCCCATTAGAAACAAACACAGTTACATAATCCTACAAAAAAAAAAAAAAACTCTAATTTTTTTCAGAAATGAAAAAAAAAAACCCACTTCGCATTTAAGAGAAAAAATGTACAAAAAAAGTAAAAGTACAGTGAGGTCTTGAATGGCGTCATTATAGTCTTCTTCTAATAATTCTGGGACGTCTCCAACTAACTCTTTAAGCTTTTCTGAAACTGAAGCTCTCATTTTTTTCGAGATTTTTTTGCATTCTGATTCTGGGTTTTTGCTGCTTAACATTGTCAAAGAATTACTTACTACTACTATTTCCCTTCTTTCTTTTCTTTTTCTCGTTTTGGTTTCCTCTCCCTTTGTAGCTTGCGAGAGAGAAGAGAGTCAGACTGAGTAAATAGTTGTGTGTGTGTGTGTGTGTCACAAGGCAGGAATACCTGGTGCAACCTCTGAGCTCTGTTTGGCTATGCTCTAGTTCACTTTCTTTGCTTTCCTTTCTTTCGTTTTTGGGTTCATGGAGAGGCCCAATGGGCTTGAACTGGTTCTTGATTTCAAAATTTTTTTGTTCAGCAGGTATTTTTAGATTAACTTGTCTGTCTGCAGAAACTAAAGTTTTTTTTTTTCTAAATTATCTTAAAAACATATTTTCTGTACCGGCTGCTGATATCTAAGGTTTGAACTTAAAAAGTCGATAAAAATTTTAGACAAATTTTATCATTTTTTTGGTTTTTCTAACTGTTAACTGAAATGTTTAAAATAACTTTATTTTATAAATTTCAATTTTTTAAAACAATTAAAATTAATTTTAAAAATTAAAAATTTATTTTTTTATTACTCATAGTTAATTATCCAACAATAAAAATCAGATCCACAACTAACAAAATTAGCCAAGCATTTTTACTGGTAATTATTGTCAAAATTTTTTCTCAAAATTAATTTAATTCTAAAAAAAAGACTCAAATGTTTTAAACAATATTGTTTAAATATTTTCAGTTAGCGGTCAATACTTTCACCATAAAACATCATCATAAAAGATAAATTTTGTCTTAATATTAATAATTTGGGATCCAAACAGCTCAAAGCGATAGCATAGCCTTTAATTTGTTACAATCTCAATCTCAATAGTTTGGGGGTAAAATATGTCATCAAATCATTAAATAAGTTACCGACAACATAGTATCAGAATTCCAATGTCATCCAGATCAAAACAGTCTGGACAGAACACAGCATCGCAATAACAAGCTTCTCAAAAAATGAACTGCGAAGTTGATAGTGTCAGAGAAGAAGCATCTTCACCTATCGAGGTCTTTGATTTCTATGCATCCGGTCTCTGGCCATTCTGGTTCTGGACGTTTATCTTTAATGACCAAAGGTGCCTTGCTTGCTGTGCAGCGAAACCGAAGTATTCGCTCGACCGAGATCATCTTACTCTCAACGTTGCAGACATTCCAGATAACCCAAGCTTGTAGAATATTAATCTTTAGACCATATGTGACTGCAAGTCCTGCCAAGCCTGAAATAAGATTGGCTCCATATTAGTGGAGATTGTGTTTCCAGGGTCCATGTAACTAAAAACACCAAGTATTAACTAACCATGATATGAAGAAATGATAGAAGGTGCTTACTGGGGCTAGTGTCTGAGCCTGACACGGTCACTAAGATTATAAGAACAACGAAAAAGCCAAGATTGAATAGGAAGTTTATCCGAACACAGAGCCATTCCATTGTTGCAGAATTGTGAAAGGAAATGCGTGAATAGTCATCGACCAAGCTAAGATTTTTGGCGTAGAATTGTTCTTCCTGGTCAAAGCAGCGGATAGTTACTGCCCCAGCAATTGTTTCTGAGAAGTGGTGCAGAAGTGGAGCCTTTTGAATTCCAACCATCCTAGCCAGTTCCCTGGCAGTTTTTAAGTAGTACGCCTGCACAGAATTTCACCTTTTTGGTCTGCAAGAAGATCTTTCTATGCTCCTGATTGAACTCTTTTCCCATCTCTCATTACCTACACAACATTCATTTATAATTAGATGATGAAATCTCAATACGAAAATGATTTCATATAAATTATGGCTAAAACTCATTAAACTGCTTACCAGAACAAGATCTGATGCAGCTAAAAATTCCAATTGGTGGCTAACATATATTACCGTCTTATCAGACAGGAGACCCTTAAGACACTGCTGCAAAAACATTCCATTTTCTTTAGAATTCACCCAAGTTACAACTATAGTCACCAATGCAATTAATGGTGCATGACACACACATAGTAATCTGTTGCTTACCTTGAACAAATGTGTTTTTGTATGTGCATCAACTGCACTGAAAGGACCATTTTTTATTGCAAACTTTGTTCATTTGTTATCCGACAAGAATGGAGATATGAAGCATTATGACTCTTTCTATGCTTCATATTTTCTTTTTCGAAGACAGCAGAATAACTTGTGGTAAGTAACAGATTACTATGTGTGTGTCATGCACCATCATTTCGTTATTTTGGATATGGCTTTGAAAAGACAAAAACTATTTAGCATAATAACAACTAAAACAATTATAAGGACCCAAAAAAATAATAATTGAGGGTTGATCTATAAAAACTATTAAATGGAGAGACCTAAATAACTTTTTTTCAAAATTAGTGACTAATTTGAACATTAGTGACCTGGAAATTTTTTTTCTGATATGGTTGTTAAAATAGATAGATATGTAATTAATATATTTTGGATATGGGTTTATAAGATATATTTTTCTTTTCAGTGAATAAGATATAGATTAATTTAAGTCCATTTCCATAACAAACAAAGCTCAAATTGATGTCTAATTGTATTAATTCCAACTATTTCGAACTATTTTCTCTCTTTCTCTTTTTGATAGACAAAACATTTCAGTCCAATTATAAATTAGTTCCTTTAGTTTTTTTAGAAAAATTAATTACTCCTTCAGGTTTCAAAAACTAATTATTTAATCTCTTAACCAAGGTTGACTCAACTAAATTCAAGACTACTGTTGGTTGATTCTTCCTCCTCCTTTTCACCTCAAAAACTTCCACTGAACTCAGCTTTGATGGAGGCTACAAATTTATTCAATTTTGCTGTTTTTGTCTTCAACACATAAAGATGTTGTTTTGTCTGTCAACTTCGAGATGGATGAATTCCCACTGGATTCTTTTACCAGCTTTGAAAAAGCTGAGGAGCTATCTCTCATTAGCTCACTTGGGCCTGCACATTCTACAACATTGCCTGAAACAAACAACGAAAAGAAAAGAAATCATGTCAGCATTGATCCATGCGTTCGACCATAAACAATTACTATATGGGATTTCTCTGCTTTCCCACTCTTCTTCTTGTTTACTTAGTCACTTCTAGAACTTCATGTATCCGTACACTATACAGGAATTTCTATTTAATGTTAATTCAACAGAGAAGTGTTAGCTGGATCAGTCCCAGCTTACTGGAAAGGAATCCAATATTCAAGATAATTATGAAAATCTTGTTTGAATGTTCTGCTTAATTATGAAAGGGAAAGTTTGAAACTTGTGGTGTGAATGGAGGCCAGGAGTCTAAGAAGGTGCCAAAAACTATCTTTATCTATTTTTCATAGACGCTTGCTTATCAGGTACGGTTTGAAATCTGCTGTTTTCTCCTGGTTTTAGCTCTAGCTAGGTAAGTTCTTTCTTTATTATCGGCTTATTGGATCCTTTCCCTCCTCGTGCTGTATGCTTGTTTCCATTCTTAATTTCCTGATTGATATAATTAATCGTGTTCTTGAAAATAACAACAAAAACATCAGAATATCAGTTGATAAAAAAGGAGGAAAAAATAAATAAGTAAAAGCAAGTAGTAGAAAGGCTTAATAGTCTAGTAAAAATCTTAAAACTCAAGACAATTGAAAGATCCTGAATGATGAACTACAACTGAGGAAGATCATTAAAGAACAACTTGAATCCATTGATTGCAATCACAAAATGCATCATTCTCAAAGTTTAATCGCAAGATAATTTGGGAAGATTCGACATGGAAATTTGTGCAGTGGAAGACCCATTGATAAGCATAGAATTAGACTCTTGAGTTGGATATATATGCACTGACTTCTCTACCTGATCGTCAAGCCTGGCTGCTGAGTTCAACATGTAATTATCCTAGTTTCGAATTTTCTGCTGATGAAAGGAACAGTTAGAAACTTGTGATCATGTAAAAGAGGAGAATCTAAGAAAGATTCAGGGAAATATACATGTTAAGAAAGGTATATGTTTCCACGTACAATATTTCCAAAGTAAAGTGGACGAAGACTAAGCTAGAGTATACAATATCTTATATCCATTCTTGTTTTCCTAATTAATGAGTTGATCAGATACATGCATGTGCTTCAATTCAAGACTACTGTTGGTTGATTCTTCCTCCTCCCTTTTAACCTCAAAAACTTCCACTGAACTCAGCTTTGATAGAGGCTACAAATTGATTCAATTTTGCTGTTTTTGCTTTCAACACATAGAGATATTGTTTTGTCCGTCAACTTTGAGATGAGTTCCCACTGAATTCTTTTACCAGCTTTGAAAAAGCTGACGAGCTATCTCTCATTAGCTCCCTTGGGCTTGCACATTCTACAACATTTCCTGCAACAAGCAAAGAAAAGAAAAGAAAAGAAATCGTGTCAGCATTGATCCAGAGGGGAACTGCAGACATGGATGTGAAAATGTTGGAAGTGTAAATGCTTGTCGGATTTTAGGTTCTTACCATCATCAAGAAACAGAACCAGGTCACTGCTGATGACAGAGGTTATCTGATGAGCGATAGTGATGACAGTGCACTCGTTTGTTTCATTGCTCACTGTTTTCTGAATGATATTATCAGTTGCCATATCAATGGAAGCAGTGGCCTCATCCAAAACAAGAATTTTTCTCTTCTGCAGCAGTATTCTTGCCATGCAAATTAGTTGTCTTTGCCCTAGACTCCAGTTTTGACCCTCTTCCGCAACTGCAGTAGTTTACATGATTTTAGAACTTGCAGATATCATAGGTAAAAGAAAGAGAGCATGGATTGTTTGATTTAATCACCTGGTGCTTCTAAACCCCTTTGATCTTGCTTTACTATACCAGCCAAATGACACTTTCTCAGAATCTGAAATATCGGGTGATTTTATATGATCAGAAGATGGCTGATCTAGTACACTAATTCTATTGGAAAAGTCTAGTATATATTCTGATTCATACCTCCCAGACTTCGAAATCGTTATGCTGTTCTACTGGATCCACATTGCTCCTGATTGTTCCTTGAAACAATGTGGGATCTTGAGGTATTATGCTTAACTTGGATCTCAAATCTCGCAATCCGATTGTGCTGATATCTAATCCATCAATAAGTATCTGTCCTTGTGATGAATCGACCAGCCGGAATAGGGCTTGGATTAATGTTGATTTTCCACTTCCTGTTCTCCCCACAATTCCAATCTTCTTTGCTCCTGGGAAGGTGCAAGTTATTCCTTTGAGGACTAATGGGAGATCAGGACTATAGCGCACTTGGAGGTTTCTGAACTCGATGCAACCAATCTCTGGCCATTCTGTTCTAGGACGTTTATCTTCAATCACTGGAGGTGCCTCGCTTGGTATCCGACTAAACTGAAGAATTCTCTCAACTGATATCATCTTATTCTCTACATTGCACACATTCCAGATAACCCAAGCTTGTAGAACATTAATATTTAGGCCATAGGTGACTGCAAGTCCTGCCAAGCCTGAAATAAATTCAAATACAATAGGTTGTTAGCAATTGGTTCGAAATATTGAAGTTAAGAAAAGATTTCGAAGGGGCTAAAATATAATTCATATGGTATGTAATGACCAACTTAAAGGATCATATCTCCATGTAACAACTTGAAACAGAAAACTGTCAGTAACTACTATGCAGAGAAGGAAAAGAGGTGCTTACTGGTGTTAGTGGCTGAGCCTGGTATGCTCACCAAGATGACAAGAACAGCGAAAAATCCAAGATTGAAAAGAAAGTTGATCCGAACGCAGAGCCATTCCATTGTTGCCGAATTAAAGAAGGCAACGCGTGAGAAGTCATTAATCAGGTTAACATTTGAGGTGTAGAATTTTTTTTCCTGACTGAAGCATCGGATAGTTACTACGCCAGTGACTGATTCTGAGAAGTGGTGAAGAATTGGAGCCTTTTGAATTCCAACCATCCTTGCAAGTTCTCTGGCAGTTTCTATGTAGTAAACCTGCCGAAAAGTTTAAAATACTCAGCACAACAGAACTAAATGAGAAATAGGACTGTAAATTTTCTTCCATTTGAAAATGGAACCAGTAATCAAAATGAAGCTGATCCTTACATGATACCATGCTGAGATTGCAAAGATGGCGAGGAATAAAAGGGAGACCTGCCATGTCACATGTGACAGGAGGAAAATGACACTGATTAGCTGAATTAGTGCAAATACTAATCCAGCTAGTCTGTAGGAGATATCGGTGTCCACAGTAGCTTGGTCTGTTGAAGACTGCAGAGCAAACAAAGAGAAGAAAATATCAAATTCTAGATGAGAAATTAGCTTCCGAGAAATCAATAAGTTTAGTGAGAAAAGGAAAACAAAGAGAGGGCTGGTAAACTTGGTGATGACCAAAAAGACTAACCCTGTCAAGGATTTGACTTGAAGAAGTGGTGTCAAAAAATGACATTGGAGCTCGGAAAATTGATGTCATCATGCCGATGAAGAGAAGTTGAGCGGTCTTGATGGTAATAACTGTTAACAATAGTGCTCTTGCCAGAACAAAAAGAGAGCTTGCACCTGAAACTAAAGCAAATATCCCTAGCAATTGCTTTTTGCTGACCCTGTCCTCTTGTTCAGTTGCCCATGCAATCCAATAACTGCTTCCCATTTGTAGTGCTTGAAAGAGAACATGAAAAAGGAGGAGAACTGGAACAAAAGCTCCTTTGTATGCAGTAGTAATGAAGCTTGAATAAGCTTTCCAGCTAACTCTTCCACTTCCCCTCTCCTCCTGTTTAGCCACCGGCATGGACTGCCCATTACTGACTTGTTTGTTAGTTTCTCTGCTGTCTTGATTTTGATTTTCCAGATTTGATCCACTAGTTATGGAACTTCCCTGAGTTGAGCTAAGTTGGCTTAAAGACTCACAGTGCGCAACCATTAATCTGTTAAGTTCACCTTGTGGTTTTACAACTAGATCTTTGTATGCACCTGATTGAACTATTCTACCATCTTTCATTACCTGCACAATATCCGTTTAAATCAGAGGAAAAATCATAATATGAAGACTAGAGTGACTCATAAAAAGATGGCTAAAAACTCATTAAACTTACCAGAACAAGATCTGACGCAGCTAAAAATTCCAATTGGTGGGTGACATAAATTACAGTCTTATCAGACAGGAGACCCATCAGACAATGCTGCAGAAAAGTTCCAACATTATTGCATGATTCCTTCACAAGAACTGATAAAACTTGAATAAATGGGGCATTGCTGGTAACAAAGACATAGGAATATGTTTCTTACCTTGAATAAATGTGCCTTCGTATGTGCATCAACTGCACTGAAAGGATCATCCAGGAGATAAACATCTGCTTTACTATATATTGCCCTAGCCAGTTGAATCCTCTGCTTTTGACCTCCACTTAAAGTTATTCCTCTCTCTCCCACCACTGTGAAGTCCTTATGAGCCAGCCTCTCGAGGTCCTCTTGTAGCGCGCATGCTTCGATAACGTTCTTGTAGAATGCTTCGTTCATATTGTTTCCAAACAATATGTTGTCTCTTGTTGTACCAGACTGAATCCATGGAGTCTGTGGGACATAGGCCGTGGAACCAAAAACCTCAATTCCACGTCCAGATATCCTAGGGATCTCTCTGAGAATACTTAAAAGCAAGCTGGATTTACCAGATCCAACTGATCCACAAATGGAAACCTTGTTGCTTTCCATGATTCTCATGTTTTCTCCAATCGTAACTGTTGGCTGCAAAATGTTTGTGTTGCTTGTTTCCCAAGCATATTCTCCTGAGGTAATATCAATCGCTGAATGCTTTTTCCGAGGCAAGTTGTTAGCCTTCGATTTCTCTTGGTTGTCTTCTCTTAAGAACTCCTGGAGTCGAATGATTGAAATACTTGCATGTGCAAAAGCAGAAAAAAGCTCTGGCATGTTATAAATCGGCTCATGTAACAGTTGGAGGGTGGCTAAAGCTGAGAAGATTGAACCTGAACTAAGCTTTTTGTCTAATATAGTGCAAACTCCGAATGTCATTAAGGAAATTAAAATTGGTGAAGTCCAATACAGAAAGACAACTGCTGACTTTGCGTACAGGAATTTCACCAGCCAACCTCTTTCAGTTTCTCTGAGATGAAGCAACTTATCTAGAAAGGAAGGCTCCCAAGCATGCAACTTCAAGACTTTGATGCTTTTTAGAGTCTCAGATGTTGCTTTGATTCTACGGTCTTTTGCTTCCATTATCCTAGATTGCAGTCTTTTCTGCAAATTTGACAAAGGAGTGTTGCTCGCCATAATCAAAACAGCAGCAAGAACAGCCAGAATCGAAGGGATCCAGCCAAGATGTTTTATCAAAATGATTAATGCAAGCATCACTTGAAATGGCAGCAACCAAACTTCTTGAAAGCGTTGGATGAACTCCACAACTTTTTCAGTATCTGTATTAATGTAGTTGATAATCTTTCCGTTTCTTGCTCCATCACTCCTCACCCTCAGCAATTTCTTGTAAAGCAATGCCAACATGGCTGCACGAATCTTAATCCCAATTTGGCAAGCTCCAAAGTACCACTGCCTCTGAGAAAGAGATTCGGCTGTCTTCGCCACGAAAAAGATAGATGCAAGAACAAAACCATAATGGCTACTATCATCAACCTTAGAAGATAAAAGGTGAATGAATTTCGCAATCAGAAATGGTCCTGTGTAGGAAGCAATGGCATAAACCCCTGAAAAGATTTGAAACAAAAAATTGTGAAAACCGTACACAGCCAAAATTGAAAATCAGAAAGAAGCATGATCAAAAGAAACAAAGTTATACCAGCAAATATAGCATTCAAGGCCAGGGATCCCCAAATAGAACAAAAAATCGCTTTCGCTAACGATGGGGTTTCAGTCTTGTCCTTCTGAAGAGATTCTTCTAACAAGGAGTAAGCTTTATCAGCCATAGCTGATTGAGGGAAAGTAGGAATATCATATACTTCAAGTTTTTCTCTATGTCCTTTGGAAAAGAGTGGATTGAGCCATCTGAAAGTGATTTTGCTCCAGAAGCCGGCCTTGGTAAAGGGATCATCAACTTTCAATGCATCCACATCCTTGTTTAGGAGATGGCGCTCAAGCTCGTCTTTGTATTCCATTGCGCATTCTAACACCGGAGGACAACTGAAAACAGTCGACCAAAAAGAACATAAAGAAGTTAACAAATCAAGTTCAGCAAGCAAAATAGCGTTAGTGCAGATGGATTGCAGCAGCAGCTAAAATTAGCAACAGAACAAGATCAAATTTTATAGCAGAAGGACTAAGTAACATCAATAGGGTATTGCAGCGAAAGACTAATTTCAAATCATTCCCTCTTTGGTTGACTGATCAATGGATTTGGAGAAGAAGCTCAAAATTATGATATCACCATTAATGCTTACACTATAACTGACAAATTGTAATTATCCATCTATAATGCTAAATCAAAAACAGTTACAAATATGAAATAAACAAAGGGATTGTGCCAATTCCTTTCTTTCAGGAATAAATAAATTTCCTAAAGGAAACCAATGACATCATCTATCAAAAAGAGTCGTTTCCCTTTCAGTCTTGTTCTCGAACAAGAAAGCAAGAATCAAAAGACACAACAAGAACCAACAAAGCCTGACCTATGCAGGTAACACAAACAGATGTATCAAAACAACGTCAGTGGAATTATTAATCTTGTTCTCTAAGAAGACTTGCTGAGTATAGCTGGTGCCTGGTAGCTAGGAACTGAGCAGCAGGGAATAGCAAAAAGAGAGCAGTACAGCCCCTTCTATAAATTAAGAAGAGAGGCAGAGTCGGTTTTATGTTATTACATGAAGGCATTGTCGTGTCACTGCTAAAAAAGGAAACGTTCTGATTGTTTCCAGTTTCCAACTGGGAATAGTAAGGCTAGGCTTGCAAGAATATCCTATATAGAATGTATGCCCACTACACATGGAAATTTCTAATTTTGATTTACCTTCATCCATTTCTACTTAAAGGTAATTAATATTTCCTCTTCAATTTACAAAGCATTTAGCCACCTTTTCCTTTGAGAAGATCCTTGAGCTCCTCCCCTCCGGTGCAATTCTGCCGCATATAGCAGCATCTCCGTTAACGATAAATACTCCAGGTCAAAACTCCGTCTCCCAAACCCTTGATGCATGATGCTTTACGTCAATACAAGGCAACAGAATGAAGCAAGCTCAAGATCATACTGTCACAAGTAGTTGATTCAACCACTGTTTCCTCTGCAGAACCTACTGATATATCCTTGGAAAAACTCCCTAATTCCCCAAAGAGGTTTTCTGATTGTTTCAATCAACCACTCTTCTGTAGGACTGGCCCACTAATGAAGCTCCTAAGCTTATCGAATCTGGTTGGCAAATAACCCTACAGCCATGCCTCCGGTGCAAGGTTGAACTGCTTCAAAATTGGATTTGAAACTATATGAGGGATCAATGGTGATTTGGCTGAAATATGAAAGTGATGTCCATGCAACATTATAGAGAGGGACATATACATTAAACACAATACACATTTGCTCACACTAATAATAGTTTTTCTCTAATATAATGCTTAATTATGATACGACTGAAAATTTAAAATTCGAAGCATTTATTTGTTAAATTTAAGGAAAGAAGTTATATACAAGATCCAGCCAAAAAAAAAAAAAAAAAAGCTATAAATTTCTCAATTTTGTTGTTGTTCGTGATTTGCATGACAGTACTCCTGTTATTAATTTCTTTATTTGAAAAGCATGCCTTCTTAACATTAAGATCCCTGTCAAAACATTATGTTCTTGATAGCGTATGCATGCTGTAATACTGAAAGATTTCAAGAGGAAACCACAGAAAGAAATCCATTAAGGCAATGTAGATGCATTAGTTTCAAGCAGGCAAAATTATTAGTCACATATATATGTCTGTTCATAGGTTAGTATTGAGAGAAAATCTCTTAACAGTTACATCCAATTACAAACTATACGAAAGTTGTCTTTTTTTTTTTTTTTATTCTTCACAGAGATGCACAGAGGAAGTAGAACTGAAAATTTGCTGCAAGAACATTACTTGATTATAAATAGAGAAATTTTATAATACACAAGGAGTAACTAGTGGCATGTACGGTAGTTACTCCTTGGGTTCATTTTTAGGAGAGAGATAGACACAAAAAGAGAGAAAAAATAAAAAAAATTGAAGCGGACGTGGAAATCTTTTTATCACTTTCGGTGGGTATAGATGTAATTTCGTTCTTTTTTATGTGTCTATCTCTCTCTTCAAAGTGGACCTAAGGAATAACTACCGTACATGCCACTAATTACTATTTATGTATTATAAAATTTTCCAAATAAATATGAAAAAACAAAAGTGGACAACAACTGTAATGCAAAAAAATGAATTAAATAGTCCCTTAATTTTTGTAAAATGAATTAAATAGTCCCTTTTCTTTTGATGACTAATTCATTAGTCTTGTAACTACTACTCACCGTAGTTAATTTAATATTACTGTTTAAAAAATATTTTTTTTCTTGTTAATTTTTTTCATATTTAATTTTTTTCTATTTTTATTTCTTATAACAAAAATATACGAATTGAAAAGGAGCAAAAATGATTAAGCTAAAAAAATTAAAATCATAGGAATTAATTAATTAATTTTTGAAAATAGAGGAACTGTTTGATTTGTATAGAAAAACTAAAGAAACTAATTTATAATTTACTCAGAATTAATCCAGTATATGATTAATAAATGAAGATTCGACTCCAAGGGATTATTTATGTTGATCATAAATAATAATAAAACATAATGTGAAACAAGACTATATTAATGCGAAAAAAAGGACTGTGTGACATAAGGAGGGACGAAAGTATATAATTGTTGTAGCCGGCCCATTGTGTAAAACTGAATTGGGGCATTTGGGAATTAGAGGGCCCATAAATAAAATATTTGTTGTAGCCGGCCCATTGTGTAAAACTGGACTCCAAAGAGTTTCTTAAGAATCTAGAAGCAACTTTCTCATGTTTCAAAGGGGCAAAGAGGACCCGGACCTGACCCTCTTCTAAAGATCCATCCTTAGGCCTGTCCTAATCCAAACAACGAGGAGTTACAGCAACTCAATGAATAAGAAAAGGATAAAATAAATAAAGTTGAAGATGACACCGTCAACGTTGTCACTCATAAACCTAAAGAACAAAATAATCCCTCGCTGTTTTATCCGATGCATAAGATAAAAATAATTATTTTAAAATTTTTTTATATATATAATGATTTAAATTCAAAATCACTTATTTAAACGGTTAAAATCTATTACAAGTTAATTCTCCAAAATTAATAGTAATTTTATTTTATAGAAGCATACATACCGTAAAAAATACCCAATAGATTGAAACAACAAACCAAGGCAGAGTTAGTGTTGATTTCAATCAGTTTGTGTATGTGTGGTGTAGTAATTAAGTAAAAACTAATTCCATATGAAAATAAACTAATTGACGTCATATCATATCATATCATGGAGCAAGAATTTGTTAACGAAGTTCAAACAGCCATGTAACAGCAAGTATTAATCTAACCTTACAAAATAATGCAAAGGTGACGGTCCAAATCAATGTAATCTCTTATGCATGCAGTAGCATTAAAAACACTCGAAAAAGTAGAATAAATAGGTGACTTGAGATGTTATTGGCAAGAGCATTTCTGCAGTTAGCAGTTATCACCATTGAGACTGCTCAGCATCTCTTAATTTATTGGCATGATAACGTCGGTTCTTCGAGCCCTATGTCACTCTTTGACGCTACTTCAAGTCAACTCCTTGACAGGGTTAGTCCTTCTGCTGATCATCGCCATCTTCTACTTTCTTTTTTCCTTCTTGAATTATGGTTTCTGAAAAAAGCTAGTTTCTTATCTATATTCGATATTTTTTTCTCCTTTCATTACTGCAGTCTTCTACAGACCATGCAAGCGACTGTCGACCCTGATATTTGAAAGAAAATGCGTGAAAAGTCATCAACAAGGCCAAGATTTTTGGTATAGAATTGTTCTTCCTGATCGAAGCAGCGGATAGTTGCTGCCCCAGCAATTGTTTCCGAGAAGTGGTGCAGAAGTTGAGCCTTTTGAATTACAACCATCCTAGCCACTTCCCTGGCAGTTTTTATAGTACGCCTACGTAGAAGTTTGGAAAACTTCAATGCGTAGTAACCACAAACCTGTCCTGAGAAAGAAACAAACTACGTTTCGTTTTGATTTTGATCTTGTTTACACGTCACCTTTTCCTTCGTTTGTTAATAAATAATTGGCCATCATTTTTTTTGTCACAGTTATCTGAAATTGTCGATAACACATCATGGGAGGTTGGAACTGTGTGGTTACTTTTGTTGTTTCCTCTTTAGGTGGTTCGGTCCTCATCTTTTTGTGTTCGGGTCCTTTGGTTCAGATTTTTTTGTCGGGAGATCGATGATTGATTACAGGAAATCTTTTTGTTTGGTTCAATTCATTACAGGTATCAATCCATTCTGCTCTCACGTTGGTCTGTGCTGGCTCCAGGAATTGCTCACACACGTGGAATTCCAGATGCATCTTACGGATCAGAATGATTTATAAACTAGTCCTTTTATTTTTCCAAAACGAATTAATTAGTTATTTTTATTTAAAAATTATTTCTTTACAGCTTTTTTAATCAGCATTAACCCCATATTTAATTTAATATCTATGTAATATCATCTATTCTCATAGATCTTTTCAGTATACCGCTGCGAACAAAATATTATTATATACATAAATTATTAATTATTCACGCACGTTGAAAGTGGAAAACGATTGAGCATTCTATTAAAAAATTTGAAGAAGAAGACATCTTCCTAGCAAATGGAATATGGAAACTTTGTTCTTTCAATGGCAAGTTCGTTTTTTTTTCAAAAAAAAAAATCATGCATGCTACACTCATACATAATTAAACACGAAACAATCAGATGTAGACTAACTAATGACATATATAGTTATTATTTTATGAATCCATTTTAAAAAAGAGAAAAAATAATAAAAAAATTAAATGAATGTGAAAATTTTTTATCATTTTTTATGATTACGAATGTAATTCAATATGTATATCATTATTTTTAAAGTGAATTCATACATTAATTAATGTATTTATCATTAATTATTCTTTGAGTATTATAAAATTTTTCAGAAAAGAACACCAAACATGTAAGTTAAAGCTAAATTTCCAAAATCCAATCATAAAGCCAATCAAATTCAATACCGAGAGGAATAGAAGAAGAAGAAGAACCTGGATAGGCGTAAATGATCGATGGTCAGCTATATCGGTCGACCTCTTAAGTTGATCCTAATAGATAACTTGAGCTTGCAAATTTAGTGAGAGAGAGAGAGAGAGAGAGAGGAGGAGGAGGAGGAGGAGGAGGAGGGGAATTTATTGGAGAATGGATATTGAAAGGAATTAAATGCTAAGGAAAGATATATACAGAGAGAGAGAGAGAGAGGTGATTCCGTCGGGTTCGCTTTTTTTTTTTCACCCCTCGGCGGGCAACAGAGAGAGAAAGAGAGCGGCTTTTGCCCAATCGTTTGGAGGGAATTTGTTCTTCTTACATTTGTTTTGAATTTACTCGACGACTAAAAGTTTTTTTTAAAAAAAGAGGAGTAAATCTTTCTTGAGTAAATTATAAATTACTCCCTCTAGTTTCAGAAAACAAACTAATTAGTCTCATTTTTTTAAAAAATTATTATTCATTCCTTTAATCAGTTTTAAGCATACTTAATTTAATATTATTTATATTTCACAAAATCTCTTAGTTTTTCATCAATTTTTTTATATTTTTATTTTTAAAATAAAAAATTAAAAAAAATTAAATAATTAATTTTTGAAATGAGATGGACTAATTTATAATTTAATCATCTTCTTTGGTACCACATTTGAAATGCTTGCGGGCTGTGGCCCTATGCTGAAAAGTGCACTCAGCTAATTCCAAGAATACATAAATGAATGAAGCATATAGGTTTTGATTGGTGATCTTGATTTTTTTTACAGTTCTATTCTAGGGTTGTTAGGATTTTGTGACTAAAGTTACCTTTTTTTAGCAAGATTAAATTAAAAGCAAGTTTTCTATGATAAAAAAAAAAAAATCACTTTATATATTCTCATTTAAAGTTTGAATTCGAATAATAGTAAATGAATTTTTTGTCTTTAACCATCAAATCAATCTTCTTAAATTATAAATGAATTTAGATATCATGAGCAGTTCTAAAATTTGAATAACAAAAAAATAAATGAATGGTTATAGCCTACTTCATATACTAAAAGAAAAAAAAATTAAATATAGTAAAACTACACTTAGGTTTAATTTTGAAATTTCAATGAATTCTAGTAAAAAATCAGGGATGATAAATAAATCTAGTATATGAAAGGGAAAATATTTTATTTGAATATTTACTATGAATATTTTTTTAACATTATAAAACCAATTTATTTGAAACAAAATAATTTTTTAAAGGAACCAATTAATGATTCGAATATAGTTTTTTATGCTAGTTTTATTGATTATTTTGTATATATATCAAATGCATTTATTGAAAAAAAATCTTCTCACCAATATTAAATAAGAATAAAATTTTATTTTTTCATTGGTTAATTTTTATGCAAGGCTATACATTAATTGTAACTTTATTTTTTGGATACATTTTTATAAAAAATAATTTTAAAGTATTATTTTTAATTTTTAATTAATATTTCAAGTTTAAATTATTACAAGTTTTTATTTAAGAATTCGTGAATAAAGAAGAATAAATCATTTTTTTAAGTATAAATTTTATGAAAAACATATAATTTTTTTTTAATGAAATAAAAAATTAATGAAAAAATTATGAAATTTTGAAATGATTTTTTTTTATCTACTTGTATAGTTGCACGTATTATTTCAAAAATTAATCTTATCATCAGTATTGAATAAGAATTTTTTTTCATTTGTTAATTTTTATAAAAATGTTTCTATTGATTATAATTTTTTAAGAAAATATTATAAAAATTATATTTAATTTTTTTAATTCTTGATTAATATTTTAATTAAAATTATTATAATTTTTTATTTTAAAATCTATCTATAAAGAAGAATGATTTAAGTTTTTTTAACGTAGAAAATTTATTAAAAAAACATTAAATAAAAAATTATAATTGAAAATTTTTTAAATAATTTTGTTTTATTAAAATCACAGCATAGCACGAGCAACTGGATAGCTTTTATCTATATATATGAAGTTAAGAAATTATCTCCTACCAAGAGGTTTAAGTTTTTTTTAATAAAATTCAATCTCAACTATTTAATTTTATATTAAAAAAAAGAACTTAATGAATTAATTAGGACTGAATCATATAAAAAAAATTTTTAACTAGTTGAATCCATCGATTGCAATCACAAAATGCATCATTCTCAAATTTTTCTCGCAAGATTATTTAGGAAGTTTCGCCATGGAAAATTCTGAAGTGATAAGCACAGAAATTTTTGAGGTGGATGTGCATTGACTTCTCTACCTGGCGGTCAAGTCTGGCTGCCGAGTTCAACATGTAATTATCCTAGTTTCGAATTTTCTGCTGATGAAAGGAACAGTTAGAAACTTGTGGTCATGCAAAAGAGGAGAATCTAAGGAAGATTCAGAGAAAGAAATATACATGTTTAGAAAGGTATAAGTTTCCACGTACAATATTTCCAAAGTAGAGTGGACGAAGACTAAGCTAGAGTATACAATATCTTGTATCCATTCTTATTTTCCTAATTAATGGTATTCCTCAAAATAAAGGTAAAAACATCTGCTGATCATGAGGTTGGTAATATATATATATATATATATATATATATATATAGTAGAAGTCACCATCCAAGTCAACTTCCAATTGTCTTTGCAAATTGTCAAGGCATTAAAAAAAAAAAAAAAACAAGTAGAAGTCACCATCCAAGTCAACTTCCAGTTGACTTGGAAGGTACATATTTCCACAATATTTGCAAGACGAAGACTAAGCTAGGCTGCTTTTGCTTGTAGGACACACTTTTAACATCCTTAGATGTAAAAGTTGGTAGCAGAAATATTTTCTACCTATCTTTGCTCAAACGGCTAGTAGAAAGGGTAGGGTGAATAGCCAAAGAATGGCTGTGCAGGTGCAGCTAATGTTTCAAGTCATGATGCTGTTGCTGTGGTTATTTAATTTTCCATCTGTTATAGTAGAAGCACAGCCTATAGCAAAGGCTGGTTGTCATGATCAGCACTGTGGGAGAGTCAAGATTCCATATCCATTTGGAATGGATTCCAGTTGCTACTTAGAAAAGAGTTACAAAATAGATTGCAACTCTGGCAGGCCCACAATCCACGTAAATGGCACCAATCTGGAGGTGACAGAAATTTCAGTTGGAGTGGCCAGAAATACCATTCGCGTCAATTTACCAATCATCTTCGAAAATTGCAACAGTAGAAGGAAATCCAATGATGAAGTCGTTGTTGATTTCGTTGTTCATTTGGGAGGAAGTCCTTTTGCTTTCTCTGGAACTGAAAATAGCTTCGTTGCAGTGGGTTGTAATAACTTGGCGTTACTGGCAAAAAATGAAACAATTTATGCTGGCGGATGTCTGTCAATTTGCGATGGAAACGGAAAGGTTGCCTCTACAGCCAAATCTAGTTGCAATGGCGTCAACTGCTGCCAGACCACAATCCCTTCAAATCTTAAGTTTTTTGGAACATCCTTTATTCCATTTTCGCCAGAAATGGTAGACGACAAAGGGGACAAAGGCAACACATGCAAGTATGCCTATTTAGTCGAACAAAATTGGCTTCTTGATAGGCTCTATCACAATAGCCTTGGAAAGCCCTACTACTCTGTGACGGATAGGAAGACTGTTCCTGCTGTGCTCAATTGGTCAATTGATTCAAGATTACGTTCTCGACTTCCTGTGATTAACGATTCGAGATATAAATTGTCTTCTTGTAATGATACCCCTTTAACGTTATCAGATGACACAAACCAGACAATCACTCAATGTTTCTGCCTTCATGGCTTTCGAGGCAACCCCTACGTTTCTTACGGATGCGACGGTAGGCACTTTTTGTTTTTCTCCATTTTTCTCTGCTAATATATTTTGTTTATATTTTCTCTGTGAAGTATTGAATTCTGTTTTCTATAAATATTCAGATGTCAATGAATGCGAGGAACACACCCATGATTGCTACCGCAAGGCCCTCGAATGCAAAAACACCTATGGTTCCTACGAATGTGTGATGCCTGAACACAACAAATCTCGGGGTAAAATGGTGGTTTCCGGTACGTGGATTTGCGCCCTATAACGAGAATAAGTTTTCAATGTTAATTATTTTAAAACAAAATATTGTTCTGGTGCTTCTTTTGTTTGTAATAATCTTGTAATTCTGTCACCTATATATCAACCGACTTTCTTCTTTTTTGATATAATTTTTATTTTCTTAAAAAAAAAAAACTAAGGTTTTTGCCAACTGTTAAACAAATTTCAAGAATTCTAATTAAAAAAATGAATTATCAATAAATAGAAAAATTAAAACATTAATCTACATAAGGAATTAAGAAAAATATATAATTTTTTAGAAAAAAGAAAGAATAAATAAATATTTAAAGCATATCCAAAAGTATGTTATTTTTGTACTACCTTATGCATAAAAAATACTAAAACATACCAATAAATATTTGATTAAAAAATATGTCATTTAGAATGATTGAATTTGTGAAAATATGAAGCAATGTCGACATTACTAACTTGTTGAGTTATGCAGGTCTTGGCATAGGACTCGGGATATTGGTTCTCGTAATTGGCACATGGTGGTCGTACAAATTATTCAAGAGAAAAAGGAAAGAAAAACTCAAGAAGAAATACTTTAAACAGAATGGTGGTTTATTGCTACAAGAACAACTATCTTCAGGTGAAGTCAATGTCGAGAAAATCAAAATGTTTCCTTCGAAAGAATTAGAGAAGGCGACCGATCGTTACAACGTCGACAGAATACTCGGTCAGGGAGGCCAAGGTACAGTTTACAAAGGAATGTTGGCAGATGGAAAAATCGTTGCTGTCAAGAAATCCAAACTAGTTGATGAAAGCCAACTCAGACAATTTATCAACGAGGTTGTTCTTCTATCCCAAATTAGCCATAGAAATGTTGTTAAGCTGTTAGGCTGTTGCTTGGAGACTGAAGTTCCCTTGTTGGTCTATGAATTCATTCCTAACGGGACCCTTTTCCAATTTCTGCATTGCCCAAATGAGGAATTCCCTTTAACTTGGGAAATGCGTTTAAGGATAGCAACAGAGGTAGCGGGGGCACTTTTCTATCTACACTCAGCAGCTTCCATCCCCATTTACCATAGAGACATCAAGTCTACAAACATATTGCTTGATGAGAAGTACAGAGCCATAGTAGCAGATTTTGGGACATCGAGGTCCGTAACCATTGACCAAACTCATGTCACAACTCTAGTAAAAGGCACCTTAGGGTACTTGGATCCAGAGTACCTCCAATCAAGCCAATTCACGGACAAGAGTGATGTCTATAGCTTTGGTGTAGTCCTTGTTGAGCTTCTTACTGGACAGAAGGCAATCTCTTCCACAAGGTCGGAACAAGAAGGCAGAAGTTTAGCCACGTATTTTCTGATGGCCATGGAGAGCAACTGTTTGTTTGATATTGTTGATCCTCAAGTTCTGAAGCAGGGCAATAAAGAGGATGTGTTCACGGTTGCTAGCTTGGCTAAGAGCTGCTTGAGGTTGAATGGAAAAGTCAGGCCTACAATGAAAGAAGTCACAATAGTGTTGGGGGGATTAAGAAATCAGAAAACTTGATCGTTCAACAAGAGATTCAATACGACAGAAATGAAGTAATGGGAGCACCTTGGGACACTGCTTCTGCCTCAACAAAGTCTGATTTGGATATTTGTGATCCTTCATCACAATATGAAAAACCACTCTTAAATACATATTGAAATTTTGTTTCAAACTGCCATATGTTTTAATTTTTGTGTTTGCAAAAAAGTGTGTCAGGATGTATCCAGTAATGCTGATTCTTCGAGGCTTTGCTTGTGCATAGCTTATAAGAAAATGGGTCCGTTAATTAGTTTTGCGAGAACAAACGATCCACTAAAGTTCAGTTGCACATATGTCTCTAGTCATTTGCATGCATCTTTTGATATATCCAAAATTCAAATGTACAAGTCTACCATACTATACATACAATGGATTATTTACTCCCTTATCAACATTAAGTACAAGAAGACGTTGATCAACATACACTAAAAATAAATAAATAAATTATCGAGGGTTAAACCATCACTAAAAGTTTTTTTTAAAAAAAAACCATCGCTAATTATAATTAGTGATGGTTTTGTAACGATCAAATACCAACATAAAAAACCTTTTCGCTAATTAATTAGCGAGGATTTTTGTTAATCCTTCGTTAATCCATAGAAAATCGTTGCTAAATAATTAGAAAAGATTGTCAATTTAGCGATAATTTAATCCGCCACTATATTGTGACTCGTTTAGCGATCGTTTTCATAAACCATCGCTAACTATGACTAAAGTTAGCGTCGGTTTTAAACCATCGCAAAATCGTTTTATTTATTATTTTAAAAGATGTATATAAATTGAAAAAGAGCAAAAATGATTAACCTACAAATAAATTTAAAAGCAAAGGAATTAATTAATTAATTTTTGAAAATAAAGGAATTATCTGATTCGTTTTGAAAAACTAGAGAGGCTAATTAATAATTTACTCATAATCGATCCAGTGTATGAAAGGGAAATAAAAAGGAAAATGGAGATTCGAATCCAAGAGATTATTTATGTGATCATAAATAAGAAAAAAAAATACAGGCAACAAAACTATAATGCGAAAAAGGGACTCTGTGAATAATTAATCCATTAAAAAAAAAAAGAGAGAGAGAGAGAGAGAGCAAAGAAAAACGGTGCATGACTGAATTGGGCCATTTGGGTATTAGAGAGCCCATAAATCAAATATTTGTTTTGGGTGGCCCATTGTGTAAAACTGGACTAAAGAGTATCTTAAGAATCTTGAAGCAACTTGTTTAAAAGGGACGAAGAGTTAAATCAACTTTTATATATATATATATATATATATATATATATATATATATATATAATAGTAAAACTGCATTGCATTTTTTAGTGAAATTACAAATAAATTTGTGTAAACAATGGCAACAAAGCAGCATCACGATATGCAAACATCGTAAAAACTGTGAAATTCAATCCCAATGAAAAATACATTATCCATTAGTTTTGGTAATGGAAGCAGATTGAAGTGATAAATTGAAGAAACGTCAAAGGAGTAAATTATAGAAAGCCAGATTTTAAAAAGAAATCGATAAAATTCATAAATTGAAGGGCTTAATTGAAATTTATCCATACTTGAAATAATTGCATGTAAAATCATGAAACAGAAATCATTCATACTCATTTCGTTGGCTCCTTTTCTTGATGCGAAATTATTTATTGCCATTCCTCAAGTACGTTTTGGACTTTTTGGCTAATAATGTATCTTGTCATCATCTCAGTGTTTTCTTGTCCAAGCAAATCACTCGGTTTCAGGCACAAAGAGCCTGCCTATTTCTGTTAGCTTCTCCTAATTAGCTAGTAATTAGCAACACTAACCACAACGTAACTCCATGCTTTAATTATTATATTATTTCCTACTACTACACCTATATATCCATTCTTTAGCAACCTCCTTCTCCACACCCTTTTCACTTCCCATGCTGCCTAGCTTAGCCTAGCCTCACCTTGTTTTTCCTTTTCTTCTCCTCTTGCTTTCTTCATCAAATCGATTATGTACGTACAAAATGTGTTCGTCAAGTTACACAGTCTGTATATATATATATATATATAGGAATTCGGAATTCCTTAATTATTTTACAATGAAATATTGGAGAGAAACTAAGAAAGTAAAAAGCGATGTCAAGCTCTCAAAAGCATCAGGAAGCAAAAGCTTTAATGATGAAGAAGATGTTCTTTTCAGGGCTTAAAGCAGGGATAGTCTTTCCAAGAATTGGAAGACCAACTCCAAGAACTCCGGCGAAAAGGATAGAACATAGAAGCAATTGCTGCAGCTTTGTATTTCAGGGCCTCAGATTTATTGCTTTCTTCTTCTTCTCCTGCGTCACACGTGCATTTCCCTAGGACAAGGGTAGGGAGTAGTAGAATCAAGCAAAAGAAGGTTAAATAAAATTTGTTAAAATTCTCCATAATAATGATTGGATCAAGAGAAAAATTTGTTAGTAGATCGAGTGAAGGAAAAGAGAGTGAATTAAGGAGATGTAGGCAGGTTGTGTTGTTATACAGAGAGGACTGAATTAAGTAGATTGAGCAGCTAGCAACCCGCAACAGTCCTGCTAACATTCTACTTGTACTGACGCTAAGAATTCTAACCCGCAACTACGTACTCTCCATCGTTATTGCAAAAATTTTGGTAATGTATTAATAATTTAAAATAAACATTTTGGTGAAAATAATAAAAATATGTAATAAATTTAGCAATACCCTTGAAAATAAAGGTACAAATTGGAGACTCGGACTTTTAGATTGAGCTATTACCCACAAATATGTGATACTTTATTTGTGAAGAACACCTGATATCAGTATCAGAGAAGATCAAGAACCCGGAACAGCAGCAGACTCAAAAGAAGGATCTTTTGAAAAGTAACTGTTAGCTGTATAAAGATGAATCAGACCGCACGATGTGCGCCTGTGCAAATGTTATTAACTAAAGGTAGACGAAATACCTAACTGTGCATATGCCTTTGCCTTTTCTTAACTTACACATTGCAGCTTTTCTTCCATCTTTTCAGCAAAGCATGAATGGCTGCTTCCATTTGCTTTTTTCCAGGAAGGGATTCCTAGGAATTACTGTGCTAACTAGTGGAGCTGGATTATTGAGTACGTTCTCCCCAAATTATGCTTCTTTGGTGATAATTCGTTGTTTGGTTGACATGGGCCTAGGTGATTCCACCGTATTCTGCTCCTGGTTTCTAGAGTTTGTTCCTGCTCCACATAGAGGCACGTGGATGGTTGTCTTCTCAACTTTCTGGACATTGGGTACAATTTTTGAGGCTTCACTTGCATGGGTGTGTTTGGTCATTTTCTTCCTGGCTAATAATATTATTATCCAAACCGTGGGTGATAAATGAGCAAGCTAAACTAGCTCAGAGTTTATAACAGAAAAAAGTTCAGAACTTTAAAGTTCATTCTTTAGCATACATCTTTCTTAACCCGGAAAAATGGCTGTGGATTTTAAATCTGGTTTCTCCTCATTTGTCATGCTGTTCTCATCAACATTAATTCAAACAACACTGCTCCTATGGGTGTTACTCTTTAGAAATGTATTTTCCTACTATGGTATCATTTTGCTGACCTCAGAGCTAAGTAGTCAGCAAAGCAAATGTGGCTCAACTATCTTGAGCTCAGAAAATCTCCAGGATGACTACAGCCTCTATATAAATATGTTTCGTACTAGTTTGGCAGGTATTTCATGCCTAGTCTCCTCTCTTTACCTAGCTCATACCTTGTCTATATGGTATCTTTACCTAGCTCATACTTTGTCTATATTAGTTTACTCATTCATTTAATACCCATTAAATTTAATTTATCAAAAACATTCATTTTGGTTCTTTTATTTTTAAGAAAAGTTTTTTTATCCTTAAAATTTAATTTTTTAAATTAATGGCGACTAGGCAACCATTTTCTCAGCTTATGAAAAGAGGCCTTTGATGAATAGAGGAACTAGAAAACCCTAGATTTTAGCCCAAATTTATCTTCTTTTTTATTTTTCATTCAAAGCCTTTTATGCTTTCAGATATTATTCTGAAAGAAAGTCCAAAGAGCCCACCTCGTGATCCAGTTTAAAGGAAATGTCACTAATATTTCAAATCCTCAATGCATTATTCAAGTTTTCATACAATCAAACCATTAAATTTTTGAAAATGTTATTATTATACTTAATAATTATAACTGTTAAAATATATGAATTATAATAAAATTATTAATTACTTTCAATGCATTTCCTTGCCAGTTACTATAAAGTAAAGTCGGTCTTTCTTTTTTCTCAAGTCTCTGCCTTTCCCTCCTGTGTGTGAGTGTGAGTGTAAGGTAGAAAAGCAAATACATCTCCCTCACGCATACGTTATATGCATGGGTGCTACAGATCTGCTGTTCACTCGGTTTCAGGCACAAAGAGCCTGCCTATTTCGGTTAGCTTCTCCTAATTAGCTAGTAATTAGCACCACTAACCATAACGTAACTCCATGCTTTAATTATTATATTATTTCCTACTGCTACACCTATATATCCATTCTGCTGCAACCTCCTCCTTCACACCCTTTTCACTTACCATTCTTTATTATATTATTTCCTAGTACTACACCTATATATCCATTCGGCTGCGACCTCCATCGCCACACCCTTTTCACTTCCCATGCTGCCTAGCCTTGCCTCACCTTGTTTTTCCTTTTGCTTTCTTCATCAATGCTTAGAGTTTCTTCCCATGCTGCCTATTTCTTGTTTTTCGTTGTTCTTATTTGAAGGAATGGGACTTGGAGGATGCATTTTACAGGTAATTATATTCCCATATATAGTAATTTAATGTTCTAGTGCTGGTAGGGTAGAACGCTTCTCTAAGACTTGCATTTTGTGTGATCAGGCAGAATATGGAATGAAAATGAAAGCAATCCTGGCATTCTTCTTCTCTACAACAACTCCATTCGGAATTGTACTAGGAATTGGTCCCTCAAATGTGTATAGTGAGAGCAGCCCGACAGCTCTAATTGTTGTGGGATTACTGAATGCATCTGTAAACAATATCAGTTCATGGGCAAGATAAGAAGAAAAAAGAAGTTACAGAAAAGGAAACGTAAAACAGAGCATGAGAAGCCAAAAAACAGAGTATATCACACTGTGATATTTTAGTACAAATATATACATGGTACTGTAGCATATATGTTACTGTAGCAATACCAACTCAGCTTACAAAAGTATTTCAAAACAAAATCCCACAGGATAAGAAGCTTCACTCCTTTTAAACTAACCAAGGATTACAAAATGATACTTAAAGTATCTAAAAAATTCTCAGATTCTAACAGCATCATCTGCTGGATTACTAAATTACATGGCACTGGTAGACCTCTTAGCAACTGACTTCATGGGGCCTAAACTGCGAGACAGTATGAGGCTTCAGGTATGGTCATATATTGCAGTTCTACTCGGCACAGGAGTCATGTCGCTTCTGACGAAATGGGCTTAAGATGTAGCCAGGTCTGCTGTCATGTCATATTCTTTCTATGAATATTTATATCCTGCTGGATTACTGAAAATGTGACAGATAACCGAGGAATTTAATGTTCAAGTTCCTTCAAGTGCAGCACATGAACCAGAACTATCAATTGGACCAAGAGAATGGCCATGAGTTGCATGAGTATGAAGATGAACATAACCCTCGTGTGACTCTACTGCCGCCTTCTCCTCATCCCCATTCTCCTCAGGTTGAGCCTTGTTGAGGTGCAACCTAGTAAAGTAAGAACTTCCAAGACAATCCACCATCAAAGTCCCAATTGCTGACACCATTGCCACAAACGCCGTGAAGGGAAATTTACCCCAAGGATTTTCATTCAGGCATGGCGATGTCAAGCTCTCAAAAGCATCAGGAAGCACGTGGATAAAGCCAGTCGACAATATAACCCCAGCCGCAAAAGCTTTAATGATGAAGAAGATATTCTTTTCAGGGCTTAAAGCAGGGATAGTCTTTCCAAGAATTGGAAGACCAACTCCAAGAACTCCAGCAAAAAGGATAGAAGCAATTGCTGCAGCTTTGTATTTCAGAGCCTCGGATTCATTGCTTTCTTCTTCTTCTTCTTCTCCTGCATCGCATGTGCATTTCCCTAGGACAAGGGTAGGGAGTAGTAGAATCAAGCAAAAGAAGCTGGTTAAATAAAATTTGTTAAAATTCTCCATAATAATGATTGGATCAAGAGAAAAATTTGTTAGTAGAGTGAAGGAAAAGAGAGTGAATTAAGGAGATGTGGGCAGGTTGTGTTGTTATATAGAGAGGAGTTCTACGGCAGATCGTGTGTGAAAAAATTGCTAAAGTACTTTACTTTTGAAGAAAGTTGTGGAGAATCTTTTGATTTCCCACTGCTAGTTATACATTGCTGTACGCCTCTACACTATTCGGATGGCTTCATGGAAAATGAAACTCTGATATGTTATTCTTGATGTGAGTATGTTCCTATACAGAGGCTTTACATGATAAGTATCTATAGCTGTACAAGATAGGTTACAGAGTGTTTGACAGCGAAGGGAGATTGAGCACCTAGCATCTCTTTTGCATGACTCTTAACAGAAGTGCTGGGCAGTCTTAATGGTGATGACTGTTAACAGAAGTGCTCTTGCCGATGCAAAAATAGAGCTACCACCAGAAATTAAAGCAAAGATTCTTATCAGTTGCTTTTTGCTGACCTTTGCCCTCTTCCTCATTGCCCGTGCAATCCAGTTATTGCTCCCCATTTGCTGTGCTTGAGATAGAATATGACAGATAAGGAGAAATAGAACCAAAGCTCTTTTATATGCAGTAGTTATTGCTCCCCATATGCATGCAATGATTCTATATTTCCATCAGTTCTTCAGTAAAAGGGTTTAATCTGTAGAATAAACATGACCGCAGCAGCACTGATAGTCCTGCTACTCCTTCTGGCCATCCATTTCGTGAGCAGCTGCTCCATTAGAGATGAGTACTCCAATCTAATATCTAATGGCTTGGATCAAAATGGCCAAACCCAGATCTTAAAACTAAATAATATGGTAACAACTGTGACTTGCGAACCGATTTATGACTTCAGGCCTTGCACCACAAAGGTTTGGGGAAACCTTTTCCTCTTTGTGGTCTATGAGTACTTGCTATCCCTCGCAGACAAATACATTTCCAGTGGATCCAACCTTTTCTTTCAAATGTTCGGAACCGGTATATTTGGTGGCAGTTTTTCTGTGCGGTTGCTAAATTCCCACAAATTGCATTGGTTCTTGGTAAGCTATTCTCCAAATACTTCTTTTTTATCTAAACACATGATGCAAATGTTGTTATATATTATCATTTTTAAGAATTCCTGTTTGCTATTCCCTGTTGAAAAAGATCTGAGGTTAATCTCTGGAAATAGGATTAATCATAGAATATTTTCTGGTGGAAAAAGAAAAAATTATTTAGGTTTTATAGTACCAATGTTGTGTAGTTTGGTCAGGAACGGCTTGAAAAAAATAAAGTTCTTTTTCAGCGACCTTGCTCTCAGCCCGTAAAGATGTCGTTGGATCGATCAGCAGTATCAATGTCAATGGGGTTTCTTGCAGGCTCAACAATGATGAGCCTAGCAATAATCTGGGGTTCTGTCATTGCTTTTGGAAGCTATGATCTTCGACCGACTCCTTCCACAAACCTGGAAAACAAAAAGTCATTCCTTTCCGATGGTCTTTCCTATCAATCTTCTTGAGTCAAAATGAAAAAAATCTTTTCTAATTCAATAAAATGAAATTCAAGTGTTTTCTGATATACAGGTTATGGGGTAAAAACTGATACTATTACCAAATATACTGCAAGAATCATACTTCTGTCAATGATTACATACTTAATACTTGAACTGTCCAAAGCTTTCAATTCATCTTTCTTAAACTTTAACTTGATCTTCTCCAGAGAAGCAGGAACATCTTGCATACCTATCCTCACTCCTGGTGAATCTGCAGAACATTCTAGGGCTAATCTCAGAATGGAGGTTACATAATCTTTCTTAGCTGCATATTGTTCTTCCTCATTTCTTAGGAAGTTGGCATCAATAACTTGAGTGACTGAATCGGGTAAAGATTGTTTGACCCAATTTTTCAAGCTCATTTCTCCCAGAAACGTATCATCTCTGGGCTTCTTTCTTACAAAAGTTTTCCATCAACAAAATACCATAGCTATAAACATCACCTTTCACAGACACAATCCCTCTGGTCCATACTTTGCATTCCAATTTTGGCTAACTATTGAAGTATCTTTATATTTCTTGGAAATATATTTAAGATACGCTTGAAGTATCTTTATTATTGTTTCCTTTTTAAATTGATCATAAGGTTAAAAGAAAAATATACGTACAAACATAATAAAATAAAATAAAATAACATGGGATGGGATATTGCTTCCATATGTCAACCAGAATATATATAATATTTGGTTATGTTGGCAATGACATCACTATCTTCTTGAAACAGTACGTAGTAGAGAAGACTAGAATCACAAGAAAGTTTAAAAAAGCAAACGAGCATCATCATCATCATCATCATCATCATCGATCATAAGGTTAATTAGATCAAATACCATCATTGTATGTATTAATTCAAAGCTAGTATTTAGATGGATAACAACACCATTTGCTTATATCTCCTCCTCCCGTGTGAAAATTGAGCTTCCATTAACCTGTCACCAAGTTGAAGAATGGAGCTTTAATTGCACTCTGTGTGTTACAACAAAATGAGATGAGATGGATCATCGCGACCATTTAAATCCTTGAATCTCACCTAAGAAATAGAAACTCGTCCAAACATCTTTTTCTCACTCTAAATATTTCCAGCGTCCAAACAAGTTCAAGACCAAATAATTTCCAAAACCATACTGCTGAAATATTACTTTAAAAGAGAAATTTATAATAATTAATGAGTAATTAATGATATATAAAGTAATTATTTCAAAAAAATAAACACATAAAAAAGAGAGAATTACATCTAGATTCATCAAAAATAATAAAATTATTTTTCAAGCTTGTTAATTTTTTTAAAAACAATTTTCTCTTTTATTATTATTTTTTTAATGTGTTTACGTGAAGTAATTATTATATATGGAATATTATAAAATTTATGAGACGTATGTGACTTCGTAATTCGATCGTTTAAGGTTATGAAACCTTGTCCAGCTAGATATTTTTGGACATTAACAATATGCCACGTAAGCAGAAGAAGGATGAGTTGGAGGTATCTGACTAAGAAAAATGGAAAGCCCCACCTGTGTCGGGCCACAGTCAGACAAGTGCCGGCCATGATTTCCCTCACTCTTTCAAAACTATCCAACTTCAGACCCAAAATTACAACAACATCCAGACATAAACCCAGTTACTCTACAATCTAATTAAGGTATTTCCGTCATTTGATAATTCAAATCTCCTTAAATCAAGACTCCACTTAGAATCCAACTCCTAAATCTCGTCCCATAAATAAACTAACTCTCAACAAACTGAAAAGAAAACACAGTACATTACATTACTTCCATCTCATAACAAAGAGAGAAGACATGGCATCATCCTTCACAAAAATCAATCCAAATGCAATCACCATTTCTCTAATTTTGATTCTCTCTTTCACAATATTGCCAACAACAACATTGGCTCAACAGCAGCAATGTGATTCGGCTTCCAAAGGAGGATGTCACGACAAGGCCAAATCCTTACAGCTAAAGCTCATTGCAATCTTTTCAATCTTGGTTGCTAGCATGATTGGAGTATGTTTGCCATTGTTTTCACGTATGATTCCTGCACTTATGCCTGATAGAGATTTATTTGTAGTGGTAAAAGCATTTGCTTCTGGTGTTATCCTAGCCACCGGGTACATGCACGTCTTACCGGACTCTTTTAACGACTTGATGTCTGATTGTTTGCCGATTAATCCTTGGAAGAAGTTTCCTTTTACCACTTTTGTTGCCATGTTGTCTGCTATACTGGCTCTCATGGTCGATTCTTTCACTATGAGTTACTATAAGAAACTTGGTGGTTCTGATAACAAAGGTGGTGAGAAAAATGGGGAGACAGTGTTAGGGCATGTTGAAAATGGTGGTGCAGTACATGTTGGACATAGCCATGGAATTAATTATGGGGCTAACGGCAAGGATTCAATATTGTTGAGGAATCGCGTTGTGGCTCAGGTATCAATATTTACAGTAGTCATGTAAATTTGACTGTTTTTAGGATTCGAGTATATAAAGTTGATTTTCCATATCACATAAAGAGTGTTTTTTTCTCGATGATATTATGACCCTGAGACTGAGCCTGTGCAGAGACTTCAATTAAAAACAATGCAGTGAATTTTTTTTTTTTCTCTTTTTCTTTTTACAATGATTTTGCATCCTGTGCAGGTTTTGGAAATCGGCATTGTAGTGCACTCGGTGGTGATCGGTTTATCAATGGGAGCCTCTGACAATCCATGCACAATCAGGCCACTCATTGCTGCTCTTTGCTTCCATCAACTCTTCGAAGGAATGGGTCTCGGTGGATGCATTTTACAGGTGATTATTTATATTCACAAATCCTCAAAAATTTTGACCCTATATATAGTAATATTCTAGTACTAATGGGGTAGAACACTTCTCTAAGACTTGCATTTGATGTGATCAGGCGGAATATGGAATGAAGATGAAAGCAATCCTCGTGTTCTTCTTCTCTACAACAACTCCATTGGGAATTGTACTGGGAATTGGTTTGTCAAATGTGTATAGTCAGAGTAGCCCTACAGCTCTAATTGTTGTGGGAATACTGAATGCATCGTCTGCTGGATTACTGAATTACATGGCACTGGTGGACCTCTTAGCAGCTGACTTCATGGGGCCTAAACTCCAAGACAGTATGAGGCTTCAGGTATGGTCATTTATTGCAGTTCTACTCGGCGCAGGAGGCATGTCGCTTATGGCGAAATGGGCTTAGCTGATTTGAAGATGTAGCCATGTCTGCTAGATTTTGTCATTTTGATCAAAGAAAACGTCATTTGCTGCGTTCCTTCTATGAATATTTATATCCTGGTTAAGTTGTTTTTGGGATCTGTTTGTGGTTTTAGTAAAGGTAGCTAGATTAGGTACTTCATGTAGATTCGTTTGAACAGCGGCTAATTTGGAGAAGCTGTGAAAATAAAATTTCAGATCATTTCTACTTAATTTTTGGTAAAATCTGTGTTGATTTATGTCACTAGTAATTTATTGCCTTCTGGTAGAAGTTGCGCGTGAATTTCCTCATGAGCTAGCATGCTCTAGCTGCACATGGCAGCAGCAGCTGCTGCTGCTGCATGCATTAAATGATGCTAGTAATTTTTAAGTGTGATCACATTATCATAATTTAACCAAGCAGAGAGAGCTCAATAGCTGGGTCAAATCGATTATATACATACAAAATGTGTTCTCCAAGTTACACAAATATATATATATATATATAAAAGGAATTCCTTAATTCTTTTCGAAGGAAATATTGGAGAGAAACTAAGAATAAGAAAGTAAAAAGGGAATAAAGAATTACAATTAATTATACTTTATTTGATTTTATTTTGCAGCGATTACAAGCAAGTATATGATCTGCTAGCTAGCAAGCTTTGCAGTAGTTCCACTTGCATTAAGAGTTCATAATTACTGTAAGTAAATCACTAATTGGTTGTTTTAGTAAGTGCATTTCCACTTGCTCTAATCCGGTCTGCACCTGCTGGTCTTCCATCAAATCTTCAAACACTAGCCAGGTTTAAGGCCATAGAGTTTGACAAAACAAGACGTGAATTTGTTGCCGCAGATTTCCAATCTCAATGCAAGTGATCATGCGCAAACTAAAACAACCAACGCCAAATGAAACCAAACCAGTGATTAAGTTATGTTATGACCTCTTGATGATGCAAAACTAGCAGGTATTATGACTATAACCACTGTGGAATAAAAAAATTAAATGACAAAGCAGGTCATCTCCTTCAACACATGATCTACCTTTTACTATTACTGATTCTCCACATTTTCGTTTCAGGCCTGAACAACGATGGCTATGGCTGACTACTGGAGTATTTGCCTCTATATCGTGGTGGTAAATGACTGTTTTACAGCAACCTTGATCACATGCAGTGTTTGGCTTCACCAACTCCATTAGTATTACCTCCTACACATTCCTCACAACTCTCTCCTGAGTCCCCACATTTTTCGTTCTTGCATGAGCTCGCACTGAGATGGCTAGACTACCATCTATCTTGGGAATCACATTGCACCTTTTCAAAATTTTGGTTAGTGCAACAAGGCTGAAAATCCCACAGCAATCAGAAAGACTGAAAATTCGAGCAGGAGTTGCTCAACAGTACACGTATCCAATGGTCTTTCCTCTCCTTATGTCACCCTCCATTGTAGGAACTATATGACCAAACAACAAGCATTTTAGAACACGCCAAAAGCACAATGGTTAAACAGTATGAACATGACGACGAGCAGGCTTGTATTGTACCTGCTCCAGATCTTGCTCTGCAAGCAATCTCCCTGTTTTCAATATATGTATCTCTGCCATCAATTTTTCCATGAACACCTCCAGGGAAATTTTGAAAGTCTTCCACATTTTCTGGCCGAAGTTCTATAGAATGTGACCTTTCATAATTGACAAGTACAGCTGCCATTGGATGGCTTGACTTGCTCTCAATGCTTGATGCCCTGAGACATTTCATTGGACACTATTTCCATTAAAGAGCAAATATTACCCAAATAAAGCAAACATTAGAGATACTTACCAATAAAGCAATATGTCTATGCCAATATCATAATTGAGAGATTGGAAATCTGTGACAACAAATTCTCTTCTTGTTATGGTACCAGTTTTCTCAAAAGCCATGGCCTTAATCTTGGCTAATGTTTCAAGATAGTCACCTCCTTTGATCAGAAGACCAGCCGTTGCGGCCTTCGTAAGTGCAAAAAAAGTTGCAACTGGTGTAGACAGGATAAGGGCACATGGACATGCACTTACCAAAACTACCAATGGTAAATGAAACCAGTGATTGGGGTTATGAACTCTTAATGCTAGTGGAACCATAGCAAAGCCAGTTGCTATGATTATAACCACTGGTAAATTAAATCATATGAAGTAAAATGAGAAATTTTTCACAAATAAAAGATAGGATTGTCTTGCAATCCAGCAGCCAATTCATGCTAGAATAATGGAAAAGCATAGAGACTTGCTATTTACCTGGAGTGCAGTACTGAGCACATCTATCTATGAATCTCTGAGTTTGAGACCTGCTATTTTGAGCTTCTTCCACAAGTTTTGCCATTTTAGCTACCACACAATCTTCTGCTAAAGCAGTAGTTCTAACACTAACCCTGGAAATGGAAAACTAAATTCCATTAAAAAACAATGAATAGAGTGAAAGGGAGAGATAAAAGGCATTACCGTTGAGGTTGATGGTGCCTGCCCAGACAGTGGATTCCATTTTTTTGGGAACTGGAAATGACTCTCCAGTTAAAGTTTTCCATTCACTTCACAGTTACCATCTACAACGATTCCATCAATGGGTATAACTTCACCAGCCTTAACTACTAGAACTGTGTTTAATTGGACCTTATCAGCATCGACTTCTTCTCCAGTTTCCGGTACGACTTCTTTCAGAGGAGCTATGCTCATCGATGATGACATGACAACACTGGCCTGCTGAAGCATTGTATTTCAGAATGCTTCCATTCTTAAGATGTAATATAGTAACTTCCACAAGCGAAGTGTTCTTACTTTGTGGCTTGCCCTTGACTCAAGCCACTCTGCAAAGTGAACAGGAAAACAGCGGTTCCAGCTTCGATATAATCATTCATAGCAATTGTTGTTACCACTGTCACAAAGAAACACAGGTTTTTTAAGAAAAAAAGAGCAGAACATACCAAATTTAAACTAGATATGCAGGTACTACAGTAAGCATAACAATGTTGGTATCAATCCAAAAACTCCTTAAGGATGCTATGGCTGCCAAGAAAATAGGAAGGATGCCAGCAGCCAATGCCAGAAGAGTCAACCACCGTAGTGGATGATGGAAATGATACAGAAATGAGGGCAAAAGGAAAAGAGCAGTAGCCACAGCATATGGACATGGCCATTTCTTGCTGTGATTGGTATCTCCATATGCTTTGACTACATTTGCTTCATTCAAGGCCCGAACTGTAAATCAATGAATATGAATTAAACCATCTAAATATTTTAAATTCAGAGAGTACTAGAAGATAGTTGATAATTGATAATCAAGCAGGCCAAATAACGAAGGGTTTGTTTGGTAATTAATTTAATTACCAATTTGAAGCTGAGAAAGGAGAAGGGTGTCATGAAGAACAATTAGGGTCCTTGCTGGGACGACAACGGAGAAGTCCTTGACACCATCGAGAGAGTTGAGATATTCTCAATCAACCGAACCTCTGAAGAACAGCAAAGTCTCAGAACTTCAAACCAGCTTTTCTGCATCATCACCCTCTTCTTAGGTAGTAATGTTGCATCATCCATGACCATGTGAAGAGGAAGAGACAGAAAAGAATACGCAAAGAGAAAGAGTTTGCCGTTTTCTAAATAAAATTCGGAATCCGGTAAGCAAGGAAAGAGGGAGGGAGGGATTGCACGACGTTGCCGACTTATCATTCACTATTATTATTGTTATGAAGAAGTTACAAATTAGTCCCTCTCTTTTTTGGAAATGAATTAATTAATTTTTAAAATAAAAATTAATTATCTAGTTTTTTTATGTATTTAATTTAATATTATTCTATCTTGAAAAAATGTCATCTGCTACCGAATAAGCTAAATAATCGGAGAGAAGAAAGTGAGCTTGTCAACTTAGTTCTTTTCTGATTAATCTTTACATATTTTGTTTTTATTTTTTTCTATTTTTTAAAACAAAAAATTCAATTATTAATTTTTAAATTAAGAGGGATTGATTAATTTATCGAAACTAGAGGTTGATTTATAATTTTCTCTATTACTATTATTATAGTTTATTTTAGGTACCATGATTTATTTGACATATATGAGTAAAAAAAAATTATATACCTTGTTAGTTTTCATCTTTTCCGGCGACTGGAAAATCACGTCACCATCGCTCTTCCATCCAAAAAACTTCTCTTTTTTTTTTTTTTGGCACCATTTCTCAACCAAAACTCCTTGAACTTATTACCAAAACCTCTACGAACTCATTTGAAACCTTACATTCTATTTGAATCTCCCTTTGAATCCTCAAAACTCCAATCAAAACTTCAAAGCCAAGAACATTTTCAGTCTTCATATGACCATTAAATAAACTCAGCGTGTCAAGTTTGATCACATAATTCCTTTTTTTTTTTTTTTTTAACTCAGAACCATGCCAAAAAACATGATGGTCGATGGCTCTCTCCTTTCTCAAATTTTCCTCCTCTGTTTCAATGACGAGAGCAACCTAAACATAACATAATAAACCTGAGGGACTGAATTGACAAATGACTAATTATTTCTCAAGGCAAAAACAGTGGACCATAAGAGTGTGAACAGTGAGACGTGAGAGGGTGGTCATTTCACTGTACACCCACTTTTAGTTATTGTTACAACAAGGCAATAACAGATAATTATTTCTCGATAAATGGGCGATATTTTCTACAATACCAAAGACTACAACTTTTCCACTGCGAAAGGAAATTAGAACAAACATTAAGCATCTCTACTTATGCCGACAGCAGCAAACATACAACCCAACAATATAAGGCCACAAACAATTCTTCGAAGCATTTGTATAAAGGGCACTTGTTGAATTTTCTTTCTTCTTTTACTTTTTCTTAATCACTATTTTGCCTCCAAAATGGTAACTTTACAAACCTTCCAATTATAGCCAAATGCTCTCTGGAAAATCAGTAGAAAGAGAACCCAGGACTACATTCAAATTGGGCATCAGCTACATAGTATACAAAATCTACTCCCACTTTAGGTTACCATCCCATCATTTTCACATCACCCCATCAATCACCCATCTTTTCCCCATTCAAAAAAATCCAGACAAAAAATTGACCAAATCGTCTTCCCTCTAACAGTCCATAACAAAAGAGGAGTAAAAACAAAAACCAGCTTGTTAGTATGCCGTGCCGTCAGGCTACTCAGAAACCCAATATACCACCCCCACATGTCAGCGAGCAAAGAATCCATCAAATCTTAAAGAGAACAAGGGTTTTGTGCGTCATGAACCAGCATTCCAGAGATTCTGGCAACTACAACTAACAGCTCCTATCTGTCAACATAACTGTGGTCATCTTATCAACAGCCTTAATCCTGATACTCACCGCTACCATCTTTTGACTTTAAAGCAGGAGGGAAGTTATGATTGTTGGAATCTTCAGCTTTTGAAACCAAAATGTTGGAATCGTTAGCAAGTTCCACTGCATTATTGCTGCAATTATTAGCCGGTAAAACCTCCATACCAGGTCTTAAGCTAGCAAACTCTTCTCTGGCTGCTGGTTCCTTATTAACATCATCTAACTGGAGAGATTGCACAAGACTATCAGACATTTGATTTATGGTATCATCAGCAAGCAAACCTGGACTATCTACTTTCAAACTAGGTTGTTTGGCTTTCCTTTCCTTCAAAGCTATCTCACATTGATCATAAAATTCAAAATCATCCAGGATAGACGTAGGCGCATCATGATCCTTGAAAATTTTCAACATCTCAATGCCCTGTTCTAGTTTCACCTGAGTATTTCAGCACCAAAAAGAGAGAGAGAGAGAAAAGAAAAACCCATCAGGCAAAAAGAACTATCCAATAAAAGGAGTTGAAGTCATGTAATGACAGAAAACAAAATTCACAAGCAAAAGTCTTGACCAGACAAAACATTCATTTTGATTGAATGGTGTATGCAAATAAGGTTAAACACAGGTATAAAAGGGATAGAGAAGTTAGTGAAAGATTACACACGGTGTCTGATTCAAAAAACAATATCTCAGCAACCAGAAGAAGATATAAATTAGGACCAGCAAAAATGTAATGAAGTTATAAACACCCAAAATTATCCTTTTAGATCATAAGCTACTAGGCATGGCACTCTAGCCCTTTTTATGCAAAGAAACAGCACGCATAATCAAGGACATTTGAACACCAAAAAAGAAAACAGGTCACAGCGTTTTTTGGACCAGGAGATCACTCAACCCAACATAAAAATTCTTTTTGCAACCTATGTAATAGTCCTGCATTTATTGATTAGCATAATGAGTCATGAGAATGATCCCTACATTCCAGACACTATAAATCAGAAACAAAATAACACAAATAATAATAAAAAAAAGTAAGAAATATTAATAATAATTTTATAGCTTTACCTCTTGAGAATCTCGACTGTGAGTAACAGGCTTATTATCATTGTTTTCAAGTAGTATGTGCCTGAAACGACTGTTTGGAACATCTTTGATAATATGCCATTGGACTGGGAACTGGCCATTCCATCTATCTTGTTGCCAATAATCAGCATCCTTCTCAAAATCCATAGGTCCAACCATTTCCGCAACTCCACAGAACTGTCCACTAGCATTGACCTGCACAAAGAAAGGTAAACAAATCAGAGACCATTAATCAACCAACATAAACTTATCATTTCAGAGCAGCAGCGAATTTAAAATAATTCAGCAAGTACATAGGTTGCAGAAACAGGTTGCTCATTAAAATGATTGTGATGTTCTAATTCAGCTTCAAAGTCTAAAAGACAACAAGAATCAGCAGAAATCTCCAAAAAGGTTGTGTTCTAGATGCCAGTCGACAAGTTAGAAATCAAATAAAATGAACTCTATAGACCTTGATCACCAATTTTAGAATTTATCCCCTTTATTGACCCACGATAAGATACAGCAGAAGGCCTAATTTACAAGGAATAGCTAGAAGCAAGTCTAAGCATGTTGGAAGTGATTCGGTTGCACAGAAAAAAGATACACGAAATAAAGAGCATCAAATAATAAGAGCACAAGACCTCAATGTGATACCTCCAACTAGGTGGCTATTTTTCACGTTAACATGACATAATATATATAAGTTTGCATTTAAGAAACCATCATCGCTTCCTTTAAACTAAGAAACTTGCCATAGACATTAAATGCCTTGCAAATCGCCACAAATATAAGCAGCGATCACCTGTTTATTCCACTGACTTCTACTACCAAACAATAGAAAAACGAAAATGCTTGGCGACACCATGATGACAGACACCATTTCCAAAAATAGAAAGTTTTTAGGAGTAAACTTGGAAAGTGAAAAAGTTAAATGACATAATACCCGCACTGAAAATTACTCATCTTTATTCCCTCCCTTGTATCCCTCCAAAAAAACACTACCCTTATAAAATTATGGTGATTTTTTTTTTTTTTGACACCCTAGCGTCATGTAGCACTAATAGAAAAAACCATTTCTGACAACATAGGACTATGGCCTTCTACTGGCTTCTATGACAAAAACAAACTCATAACCCAAACGCGAAAAGCTGGACATAAAAACAGCAGAAAGCGATGCCCCATGAAAGTGGATGCTCTTTCCTATCCATAGACAGCCAGTCCAAGCTGCCGTGTTCAACAATTCATTAAAATTGCATAAATCCCCTTACATGCAACCAGGTTCCCAGCAGTCACATTGCCCCTGGCATTAACGATAATGGAAAATAATGCATTACAGTAATGTTCAAGTTACACTTACCGAAAACAAGAGATAGACTGGACAGTTTCCTTCTTTCTCCTTTGCTTCACGATAAGCAGCATCAAGTTTTTGTTCCCGTGTGGCGTGCTTGCCCAAACACTATATTTAATACTTTTATGAACATTATCTTCACTGAAAGACTTGATTATAAAGAACTTGGCATTCTCGTACTCAGTGACAAAATCTGGCTGGTTATATAAATCAAGCCGAATCCCAGAGCTATCTGAATTGCTTTTGCCATTACCAGAAGAGGAAAGCTGGTCAGTGGTGTTCTTTCCCTTAAGTTTTGAAGCCCTTGGTCCTCGATTACGGTCAAAACCAAGTGAATCATTAGAAGAATAAATTGAATCCTGGTCTCTCTCCCTCCTCCTGCCTTTATCAAGTCCAACTCGTGTCCTGTCATTAGCCCCCGCATAAGAAATTGAACCCCTACCAAAACTAGAGCTCTGATAAGAGCTACCATGCTGGTAATGTCCAACAGAGGGAGATGATGTATATCCATATCCATGCAATGGTCTTTGCTGAGAACCCTGAGACCATGTCCAAACAAAATTTAACGAGTTCGTTATCAGAGGGTCAGACAAGGAGCTGTTAGTTAAAAACAAGGACATGTAAGTAAGAAGCCTCACTGGAATTAATCTTAACCCCTTGCACTAAGCAGGTAAATTAACGTCTAACAATCATGTTGTGTCAAAGTCCAGAACAAAATTTACACATACCGACTCTTAAACAAATAGAAACTTGCACACCAATTCTGAAGAAACTAAAAAAGCAGTGGTGACGAGCAAGGAAAATAGGCAGAGGAGGTGAATAAGAAAAATGAAATCAAGACTTTAGGAAATTCTAGATTTCTCAGTAGTTAGAACAGGATAGAAACAAACCTGTGCAACATGGTGCTCATATGGCCCAAGTATGCCCATTGGTTGAGGATAAGCAGATGGAGATGTTAAGGAACCAGAGCCAGGAGCCCCAGATATGTTCCCTCCACCAAATGATCCATAATGTACCAAGTAACCTGATCCTGTTCCAAAAAAGGAGTTGTCACTATTGCTTTCCGATGACATTAGCTCAGATGGGCCTAAAGGACCTGAAGAAGGCACATTCGGATGGTAAAATGGCGAGAATGGAATTTGTTGTGGTGAGTATAACTGGCCGTCTAGCATTACAGGAGTCAGGGGTGCAGCCATAGGAGAATATTGCCCATATCCCATATCAGGATTATAGCCATATCCAGAATGAAACATGAGAGATTGATTATCATTGTAGATAATCTAAAAAAAAAAAAAGAATTATTCCGTTAGAACAGAGAAGTCTATAGAAAATGAATTTGAAAGTACAATAGTAAGGAATCATTCTCACCGGAGATAAATGCATGCCATCAGCCGCATTAAGATGTTGAGAATACCCATCCCAAACACCAGTGCTATTACCATAGCCTGCAGCAAAAACCAAGTTGAGACACACAATCCCACTAACCAATGTTCCACGCATACAGCTACTAATAAATTTTCAACTATCAACATGAGAATACCACAGAGAAGGCCACTAACCAGCATAACCTGCCATTGTTTGGTCATGTGAGAAATAATCATAAGCATTGGGCTGCTGTGGTGGCGGTGGAACAATGGTAAGATCCGGAGCAACAGTAGCAGAAGATTGTGGGCGTTTTATGACAGCTGCTTCCGGAGAAGGATTCCCCGAAACAATCCTTTCATTTTCCGGCGAAAGAGGCTGATCATAACTTACATAAATCACAATAAAATCTCTAACCAAATAATTCCCCTAATTATCAATCAATAAGCAAAAAAAAAAAAAAATTACCTGCTCCGTTGAAGCATTATCACGATTAGTCAGTGATTCTCCTGCACAACAACGTTAACATACTCAGCAACTAAACCAAACACACCCTATTTTTTTAAAAAAATAAAAAAAATAAATTCCAATAATGAGTCAGCATATTATTAATTAACTCAGTAAAATTGAAAAACCTAATATTCCAAAAAAAAAAAAAAAAGGAAGGGAACAGAGCTTCGAATTGGAAGAATCAAGAGATTAGGTTAGGGTTCCACGCGAAAAAAATATGAGAATAAGAGAGAGGGAGAGAGAGAGAGAGAGAATCAGAAAAGAAAACGCATGAAAATATATATATATATATATATATATATAGAGAGAGAGAGAGAGAGAGAGAAGATACCAGGCGGAGGGGAGAGACGATCTCGATTACGAAGAGAAGACGGGTGGTCGTCCATTGAAATGAATTGAATCAGAGATTGAGAGGAGATCTGGAGATTTTGATGAGGAATTTGAAGAATTACAAAAAAAATTAAAAAGACCTAATTGATTAATCAATGGAGGAGTGATTTTGTTTGGTTTGTTTTTTTTTTTTTTGGAAGAAATTGAAATGGAAAATGGAATTGAATTTTTGAGTTTGAGAGGGAAAGGAAAACACCACTCTCGGACAGAAAAATCTTTTCCTTTGTTTTTTGGGGTTTTGGAAAAAAAATTTCTCAAAAAAAAAAAATTATATATATATATAAGAAAAAGAAAAGGAAAAGAACAGGAATGAGGGTTTTGGGTTTTTATTCATTAATTTATGACCTAATAGTGTTGTGGCGCTCTGTCTTCCCTTCCACCGTGCAATACACTCACGCAAGCACTGGAGGCAAAGCTGCGTTGTGAGACTATTTTCAAACCAATTTTTACATAAATTAATTAAAATTTAATTTTTTTTTCTGATTTTTTTAAAAAAATCATTCGTAGTATATTGATTATCGAAATTTATAATAGTTGTCCTTGCTAATTATTAAATCTACTTAAAATCCAATTTGTTTTTTTTTAAAAAAAAACTATAATAGTCTTTCATGGTCAATTCATTTCATTATAGTAATGCAATTTTTCAGGTCTACTTTACTAACTGCTATTACTAATTTATTAGCTGTCTAACCACTGATTGTGAACTGTAGGGTGCTATCGTGACCAAAAAAAAAAAAAAAATGAATAATAAAAATTCAGAATAATGTTTTAATTTTGATTTTTACATGGAATAATGACAATTTTGGAAATTAATTAAAAAAATTGAAATTAAAATGAAAATTCTTGGCAAGACGAGAATTACAATGAATTACATTTTATTGACAATGAAGTCATCAATATCCACAATGACTATGTTGACAAAAATAAAAATGATAATGATAATGATTATGATAGATATAATAACAAGTGTGTGAGATGGTTGAAATTACATTTTATCTCATTAATAATTTCATCAATATCAACGATGATTGTACTGAAAAAAATTAAAATGATAATAATAATAACGATGCAACAAATAATTGAGATTACATTTCACCGATAATGACCTTGTCATTATCAACAATGATTGCATTGACAAATATGTAAACGGTAATGATAATAATGATAATAAATATAATAACGATTCTATAGATGGTTGGAATTACATTTTATAGTCAATGACCTCATCAACATCAATGATGTTTGTGTTGGCAAAAAAGAAAATAGTAATGATAATAATTTTGATAGATATAATAATTATGTGATGGAAAATGTTAATGAATCCGTCAACATTAATGATGATTGTGTTAGCAGAAATAAAAATGAAACGATAATAACTAAAAATAGATATAATAACAATTTAACGTAAGATCTTGCATGTTTGTGAGTTTAGTGAATCCAAAAGTGGCTGAAGTTATGAGTGTGCGTTAAGCCCTCGGTTGATTGAAATTTTACAAGTTTATAATGTTGTGATTGAGGTTGAAGCTCAAGTAGTAATTAATTCTATTAATAGCTAAGAGCATGACATATCAAGTTTTGGTTTGTTAGTTGATGATTGTTGTTCTTTTAAAGAGTGCTATCTTAATTTGATTTTTAGTTTCGTTAAAAGATCAACAAATCGGGTGGCTTACAAGCTAGTTAAGTCATCTTTTTTTTACTCAATCCAGTGGAGTAGGGTCCTATCCCTTTGCAATTTTTTATGCAATGTTTGAATGTTAATTTCCATCAATAATGAAGCTTTACTAGTTAAAAGAAAAAAATTAACAAATAGTTGAAATTATATTTTACGGTTAATGATTCTATCAACACAAACCATGATTGTAATAAAGACGTGATAAATGGTATGTGATGACCATAATAAAGATGATTACGAGAGTAGCAATAATTTTGTGAGAACTATTTATTTATGAGATAATAATATAATCATTGATTGTATTTTGAATTTTTTAAACCAAGCGTGTCAATTTTTTTTTCCCTCAAATAAGTGTTTAGACTTTCAAAATAATAGTAATAAAGTGAAACTATAAAAAATGATAGATATGACATAGAAACATGATTGATTCGTCCTGTAAAGGATGACATGGCAATTGAGTGGTGAGTTGGCATTTTATGACATGGAAAATCACTTTTGGGGAAAAATTTTCCTTTATTTTATTAACCTTTTCAAATTCTTAAAAAACATAAAAGGAACTTAAAACACTTATAAGAAAAGGAAAATATGTAGCTATTAACAGTTAAACAAAATAGTACAGAATAATTATAGAATAGGGTGGTCCCGGCGGGGCTCGAACCCGCGACCTTCGGCTCATAAGACCAACGCTCTAACCAACTGAGCTACGGGACCCAGATGCTAATCCATGATCCGCCTTTAAATATAACTAAATATAACTGCAGCTTCCTATGCAATTAATAATGCTGAGTGATAATGCTGGTAGGGATGGAAATTGAGTAGGAAAGATCGAAATGATTTCCTTAGTAGGATAACTTACCATTTATTACGATTTTGAGCTTTGCCCACCAATGGTAGAGCGTTGGTCCAACAATGGTAGGGCTTGTAGGTTGTGCGGACCGATCACCAAGTCTTCTGTATGTTAATGGTTTTAGTTAGATTCTTGATTGAATATTGCCTTGCTGTTTTAGATTATCAGCACTGGATTTCCAAGTTTTTTCGTCCCCAGTTCTTCATACAAGCATGGTTTAGAAACCTGTGCTTTGGCATGCAACGGTTAGCGCCTGGCATCACAGATTTTGCTTGCTAAAGAAGAAACAATAGGAGGGCAGACCTCTGTATGCTCTTCTTTACATTGTTTTTGAACGAGATACGTGAAAATAATTTATGAACAGCAAAGAATAGTAGCTATTGCAAGTATATGCTGGGATATTCTGTAGGTTTGGTCATCCAGGACCTTGGAATTGGTGAATCGCATGGTTGAAATTCAACTGGTTGAATTGGATCACATGACGCCTTGTCTAATACTAGCTATCTTCCCTATATATATATATATATATATAACAATGAACACCTTGTCTAATACTAGCTATCTTCCCTATATATAAAACGATGAACACCTTGTCAAAGACTGATTTTAATTGGGCGAGCAGCCTTGTCAAAGTCATAGCCACCCTATAAAAGAGAGTTTAGTTAGAGGAAAACTGGAGAAGTGGTAATCTAACAGGGAATTAATGTGTTGTCATCAAGCAAAGAAAACAAAAATTCCCCGAAACAATTCATTTTGCAGTCTGAAAAAGTTACAAATGCCACGCCAATAGGGTTTCACCCACATCGCAGTCCAATTGGTGCTATGAGATGGTGTTCTTAAGTTGAAAAATGCGGCGCAGCAATAGCATGATTCTGGAGCAGAGACATCAGAAATAGAATTTTTTTGTTTTGAACAGCAATTCAGGCAGACTTCAAATGGTTGAAAGTTGATGCTTTAGAAACCATCCAAATCACCATTTCTTTCATCCTCGAGTTGGAAAATTTGCCAGATGAAAGCAAACCTAGAAATGAGAGAGAAATAGCTTTGACTAATTGAGCATGACATTGTTAAGGACTTAAAATCAACGGAGTTTAATCAATCAACATTTATCCAAACAAAAGGAGAGTTTAATCAATCAAATGTAAACTCTTGGGCAATGAAGCAATTTCAGTTGGAAAGCTGTCCTCCAGTTTTTCTAGGTGTCTGCAGCTCTGTGCATGAATGAACGACGAAAACCATGATACTCAAACTCGGCCCTTTTTGGCATGACTAGCCATTCAAGAATTGAGGACACCTTATTCCAAGTGAAATCGGAAACTTCAGATAACAAGTTCTCAAAAACGAGATAGAAGGTCCAAGAGATTAATTGTACAGAATGGACCAAATGCATGGATATCCATGCCACAAAGTAAGGATAGTTATTAAAGTTAAAAACCATACCGTGACTATGAAAGAAGGATGACTGAAAATCATGCCCAGAAAAAGGAAAGAAAGGGAGAGATAAATAAAAAATGTGCTAAATAATGATGGACATACTGACCTTAACTAGCGGTTATTTAACAAAGGAAGAACTGGAGTATTTCTAATAATCAGCTGAATTGATTGGAATAAAAGCAGCTGGCAGCATAAGGTGCTTTGAGCAGCTGAAACTCTTGCAAAGAGATGTTTCCATTGTCATGTATATCCAAAGAATGCACCCGAGATTCAAGAGGTGGCTGTTCCATCCTTGCATTTTCTGACGAAGCAACTGGCCAATTTTGAAGTTCAGCATTCATCATTGGCTGGGTCATGCTTGTTTGGTTTGCAAGCATCAGCTGATCCAGAGAGGTGGATTCCTGCTCATTCAAGCACCAGGGAGTGGTTGACAGAAGAGAGAGAGCACGCCGAATATCTGGTGCTACCTCCACGTTAGTTAATGCAGACCCCCCGAAACCTGTTAAAAGAAAATGTTTACATGCAATGTTGATGTTGGATATACTATACAGTTGGGAAGGTGTGCATGTTAAGAAAGTGAGAAACAAGAGAAGAAGAATATAAAATTCATGTTAAACATGACCAATTTTTTCCAACAATCATGTTATTTACGAGAAAAACAAACCTTGACTAAAGGCCCGGGGTGTACTGCTCTCAAAAGATAGAATTTTATTTGAGTCTGTTTGTATTGTTGAAGTTGCATCTGGCACTTCATTGGAGGGGTAGTTAAGCTGCCTATGGATGCCCCCTGCTTTTGCAGGCCTAATTAAAAAATCTCCAGCATGAGTGACCTTAAAGCTGCACTCGCTTTGCCAGGTTGAATTTTCTGCCAGGAAAGGCAATCTATTCAATACAACATTCATCTGCTGTCTACCATCTATCAGGGTACCAAAAAAAAAAGGCAAACAAGACTACGATCCCAAGAAACATAATGCAGAAGAAAAAACCTTCTATCAGCAGTTATGGAGACTGAGATAGAATAATCTCCTATCATTCATTGTTCACTAAGGTTCCAGATTAAATAGCTATTTGGTTATAGAATTAAAATGTGAGTTAGTCAGAAGGGAAGCAACTAAGAGGGCTAACCGACATTTTAACAGAAGCAGATAGGATCCTTATAAAGATTTAACCTACACAAGACAGCTAAAACCTTTGAAATTGAAGTAAGCACCATAAAATGACGATGACCCCCTTGCTGTATTGACCCGGATGGCCTCAGGTTGTGGCCTACGCCGCCTTGCATTGTGATCAGAAAGACGTTTACGACAGCTTCGCTTCTTGTCATCAAACTCTGACAATTCATGGAACCTAAATGAATTTTACAACATAAATGCAGCATCAGCACATTTAGTTAGCAGCAGACAACAACATCATCAGAAAGTTAAAGCAAAAGCACCAAAGCTGAATCCTGGACAGTCAAAATGACTAGTTACTAAGAACTCCCTAAAATCAAGATTCACGAGAGAACCTGCCTGCTGCACTGTTGGCAAAACCGGCGTTCCATGCCAGCAACAATGACCTTAGGGCTTTTGGAATGTTTTTCACAGATTCTATGCCTGCGATGGTAATCTTTAGCTGACTTGAGATCAAGATTGCATCCTTCTACCTGGCAGTGTGGAGACTGTGTACCTGGAAATGATGCCCTAGATCTCTTTGTTGTAGCAGTACAAGAAGTGGAAACAATGGATGAAGATGATGATTTAGCAGTGCTGGTTGTACAAATGTCTCCAAAGTACGTCCGTTTACCAAGCTTCAAGCCAATTATTGGTTCACTAGAGTTAGCAGAAGCACCCAGAGATGGAATATTCTCAGTACTCTCTACCCTGGAAAAGTCTTTCTTTCTAATGATATCTCCAGGAAAACCATCTATAGTGCTATAAGTCTTGATTCCCTCCTTCAGTGAAGAGTCAACAGAGGGTGAAACTGAACTCTTGGATGAAGAGCCGTGCCAAAAATCAGATCCTGAGAAACCAACACCGCCGGATGAATAGGTTATCGCTTTATCAATTGCTCCATCTCCCTCTATCTCATGGCACAACAGTTGTACTTGTTTTGGAATGCCATTTGTCTTGGCACTTAACCCTGCTATGTTCTCCCAGTTCCCCTCAGATGCAGTGGAGTTCCAGTCCATCACAGAAATAGAGCTTACAAAACTGATACAAGTTCTCTTCTTCCTATACAACACATATATAATCACCCCTGTACAATCACTTCTGCATGCATGCATTCATTGTTCAGGAGAAAGCTTCAGTGACGTGAAACAATGTAAAACATGCAGAAAGGGCAGAAAACAGTCATACCTTGCTAGTTAAGGTGAGGGTTTAGCCTAGTGCCCTGTTTTGACGAAATAAAAGATCACCTAAATCATACACAAGCTGAACAAAATCAAAATTACCACATAATTTAAGAAAATATGATGGTGAATGAGAAATGGGCAACAGATTGTGCAAGCAGTTGATTATATGCTCTCAACTTAGGTTATGGTTACCTTCAAGCCAAATCTTCAAATTGCAAGGCATCTCTTGGATCCTTTGTTTAAGTAATTACAGCGATTGGAAGGCAGCAAAAGTTTGTGGTGTTCCCTTCGAGAAAACAGATTAGAACCTTCACTCCCCAGTTTATAAGAGGCTTGCAGAAACCACACAGGAAAAAAGAGGAAGCAGCCGAAGAAGAACAGTTGGCTTTGAATAAGAATGTCACTTTCAACCCATTATTCTACTTAGATTCTTAAACTCCCTTCCCAACAAACAAACAAGTGAAAATCAATGTGTCAGAGTCATTCATGTAGACCTTCCCCTTTCCCATCTCGCCAAAGAAAATAATGTTCAGCACATGTAACCTGAGAAGTCCTGCCACCCCAAAGTCACCATAGATGCGCTAAATTCCCCAGGTCAACCCCAAGTTACAAAACAGAATCCTAACAACCAGACATAGTAAAAAGTTTAAACCAAATCAGCCAGCATAAATTTTTCATTTTCATAACATCTGAACTATTATGTAAGTTTCCTTAGTAGCTCAAATCAGTAAGAGCAGACTCGGAAATTTTTTAACTGAATACAGTAAAAAGAAGCATTTATCTGAACTTTACACCAAGTGCCATTAATTAAAAATCTCAGTCATCCGCTAGAAAGGTCCCCAAGTAAGCATAGTCACTTTACATGAAAAATAACCTTTTTGTTAATATAAAGTAGATTCAGCATCGAAAGAAATTTCCAGGCATCTAACTCTCTATCATTACTGGTAAATTGATAATTCAAATCCTATGGCAGACCTTGCTGCCCTAAATAATCAATACCCTTAGCTGCAGCTGAAAGCATTCAAGTATAAAGTGTTCATTCATTGCCAACAGGACCTCATGGATAAAGTTGATGAATAATGCCACTTCACTTTCAAACAATAAAATCCTACAGCATTAACTGCCTTTCTCCAATTAGCTTGACAGATTGGTATTCCAAAGATTCACATGTTCCTGAGACTTTCTCAATTCAGTTTAAGTCTCATTGAAAACTTTCTAAACCATTACAATTTGCTGCATAATGAACCACTTCTTCAAAAATAAACAAGAAACCAAAAAAAAAAAAGGACCCTTACATTAAGTTTTCATTTTTAAAGCAAGTCATCAATTTCTATTTTAAACAAACAAAAAGCACCCTTATTCTATAACCTAAGTAGATCATCATCAATTATTCTTCAGCAAAACCTTGATGCTCTTAACAAACAATCAAACAAACATACACCAACCAAATCAGTAGTCTATGGTCAAATATCAGGTTTCTTTTCAACAACGATATATAATTACATCTAACAGTAAAATTCAAAATTTAGGTTAACTAAAAATCAACATTTAGTGGACCAACAATACAAGTCAATGAAGTACAAAACAACAAATAACCACACGAGCTATCAACCAATGACAAATTTGGCCATCCTAAGAGTTATATTTCTTTTCTTTCTCAAGTCACGAATTGTTAAACAACTACCCTGATCTGTTCATACAACTCCAGAAAGCAAATATAGAACAATTTACAAAACCTTTCCCTTTTGTTTTCTTGTAAGTACTAAGCAATTTCCACAAGTCCCATTTTACCAATTTGCCTCCTTCCTTACACGAAGCCAGTCATATCATCACATGCATACCTAGCTACTTTCTTACATACATGTACTTGTAATATACTGTCAGTCATTCACCTAGAAAGAAAAAGTTCCTTTCTTTAACTTCCTTCTTAGGAAACCGAGCCCTTGGATTTACTTTAAGCAAAACCAAAACCACACACATTTCATTCACCTAAATATCTACTACAAGCATAACAATAATGAAATTCAGATTTATAAACAGAACCCATTTTCTCTCTCACAAAACCCATGTCAGAAACACACACACACACACATATATATATATAGAGAGAGAGAGAGAGAGAGCTGTACTTATTATATCTAGAGAGAGAAATTTCTATAAAGTAGCAGACTTTACAGATAAAACTGAGAGCTGTGGAAACTGATGCAGCTTGACAGAAGGGGGAGCTAGTGGGCTGAGTGGAACCGAGTCTGGACGCCGGGTTGGCTCAGTGAGTTAGTTATGTGCTTAAAGGGTAAAGAGAGAGTGAGAAGGAGGAAAGAGCAAGCAAGAGAGCAATAGATTAGTTACTATTAATAGTATAAATTATTTTTTTATGGTTTTTTATTTGTGTATGTAATAATTAAAGTCACTTTTAGATGCATTTGCTTTGCGTCTTTCATGACGTTAGATCACGCCACGTGTGCAAAGGTTTATCGTTTGGCCTCAGAGTTTTGGGGGTTATTACTGGGAAATGCCACTGTCAGAGACTTTTCTGATGGACGGTGATTTCTCTTTCCATTTTGGTTGGTGCGACGCGACGGCAAGAAAAGCTGAAGCTACTTTTCAATACCCCTTAATTTTCTCTATAAATTACAATATGGTCCCCCAATTCTTCAGGTCCTTCTTTTTTTGGCCTTTCGCCAACTTCCCTTCAAAGATCTTTCGCTAACTCCCCTTCAAAGATCAGGAAAACAAAACAAAACAAAACCCATCATCATATAATTTCATCACAGCAGAGCTTTTTTCGATTTGGAAAAACATTTTAAAATTTATCCCATCTTTTATATAACTTTTAATTTGATATTTTTAATCCAAGAATTTACTTAATTTTCAGTCAATCAACGTTTTGATTTCGAATTACGAGTTAGAGTTATACAGGTTCTTAAAATTTATGAAACCCCACTACTTATTAGCCAGATTTTTCTGCAGTTAACATATATAGCTTGAAATTCTTTCCCATTTCTCTATCTTCGTTAGGGTGTAAATGTTGTTTCCCTGGGTTGTTTTTGGCCATTAGAAGTGAATGGAGTGTGAAAATCCACCTGGTTTGATAACATGTGGTTGTTGGTGTTAGCAGAAACATATAATTTAAGACGAACAGGAAAGTTAGTTGTAGCGGGGGACCTTGAGTTGCTGAGTTGCCTTGCCATGGACCATCCATTTCTGGTCCCTGCTACAAGGTTAGCTTAGGTGCTTCCTCTCTAGGCTTGATGTGACAGCTTGCCATGCAACTTTGTAGCTGTTCTATCGTTAATGAAGAAAGATGACAAGCTAGTACTGTTGTTGCTGTGGGCCAGTTGGGGTCCAAACCCTAGGCCTCCTCCTTTTTACTCTCCTCCGGTCGAGTAAATTATAATTCATCCCTCTAGTTTTTCAAAATGAAATAAAAAGTCCCTCTAGGTTCAGTCTCCAATTGATTAGTCTCTGCGTTTTCAACCTATTTGTAACTTAATCATTCTCAATTTATTTTGTTTTCCTGTAAGTAAAGAAGAGAATGAGTAAAGTATATGGAAAGATCGATGAGAAAATACGACATGCTTTAAAACAAAATGACATGAAATTAACTATGGTTAGCAATAATCAAGGGACTAATTAATTAGTTTTTAAAACAAGAAGGACTATTTAATTTGTTTTGCAAACCTAAAAGTACTAATTTATAATTTACTCCTTCCAGTCCCTCGAGTGTATGACCGACCCATGACAGCATCAGACACGAATGCATGAATACGTATACCTGATGTAATCTGGGATCATCAATGATGACACGTGCTGGTGATACACAAGGAGACAACCATGTTCAAAAAATCAAGAAAAGCTAGTTTCAGGATTAGTACAGACAGACGTAAAGACTTATAACAGAGGTATAGGTAAGTATTATTTATTGATATACCAGGAAATTAATCCACTATAGTAGATCAAATGAATGAAGACACCTCTATATTGTTGAAACATATAGTCATGGCCAGCAGATTCTGGGAAAAAAAAATGATGGCCTTTTATTGTCACTGAATCACATGAAATCATGCAAACAGAAGGAAGGTATTTGAACAAAGAAAACATCCTTTCCATAGAGAATAATGGCCTAGTCTGGGAGTTCATTGCGTCCATATACTTTCAAAAATGGACATGCCTCTATAAAGGAAGACATATAGAGGGGAAAAAATGTGGGAGGTAGGAAAAAATGCAAGTATTCGTAGGCCAAACCGAAACAATTCTGCTAGTGACGCTGCATTTCCCGCAAAATGGTTGCCACCCTCGGGGATAATCTTGGTAGGTGCTTGAACAACTGTAACACAAACACCATAAGCTATCAACGGCGATTACTAACCATAACAGAATGAAACATTACTTGCTAAATATTAAAGCCACGGGAGAGGTTAATCAGGAAACCAAGTGCAACAATTTTTTTCCAGCGAACTCGTTTGACAATAAACACAAGAAAAAAATTCTAATGATGTCCCATCACATAATGCAGAAAATCTTTGATGAGAAGACACTTCATGTATGTGTAGTATATAGCTGGTTACAAGAAAATAAATTAAATGGAGGCCTGCATGGTTACAAGGTGCATGGCATCACCCAGATGCATCTTTTTGGAAACTGCTGAATTTCGTTGTCAAATAGGCACTAGAGGTGCATAAAATCCATCTAATCTTAATCTTAAAATGGCTGAGAGACTTGAGTAATCTCTCCAATTTATCACCATGGACACAGTATCATCCCATGGAAATTTGTTTTCTTTTCTATATGCAACATTTTCCCCTCCATTTGTCCTATAAATTTACAGCTAAGCACAGGGAGGAGCAATGGCAGCCTGGAGTAGCACCAGCACAGCATTCATTTAAATTGCAAGCAAGTGAACTATAATCACTTCACTAGCACAGCCGCCCCATTCATATATATTGCAAGTGAACTATAATCACTTCATTTGCTCACATTTCCTTTGTGGAAATTAATGATGTTTGGAAAGGAAAGGTAATCGGTTCCAGTTCAACCACTAACAGACAAAGGGTGCTTTTCTAAATTAAGGTTTTTGCTGAACTTTGTTCAATGAAACACTTCTTTTGAGTCAAAATAACATACCCAAAACTTCACACATGCATCAATGACAACAGGAACCAAGCAGATAAAAATGGTGATAGCAGATTGGTCAACTTCAAGTCCGTAATGCTCAACAATTACCTCCAGCAAGGTCTGCCAACCAGATTCAGAGTGATACCTACAGTATTCAATTTCATAAAGGATGATGTTCCTTATACAAACAAGAGTGAAACTGAAAATCCTCAGAAAAATAATGAGCAATTTTTTAACAACACATCCTGCAAGAAACATTATCGTGTCAGCTTGCTCACTAGTTGAGCCACTTGTGTGTACGTGCATTTGTGTGCGAGAGAGAGAGGAAAAGGTTATATGTAATCTCAAAATCTTCACTAACTTCAACTATTACATGGTGAAATGTACCTTTGAAATGAAAAGAAACTTTTTCAATTTTAAATGCAAAATCAAGTCTCGGGTAGGGGGAGGAAGCAAAATTACAGACTCCACATTCACGACAGTGGCTAACGCCAAGCTATTCTACATTTGATATCACTTGAACAAATTTGGTCAAAGCCAGCTTCTGAACTAGCATACAAATAAAATACCAGTGGAAAACACAGACTAATGAGAATATTTTAGTGAAGAGAAGAAAATATTACCCCAAAAAAATATCTGTGATAAGTATGATTAGAAATGCCTTCCCAGTATCTGAAACATTGTTTATTAATTTATAACCCGTAAATTTCAGCAAACCTACCTGCAAGAGTGGATAAATAAAACAAATTGAAAAGGAAATTATAACAAAAATCACACAAAAGTATGATAGAACTAAGCATTTCCAGTAGTTTAAGCAGAACAATCATTGAGTGCATATGCCTACAAGAAGGTAAAAAACATTCACCAGGTATCCATGCACTGACTCCTGAGATGCTACACAACGATTTAGATGAGTAAATAACTCCTAAGGTACATACTACTCGTAGACAAGCAAAGCAAGAGTGGTTCAATGTTTTCTTTAAAAAATGCTAAATGATTTCTAACAGCAAAGAATATAGACAGGGTGAGAATTGACATAAACAACAAAAATCGGAACTTTTACAATAAAGAATAAGGTGACATGGTACTTATTGTTGTTTCTACAAAACTACAGTTTTTGATTGATAGATGATGGCAATTATGATGACAATGATCAAGGTTTCAGAATAATGTAAAATATAAGAATTCTACACACAAAAGGCATTATGCATAAAGAACGATTGATAACTCACATTCCTCTGATTGAAGTACAAAAGAACGAAGATTGAGATCCCAAACACTATATCTGACCATATGTTGGCAAATGATCTACGGTTTTCTAACCTGCACTCATCCCGTAACTCTAACCTGTTTGAGCAACAAACCAGAAGTTGAAAAGAGTAGAACTTGCCTCAATATATTTATGTTTGTAAGCAAAGAGCTAGGGAAAGCTTTCCAAGGTATTGTATTTATAGTGAAAAAAATGCAGCATAACATGCCGGGTTGTAGTTTTCAACCAGAAATTGAATTCATTTGATTTAAAGTGATCTAATGGCATGAGGAAAATAATCCTAAAATTGATGTTAAGAATAGGAGTGCTTTCTAAATGAAACATCTACTCATGAAATACATTGTGATACAATTCACTAGAGGAATCAGATAGATAATAAACATGAGCTACCAAAGCAAGCACAAAAATATGGTATCCTTACGCTTTATGCCGTAGCTCCCACCATTCCTCCTCATCAGAAAGAGGTGGAGATTTACCAATCTCTACCTCAAGTTGCAATCTTGCTTTTTCCACTTTTAGTTCCTTAATCATCTCAAGCTTTTGACTTTTTCTCACATCAAGCATCTGTGCTGCAAGTGGTACAGTCTTCACATATCTGTTCGTGACATAGATTGATAAACTTAATGAGAAAGTCAGAGCTTTAAAGGCAACATAAGCATTATTTTAAAACATATCGGGTAGAGAAGAAAGCAACTAAGAAAAATCAAACATTTCTTCTTGTTCAGATTAGGAGATATTGCTTAAGCAACCGTTTTAACCTAATTGTTACCTGTCTAAGAAGGGCATGAGAACATAGTCATGAACTGCAAAGTCCAAGGCCCAGGGTATAATTATCAATACTGCCAAAAATTTAGCCTGCAACAAGATGAATATGGCAATGGTGTCAAGCTGTGTATTGAGTACAAGCATGCCAGCAAATTTTCAAAATTAACCTGAGCATAAACAAAATCCATATTCACAACATCTTATGTAACTTGACGTGAAGTAGTGAAGTTCAACAAATATCAAATCTAACAGAAATGTAAAATGTCCATTGTGGACAGTTTTGATAACATACACTTTAATCACATGCTCTTAAACAGGAGTATCTGTCAGGTCAATGATACTCTTATCTAGTTCTTTTTCTACATGTAACTCAATCCTAAAACTATAAATACTTTTTATCCTCCTATACATTGACGTGCAATATAGAAATAGGATTGCTCATCCCTTTTCACATGCATGTCCATTATTTTGCATCACTATAGTATAGGATGCTGCAAAATTCTGTTTTATCTGATACAGTGTACCACTATACAAAGCTAGTGTTGAGCCTAAACCACAATGTTAACGTTAAGTGGTTAGAACTTAGAAGGCAGCTTGAGTGATTAACTTGGGATCATCAACTTCATAAGATTAGCTCTACATTTTTGGCATGGTCACATAGAATAAAGCACAACCTCAATTGGTGCAGAGACATATGAGTAGGAAATGAACAAATGGAAACCCCATCAACGATCTAGGCCAATATAGGAAAGGATGGCATGAGGTAGGGCTAACTTCAATCTGAAACACAATGCATTGAAATGAAATTCACTTACCGAATTCAATGAGGCATACCGGAACACACGGTCTTCATAGAGCAAATCCTCCTCTTCCCTGCCAAGAACCAAATCTCTAACAGATTCAGCAAATCCTTTCTCAGGTACAAGGTCAGTAGGATCCAACCGCACATCCTCCACTGATCCACGATTTCCAATTCCACCATTTCCATCAAACTCTTGACTCCACCAAGAACCATTAATAGCATCATCATGACCATTATCACCATAATCCACAATCCAGTCCTCCCACCTCCTGCTCTCCTCATTCAACATGTCTTCTTGTGCTTCTCTCAACTCAACAATTGCCTCAGCTCTCCTCTTCCAAGCCTCAAATTTTTCTTCCTCTGACAACTCCTCATCACTCGAATTCTCAGAAAATTCAGCCTCAGCATCAAGCATATCATCATCCTTTAATCCAAACCAATTCCCTTCTTCATCAAAAAAGAACCTTTGCCACCAACTTCTCTTTCTCTTAGAATGATTTTTCCCATTCTTCTTAGCATTTGAAACAACCCCACAAATTCTCCTCCTTCTATGACTCAATTGGAGTAAGAAATTGGATGATTTGCTAAATAAGTTACAGTTCCTAAGAGGGTGTTGGTTGTGGTTAGTGTTAAAGTTAAGGTTGTTGCATAAGACCAATGAAGTGGTCATCAAGAACCCAACATTTTTTAGCTCTTTTCAAGCCAAAGACAAGAAACTGCTACTCCAAATTGCTGTAATCATGACACAATCAAACTTCTTCTTATCAAACAAAAACAAAGAAATCTCTTAAAAATTCAATATATTGACTATTAAAGTAACCTTTAAAATTAAATGTAAAAAAACCCCAGAAATTCATACGCTGAGCTGAATAACACAAGGAAAAAAAAGAAAAAGAAAAAGAAAATAAGCGAACTTTTCAACAAAAGAAAGGGGTTTTAGTAATTGTGATGAAGCTAACCTTAGCAAAGCTAAAAAGCTAGAGAGGGAAAAACAAAAGCAAAAGCAAAGCAAAGCGGATAACGGTTTTTGAGCTCTCACTCTCAGTACCGGATAATTAAAATAAAAATTAAAAAAAAAATCCTTTTATACAAAATTACCATATATACCCTTATAGATTTATGAACACAAGAAAAAATGGGAAACCTCATTTAGCCCCTAACTTACACTTCTTTATCAATTGAGTCCTAAATATTTTGATTTTATAAAATTTACTCCAAACGGAATTACCATTAGACTATATCTCCTTTATTTATCTATTTTAATGGTAGCTAAGGCATTATTACATCTAAATTGTATGTTAAATACCTCATTCAAGCATCAAAATAGATCCTAGTTTACCACACAGGACCATTTTATCATCACATTATAATAAATTTATTTTTTCCTCCATTTCACTAGTTTTTATGAGGGAAATTTAACAAATTTTGACACTAAATTTTACTTCAAGACAAATGAAAGTTTATTTTGACAATTTGGATAAAAATAATTAATGAATGCGTACAAATTAGATGAAATCTTATGATTGTTACCAATAGCGAAAGGAATGGAGGGGTGATGTTGTTTAGCATTGATTACATTGGGAGTAAAATGGATAAGATAAAAATATTTAGAACTTAATTGATAATAAGGTAACACATTAGGGACTAAATGCGATTTCTGCAAAATACTTACATTTGGGGTAAGTATAAGGGCAATGACGTCATTTAGAAACGGTGTGTCGTTCTGCTATCTGAGCTGCAAACGGGAGAGGGAAAAAGGAAAATAGAAGCAGTCAGGATTTAGGGTTTAACGATTTGATTCGAGAAAGAGGGAGAGGATGAAGTCGGTGGTGGGGATGGTGGTGTCGAACAAGATGCAGAAGTCGGTGGTGGTGGCGGTGGACAGGCTTTTCCACCACAAAATCTACAATCGATACGTCAAGCGGACCTCCAAGTTCATGGCTCACGACGAAAGCAACCTTTGCAATATCGGCGATCGAGTCAGTACTTTCTAACTCTCCTTCCTACTCTTCTTTTCTTCTTCTTCTTCTTATTATTATTATGAATAATTGATAAAGAAAATAAATTCAACGAAATGAAAAAAAAAAAATACATTCTTGATAGGTAAAATGAAAAGAAATTAAGAAACTTTTTAAGCTTTTGAATATGTGCAATTGGGTGGGGGTTTTTCAGGTTAGATTGGATCCTTCGAGGCCGTTAAGCAAACGGAAGCATTGGGTTGTTGCTGAAATTCTCAAGAAAGCAAGGATATATGTACCTCCATCAGCAGCAGATAAGGCTTCTGCTTCTGCTTCGAAAACTACTGGGACGGAAGTACCACCTTCTTCAACTTCCTAAGGAAAGGTTTGTGTGCACAATTCAATCTGCATTTTATATTATGTTTCTGCAAAAAACAAAAAGTGGAGTTAGACTGGTGAGGACTGAGGAATATAGTGTATGACATGTTATGAACATTTTTTTTTTTAACTTTATACTTACCTTACAAGGTCGAAGGTTTCATGTTTTTGGATTAAGTTGCATGTTTATCACATTGTGAGAATGCCTGCATATTTAAGACTTCAATCATAGGTTGCTTAACTGGGGTTTAACATAAATATAGTTTTGAAAGTCTTATGTTAACATAGTGCTGCAATTGTAGGAGCACATAAAGGAAAATTGATATTAACCCAAATGGAGCTCTCCTGGTTCACTATGTGTAAGCCTGATATTGCCTTTATTCTCTATGGCAGGTGATAGTTTGCTCTAGACACCTGAAGGTGACAGTTTACTCAAGGCATCTGAAAGACTGAGAATTCTTGGATTGGGATAACAAACTCCAACAATTGCTTAGAATGAAGGCTGATAGCTGAAATTAAAGTTTGCTGTCTTTCTTTGTTTTGAATTTTGTATGCATTGAAGACAGATGAACCTTGTGGTACTGAAACATAACAAGAGGAGGCATTTATGTCCTGTTTTGTATTTTATTTCATCTAGGTGTTTTTGATAAATCATATCATCTTTCAATAATAGAAATTCCATATTGGTGAGCTAGATATTGTCTGTCTATTGAGTGATAATCTTTTTACTCAGAGAAGTTGTCTTGTTCTTTTTCCTTAATAGGAAGATTTAGGTTGTTTATTTAAGAACTTCCACGTGACGACTTCATGACATTCGTGTCTTTCCAATTGCTGTTCTTTGCAAATGGAAACTCCGCGTCTATGGCAAGCCGACAACGTGACAGTATCTCCACTGCCACGTGCAGTTTGTAATGTTGCGTGCCATTATCATGTTAGTTCCACCTGCTCCCTTAGACATGAGCTGCATCACTTATCTTGTTCACATCTAATTTGCATGATTTGTAGTTACCTGCATCTATCCTTGAACGTCTTAAACTTTCAATTGTGGAACACCTCCTCCCTATGGATCCTCGCCAGTTATCCGCTCTAGCCTCCCCTCCTAAGAAAGTTCGTCGAGGGAGAACTTCAGGAACTTACAGGGGTGTCAGGATGAGGGCCTGGGGCAAATGGGTTTCTGAAATAAGAGTTCCAAAGACTGGACAGAGGATATGGCTTGGTTCATATGATGCCCCAGAGAAAGCAGCTCGAGCATATGATGCTGCACAATATTGTATTCGTGGTGAATGTGGGCTGTTCAATTTTCCTGCTGAAAGAAGGCCACAACTTCCTGGTGGTCCTGTCTATGCCTTGTCCAAGAAGGAAATAAAGTCTATTGCCTTTAAGTTTGCGTCATCAGATGCATCAGTGCCTCCCTCTGTTATAACTCCAGTGGAAATGGTTGAACCAGCCTTGCCCAATTTGCAGGTTTCAAATCCAACAGGATATGCAGGTAATGTGGAGGGTTATGTTCCAACTAGTGCTTCAGAATCAGATTTATGTTCAATAGACAATTTACAATTGGATGATTTTCTCATGCTGGACATTGAATGGATAGACTCACTCTAAGTGCAAGGAATTTCAGTGTTTTGTTGCAGCGATAGACCTGAACTGTTATTTATCTTATGTAGATAAGTATGAGCATCTTTGTTGGAAACTGTTGCCTGGTATGAAATCCTGGTTGAGGGTGAAATACTTAGAATGTTTGTAAAGAACAAATTTTCATCTTTGGTAATTGCATGTAGTATTCGAATTGCTTGCTTGCACGTATGAAACAAGATAATAAATTGATAGATACAATAATTTGTTTCTGTCCAACCTATTGCCTGCCATGCTTGAAGCATCAACATTGCTAGATTTTCAAAAGCATCAATTGTTATAATATGCAGTTAACAATCCTATGTTGGTAATGCATTTGGGTTGTGTCTGAAAGTGCTTTTAAAAGCACGTTTGGATTGAAAAAAAAACATCAAAATGATGCTTTTGGATGTTTTCTTTTTATTATTATTATGAAAATGTCAAAATCATGGAGAAGTAGGGGGGGGGAAATCGAATTGATGCTTTTCTTTTTAACCCAAACGTACTTCTACAAAAAAATGCATGCATCTCGTTACCGAACATTAGGGATGATAAAAGGGGCTTCGTATTTGGGAATGGCCAACTTCAAGGATCCAAGATGAAGACAAGGGGGTTTAATAGTTCAACTGGTTCGAAACTTCAAATGCTAAGCAAAAGAAGACTACTCTTCAACACAAGTTACTGAATATATGATCATCCAAATAGCTACCCTGAGACAACTAGAAGAGAAGCCTGAGGGGGTGGAGATCAAGACTAAGATGACTCATGTTGGTTCAAAATTTTATCATGTCACAGCAGTTCGAGAAGGCGAATGAGAAGGATTACGAATTAAAGCCAGAAAATGGAACTTGGATAGAATCTAAACAAAAAATAAAAGAAACCTAATTTGGAGCTTTTCATGAATTAGAAATTATGAATAGTTACAACCCAATTCTGTGGTGATCTCCCTGTGTGTACAAACTCTAGGGAAAAATAGATTTAGGCCCCTTTACAACGCAGGACCAGAAGGATTGCCCAAATTTTGTCAAGAACGCTTGAGCATCCTCAAGACTGACAACATCAGAACTGCACAGACCTTGAGCAAGATCATATGAGAAGTTGAGAACCAATTCCACTGCTAATCTGAGGCAGTCCTGACTCTGGTTTTTCACAATCACAGTCAGCTCTGCAAAGGGTTATCTGAAATGGTGGCAACACATAATCCAATGCTCAGCATTCTAATCTTGAAAATCAAGACGTCTTCTTTTCAGAAAAAAACAGACGAAAAGGGACAAACTTTTCTGCTTGGCTCAAGCTGAAATGAGAGAGATTCATATAGGACCAAGACTTAGAGCTCCAGTTAGTCTATAAAGCACAACTGTGACAGTATCTTAAAGGATCAAGACTTAAAGCTTCAGTTGATCCATGGATCACAAATGTTAAAAAACCACAAACGTTCATTTGTCGTTTCGTCAATCTAGGAAACAGAATCAGCAAGATAGATTTCCAAATAGAATGATTTAGTGTTTTGTAGCAGAGTGCCAACATCAAGTAAGGATAAGACAAAGCAACAAAAGTAAGATGAATTACAACCTCCAAAGGTTTCACATCAATGACCAAACTCAAATTCACTCTGATTATTTGCCATTGTTTCAACAAAAATTCCCAGACAAGCTAGCAGTAAAATTTGATCACAGCAACGATATAACTGAATAATGAATCACAAATTCATTGACATTAAAAACAACTCAAAACTTTTATATAGAAAAAAAAATCAATATTGAATAAAATTCTCTCGTCTTTTGAATTTCATTGCAGTTGACATTAAAAATCCCATCTGGGTTTCAACCATTCATTCACCTTACAATATTTCACGAACGTCAAGACAGATAAACTATGAAGTACTAAGGTAATAAAAAGAGATGGAAATGGAAAAGAAAAGAAAGAGGGTAGCGTTACGCCGTGTTGGTGGGTGGCAGCGTTGATGCGGAGGTTCCATAGAGAACGAAAGTCACGCTTCCTGTTGCGGCGGTCTCTGGTGGAAAACTGCAAGCCTTTCTGCATCCTCTGCGTAGCTATTCTCAAGCAGTTGTTTGCCTTTCCTTTGTAACCTTTCCATGCCAAATTTGGATGTCCCATTTTGTACACCTTTGAAGCAGAGCAAGAAGACTTCATTCCCATCCAGTCCAATTACTACAACCTCAACAACAACTAGGGGAAGGAGTTTGGGTGCTTGACCGAAGACAGAAACAAGGGTCTTGTCTTGCCTCCCTCTGGTTTTGTAATTTTATTTGCCACTTTGTAGAATGTAATTGATTAGTAGTAATTAATGTGATTCTTTCACAAAAATAGTGATCTTATTGACTTGTTTTCTTATCAGAAACTGTAAATTGCATAGTTTTAAACAATTAACAATACATGTAATGTAATGTTCGTTATTTAATGAAATTAGCTAAAGTTATTATTGTTTTTCGCTGCTATACATTATATTATTTCAATTCACACAGAAAATAATAATAATAGTATCATATAATAACAACAGTTGTTATTTGGTGAATAGCAACTCAAATAAAAACAGTTATATTATTGTTAAAAAAAATTGATTTTTTGTTCTAAAATAAATTTATTAACTATTAATACATTTATGATATTGACTGTTGTAATTGTTATTTTAATATCGTAATAAGTCGCGATCAATAACTGGGATTGCAGTTTACAGCACATCCGCCATTTAAAACAATGGGATACAGTGATGGATATCTTGACAACAATTTATCTATTTATTAATGATGTTACAACAGTAGTTTTTGGGATGCGATTTGATTTCTTGAAACTCCATTTAGCTGGAATGATGCACCGAAAGCCAGTAGGCAATCTGGGACTAGGTGCCAGTGCCGGTGCCTCCAAACGAACTGATGAGAATGATGATGTTGAAGATGAAGATGGCAACACATCAGCCCTTCTCCCTGTCTTCCAAATAGCTTTCACCACCACTTTTTTATCCATATACCCCATTACTGTTATCTTGTTTGATATACTCTCTATCTGCACGCATTTCACCCCTGCAAACACCATATATATGTATATATATCACTAATCATTCGGCTCTCGACGGATGATAAGAGCAAGAGTTATTACCTTTGATCTTGCACAAGGATTTTCGAACTGCTTTCTCGCAAGCCTTGCAATGCAGGTGAACTTTCAGCTCCATAACCTGTAAAATATCAACATGGGATCAAACACAAAGAGTTTGAATATCAATCCAAATTGTAAAGAATAAGGAGAAGAACAACATACCTCCATGGCTTTGAGGCATGACAGAAATTAGGCAGCAGTACTAGAAATCAACACAGATCTTTCTCTCCGACTTGTTAGTATTTGCGTGTGTTTGAGTTTGAATAAGCAAGCAATTGGTAAAGAATGGTGGGTGGCTATGCCATGATCCCATTAATCCTTTCCTTAAAGCTCTCCACTGTGGCTGATGATTGCACAGTAACATGCGTGTGGCCATATCATGATGCATTCTTCCCTTGAAGTACACATTACCTGGATAAAATATACGGCAGAAACTATATATGTATGTGTGTGTGTGTGTGTATATATATATGTGTGTGTGATTACACTAGTGGCCATGGATGGGTTCTTTCTGTCAGAAATAATAAGCTAAAATTTGCCCCATCAGTTAGGATTTTATTGAGAAATTAATAAAGAAACTCATAAAAATCCTTTTGATTCCTTTTTTTTTTTTTCCTATATCAATTTAGAAGAAAAAATATTTACCAATAAAAAATAGAGAAGAATTGAGAGGTTTTTTTTAAGGATTTTTCCATTAATTTATCAAATTAAAAAAAAAAACATAAACAAATCTAAAAATTATATTATTTTCTCAGCTTATGGAAAGAGGCCTTTGATAAATAGAGGAACTAGAAAACCCTAGATTTTAGCCCAAATTTATCTTCTTTTTTAATTTTTATTCAAAGCCTTTTTATGTTTTCAGATATTATTCTGAAAGAAAGTCCAATGAGCCCACCTCGTGATCCAGTTTAAAGCCCAGCCACTGGTTCTCCATCTCGTAATTTTGTTTGTCCTTTTAATAAAAAAGGTCAACTCATCTTTTTTTTTTTTTAATTGAAAAAAATAATCGTTCGCAACAATAATACACATCAATCCGAATCAAAGCTTTTCTTCAAACGAATTTAAGAATATGCCTTCATATGAATTCGAGTTCAATTGTATTCAATGAAATTGAAAGTAAAATGAATGTTTTTTTTTTTTTTTTTCATTTTAGTAATAAATCAAAGCTTTTCTTGCTGTATTGCATGGACAAAATAATCTAAGATGGTAGAAGTTAATTTTATACAATACTTCAAATTTTACCAAGTTACTTAACAGGTTGTTGATTATATTAATTGTGTGATGTAAATCGATCGTTATTTAATGAATTTTGACATGTTCATTTCTATCATACAATATATTATAGAGTCCAACGGCATCTAATTCAAATAACAACAAAAACGATTTGATGTAATACGAATGAACCGTTATTTGTATTATTTGATGAACAACAATTGTAAAATATTATTGTTCTAATTTTTTTTTATTCTTTACGGAAACACCATCGCTATATGTAAAATGTCACTACTTTTTCAACTTATGAATATACATTTTAAGTTTTTATTTAGTCAAATGATTAAACTATTAAAAATATTATTATTATGCTTAATAACCAAAAGAGTTACAATATGTGAGTTGAAATAATTTTATTGATAACTCGTTAATGTATTCACGACATAGGTTGTCGAATCTTTTCTTCAACTACGGTTATAATTTAAAATTATGATGTAAACTCCTATTTCTTATTGAGAAAAATAATCATCGAGAAAAATAATACACATCTATCAATCAACATCAATTTTTTTCTTCAAACGATTATAAAAAACGTACCTCCATATGATAAATTCTAACTTATGTTAATCATATAATATAAATCAAAAGCTTTTCTTATTCTACTATGGACAAAATAATCTAAGTGATAGAAGTAATTAATTTTATATGATAAATTTTGAATTATGTTAATCATGTAATATAAATCGATGGTTATTTAACAAATTTGAGCATGTTTATTTTTATTATACAATAGTATTATAAAAAGCTTAATGATATTTCACTCAAATAACGATAATAGCAAGATTATATAATGGTATCAATCGTTATTTGTATTAATTTGTGAATTAACTATCGTTTTATTGTTTTTTTTGTTTAAAACAAACTTTCAATTTTTTAAAGAAAAACCAACGGTCGACGTAAAATGTCACTACTTCTTCAAATACTAAATGTATTATATAAGTTTTCATACAATCAAACCATTAAATTTTTAAAAATGTTATTATTATACTTAATAATTAAAATCATTAGAATATGTGAATTGTAATAATTTATTAATAATTCTTAATGGTTGTCATTTACTGTAATGTAAACTCCTCTATCTTTTTCCTATAGTCTCTACCTTTCCCTCGTGCGAGTGTGAGTGTAAGGTAGAACAGCAAAAACATCTCCCTCACGCGTATGTTATACGGGTGCTACAAATCTGCTGTTCACTCGGCTTCAGGCACAAAAAGCCTGCCTATTTCTGTTAGCTTCTCCTAATTAGCTAGTAATTAGTACCACTAACCACAACGTAACTCCATGTTTTATTATATTATTTCCTACTACTTCACCTATATATCCATTCTGTAGCAACCTCCTTCTCCACACCCTTTTCACTTCCCATGCTGCCTAGCGTAGCCTGTTTTTCCTTTTCTTCTCCTCTTGCTATCTTCATCGATACTTAGAGTTTCATAGATGGAAAGAGAGCAGGAGCTGTTGTCCACTGAAATTGTGAACAAAGGGATAGAGAATTCTGGTCCATATGCTGGATCTTTGAATTTCTCCGTCAGGGTTCGACGAGGATTGCCGGATTTCCTCAACTCAGTTAACTTGAAATATGTCAAGCTAGGATATTCTTATCTTCTTAGCCCTGTCTTCTATTTCCTAACAGCACCGGTTTTTGTAGTGATCTTCAGTGCTCAGATGGGAAAACTCTTCATCTGGCAAGATTTCTGTCCAAAATGTGACCCCATGGATGCACTTTTTGTTGTGGGATTGTTGGGTTTAATTATTTACATTTATCTTGATTTAACCCCACGCTCTACTTATCTAGTCGACTTTGCCTGTTATCGTCCACCGTATGAGCTCAAGGTAGTCAATCAACTTCTACTTCTACTTCTTGCAGATTATGATATCTATCAGGAATCATCATCTTATCAGCAAAAACTACACATGTGAAATGATTCACTGAATAATAGTAATCTCTTGTCATGTTGTGTGCAGATTTCCAAGGATGAATTCGTTGAGCTGGCGAAGAAATCAGGCAAATTTAATGATGCTGCAATCGAATTTCAGCACCGAGCTCTCAAGAATTCTGGCATTGGAGATGAGACCTACATGCCCAGAGTAGTTTTTCAACCTGGGCACAAGATAACACTAAAGGATGGCCGTGAAGAGGCAGCAATGGTCATGTTTGGAGCGGTAGATGACCTTCTTGCTGCCACAAAAATTAGGCCTAAGGACATAAAAATTCTTATCGTCAACTGTGGGATCCTAAATACTACCCCATCACTCTCGTCAATGGTAATAAATCACTACAAGCTTAGTCATAGTATTCAAAGCTTCAATATCGGTGGCATGGGATGTGCTGCTGGCATTATCGCTATTGATCTAGCTAAAGACCTTTTGAATGCATATCCTGGGTCCTATGCACTAGTAGTGAGTACAGAAGTGGTGAGCCATACATGGTACGGTGGCAGTAATACCGACATGCTCCTCCCTAATTGTTTCTTCAGAATGGGCGCAGCAGCCATGCTCCTATCCAGTCGCCGCCTTGATCGATGGCGCTCTAAGTATGAACTGAAGCAGGTACTACCTGTATATTTTTTCTTTTTCCTTCAGACATATATAAATTTGACTCATCGCAATATAAAGTCCCTATAAATATGTGCTGTCCCTATAATTTTGTGCTAATCAGTGAATTTAAAGTGTCATACTTGTCAAAGAAGAGCCTATTAACATTTCACATTTGCTATACAGCTGGTTCGAACTCACAAAGGCATGGACAACAGAAGCTTCAAAAGCATACGTCTCAACGAAGATGCAGAAGGGAAGCAAGGTCTGTTGGTTAGCAAGGATCTGGTCGAGGTGGGAGGCCATGCACTCAAGGCCAACATCACCACTCTAGGCCCTTTAGTCCTCCCTGTATCTGAACAAGTTCATTTTTTCACTAATTTGCTCTTCAAGAAAAAAACCAGACCTTACATTCCAGACTACAAGCTTGCTTTTGAGCATGTGTGCATCTTGGCAACTAGCAAAAAGGTGCTAGATGAATTGCAGAAGAACCTGGAGCTTACAGAGGAATACATGGAGGCATCAAAGAAAACTTTGGAGCGATTTGGGAACACTTCGAGTAGTAGCGTCTGGTATGAACTCGCTTACCTGGAGGCAAACGCGAGGATCAAAAGAGGCGATAGGATCTGGCAACTTGCTTTTGGTTCAGGGTTCAAGTGCAACAGTGTTGTTTGGAAGGCACTTTGGAGTTTTGGGAAGCCTAAGCGGAGTCCTTGGATTCAGGATTCTAACTAGAGAGAAAAGGTGGGGTGAAACAATAGCTATACATATATAAGGAGATTGTTTAGGTATTTTTTTTATGTATTTTCAGGACACGTATACTTAAAAGGCCATTACTACAATCTCAACAATGCATCTCGGGAAAATTGCTTAAAAAACAAAGGTCCCCGAATCACTTAATAGGTTATGTTTGGTGGGTGGGAAACCAATTCTAGAAATCTAGTCTATTACTAATTGGAGCATAGAACTCAACAGTCACAATTGACACTGTATATGATTACAATACATACACCTTAGCTTAGAGGGTTAACATTCAAGTTCCAAGCAGTGATAGTCAACAGCTTTGTGTTCCCACAGTCGAGAACATTAGATACAAAATTCAAAATAGATGAGGAGTTAGAAATTGATACTACTTAGTGCAGGCGCCCATTGGATTTGCATTCTTGATTATCCAAGGGTGCTCCAAGATCTTCTGAAGAGACAGCCTCTTTGAAGAGTCCTTGACCAAAAGCTGAGAAAATAAAATTACCCAGATCACATATTGAACTCCACAACTATGCAATTCCATGGTCAGACACTATTAGTAAGGCAATACGATCATTCTCAAACAAACTTTACCCGGGTGATGAGGTTCTTGGCTTCTGCAGAGACAAGAGGAGTAGAAGGGAAAGTCAGATCAACCTTCACAATCCTGCATTACAAAAATCACTTTCCACTTAAATCTCAGGTCACTTCTATACTCAAACCAGACCAAACAATCCATTAAAACACAACCTTCCCACCTTCTGAACGTATCGCGCTGACTCTCCGCTTCAAAGGGAGGAGCCCCATAGAGGAACTCATAGCAAAGAATCCCCAAAGTCCAGTTATCAACAGCATAATCATGAGCTTTGTTCTCCACCATTTCTGGTGCCAAGTAATCCAAAGTTCCACACATGGTGTGCCTCTTGATCCTTGATTGCACAGACCACCCGAAATCCGCAATTTTCAATCGACCCTACAAATGTTAGCATCCAAACAATGTCCTTAAATTAAGGACAATTATTTCTCACAAATTTAGACGCAAAAACAAGTAACTCACCTCATGATCAAGCAACAAATTTTCTGGCTTGATGTCTCTATGAATCACGTCCTTTTCATGGCAATACGCCAACGCATTAGCCAGACTAGCGACATACTGAAATTAAATTGACAATTAAAAAAAAAATCATAATGATCAGTAAAAAGAACCCAAAAAAAAAAATTAAAAGAAAAAAACTGAGAGAGAGAGGGAGAGACAGACGGTGGCGGCTTTTCGCTCGGAGAGATAACCGCACTTTCTAAGCTCTTTAAAAAGTTCACCGCCGTGAGCGTATTCAAGAATCATGAAGACGCGTTCTTCGTCGTGAAACCAGCCGTAGAGACGGAGGATGTTAGGGTGATTAAGACTGGTTTGAATCTCCATTTCTCTCTTCAATTGGTGATAAATGTTGTATTTCTCGATTTGTTCCTTGAAAATTACCTTTAATGCCACAATGTATTTGCTTTTAACTTCTCTGGCTAGATACACCCGCCCGAATTTGCCTCTCCCTAAGGGTCTTCCGATCTCGAAGTCGGCTATCGACCATCCCTTTCGCGCCGCCTCTGCCTTTTCTTTGGTTTTGCTCTTCTCTTCTTTCTCTGCCATTTTCGAAGCTTTCTGCTCTGAAAGTTGGGTTTTTTCGATTTTCAAGTTCGTTCTTAGCCCGCCCATATGAAAACGCACCGTTTCTACTGGGCTTTTGATTTTTTTTTTATTCCTAAAAACATGAAATATACAATTAAGAAAAAAAAATAAAGTGAAGTAATCCGTATCAGATATAAATAAATAAATAAATAAATAATTTTTTTCTTTTAAGAAGGAAAAAGAAAGGGGTTCTTTTGAATTCCAGTTATGGAACTGTCAAGGTCATATTGAATTTTTTTGAAGAATTTAATATATAAAAAAAAAATAATAATAATATAGAAAAATTAAGACTACAAGGACCGAAACACTTGCTTTTGAAACAAGACAGTGACAAAAATAACTTGTCACTCATGCTCATAAAATTTGAAATTAGCGTTACAAAGAAATTAATATAGAAAAATTAAGAGTATAAGGACCAAAATACTTGTTTTTGAAACGAGGGATCTACGAAAACAACTTGCCACTAACGGTAGAAAGGACAGAAATCTTAGTTAGCCGTTAGTTTGGATTTAAATTTTCAATTAGCTTAATTGACGGTGCAGAATCAAGATCTTCCTTTGTAGTAGAACGAGGTACAGCAAGGTTTGTTTTAAGGATTCTATTCGAGTATGAGAATATCTTAAACAAGTGGAAAGAAATCTTTTTCACGTTTATTAATGCATTCCCATTTCGAATTTTTTATACCTAAAAATCTTTGTCTACATTACTTGCTTGTTCGTATCTGTAATCATCATAGCTTCTGGTTCAGAACCTTGAGGAAGAAGAAGAGAAGTTTTGGTCAAGCAAACATTCCTCATGGATGTTTAGCAATAACTTTGGGGGAAATTAAGGTACATTGTCCAGCCCAGACAAGTATAATACATATAAGACCTCCATTCACAAACTTCATTTTATAATTAAGAATGCATATAATCAATACTTCTAAAGTTAAATTTCATCATGCAAAAGAGAATGATTGTCTTGTTGATTCCGAAATCGATCTTGGCTAGCTTCCCTTAGAATGTCCTACAGACTCAAATTAATGGGAATAGTTGAGGAAAACTGCTGCCTTCAAACGTTAGGAGCTTTGAAGTTTACACAATAGTTAGGAAAAATAGGATGAGACCTGCAACCAAACCTAGTGCCTTCTTGGCTCGTCCGAGTGTCTCTGCCGCACCTCCATAGTATGGCTGAATCATTATCTCAAATCTGCAAGTTGAAGTAGATGGATCTGTCTTGGTTATTGTGGAAAGGTTTGGAAACTTGCATGCATCGTCATGTTGATCCTGCATCTGGAAGTAACTGTTAAATGCATATGAAATGTTCCCCCAAGCATTCAAATCTCCACATGATGTCCCATAACCAAGGCTAGTGCAGTCACCTAGTCCGCAGGCATAGCTTACACTTGGTGCCACTTGTGGGTCATCAAGCTTGGCTGATTGCTTCATCACACACCATTTACGGCCCTGGTACTGGACTCCTTTTGCTGGAATTAAAGTTCCAGCATTTGTTGTGCCAAGGTTGAGGGCGTATTTGGGTATTCCATCAAATGTAAATATCCCCCAGTGCCGTTCAAAGTTCCCAGGATCAATACTTTTTGCATCCTCATCAATCAAACTAAACAAAAAGGCATTAATACCAGTATTAGGCCTCATTGGGGTCCCTTTCCCACTTGAAATATGTGACATGAAACCTTGGTTGAACCGCCGGGCATATTCTATGTTAGCATTCCTGTCTCCATCAGTTGGCCATCCAATCTCTCCAACAATGATAGGCAAATTCGCAAACCCGTTCTTTTGTAGAGCATGCACGAGAGTATCATAGTTAGCATCAAACATGTTATAGTAGGATGCGCCACCATCATTTACAGGATTTGCATTGCCATCAAAGAAGGCATAATCAACCGGGAAGTTGGAATCAGTGTAGAGGCTTATGAAAGGATAGATATTCACAGTGAAGGGGGCAGTGGCATCGTTTAAGAATTTGACGATGGTAAGCATGAGATCACGGATATCAGCTCGAAAGTCACCATCAGAAGGAAGACCACTTGAGCTCTCATAGACATCAGCATTCTGAGGGACAGTGACACTTACTGTACGGCCAAGCCCGGCTTTTACCAGAGCAGCCTGGACATTCTGGAGAGCAGGGAAGGTTGCTCTGAGAAAGCTTCCATTGTACGTTTGCAAGAAAGGTTCATTTCCAACTGCAACATATCTGTACAAGAATCATTATAAGTTAGGAAAAAAAAAAAAGCAAAATAATTATATTGTCAAGTCATGTCCATATTTCTGAACCTAGTGTCAAGTTTTCTCATGACCGAGTGCAAAAGCATAAGCCTATGGGAACCATTTTTCATTTCTTATAAACCTCCAAAGGTTTCATCACCTCTGTCTAGACAAAATAAAATTAAATTGAAATTACATTTCATGTCTAGGCATATACAAACCTATGAATCTGAGATGGCCATGACAAGTTCCAGGACGTGCAAGAGAAGTATATGTGCCAGTCCAATCTACTAAAGACCGTCATTACCATGCCATATATCCAGAAAGCACAAACATTTTTATCTTTTTTTTTTTTTTTCTCCCGGACAGATTATATCAGCCAAATACATAAAGATGCCAATGGCATCATGCTAATGATGTCACTACTAGTTAATACTGCATGCACTTGCTTTTCAAGAGCCTTTTTTAGAGATGAATTTCAGGACAGTTTCACATTCAGGGTAACATAAATTAGCAGAAAGCACAAGTGATTGTATTGATGAATGGAATCTGTTCAAATGAATGTTCACATTTGATTATATGAACAGTGATAGAATGACTTGAACTGCATTTCTGCATGTTTAAATATGAGATTTCTACAAGAAAGAAAGAAAGATCAACAAAGAAAACAGAGCCACTAACATCTAGTCTGCTGAAAATAGAAAGCAAACGGACCACAAAGTTCAGTTCGACCAATAAGATCCCATACCATTAATATACTAGAGGTGATTGTTAGGAGTTGTTGGCTTGGGTTTGTAGTTTGATTGGTCTCTTGTATTTGTTGGAATTTTTGCAGGCCAGGTGGCATGACTTTGCTTTGCCCAATTTGCTGCCCTTTCTACACTTTGATAGTTCAATTTCTATCCTGACATTAAATTTTTTTTTTACCTAAATGGACAAGGGAAAACCAAAATCCTTAAACAGAAATCACAAGAAACTTATGAAAACTGAAGGCCTTGTGGGAACCTAAATGGGGATTGCACTCAACCAATTAATGTTTGGAGTGCAGAAGAGTCAGAAAAGCCCATGATGCTTCCCTCAATCAAGTTTATGTTAGTCCAATGCATCAAAAATTATTCCAGTTCATTCTTCTCACATGAATCAAAGCCAGGACAAAAAGATAAGATTTCTTATACAACTCTTTTGGGACCGAACATCACCATCCAATGGACAACATTTGAGGAAAGAGCATGGAATCAAAGCCAGGACAAAAAAGATGAGATGTCTTATTCAACTCTTTCGGCACCGAACACCACCATCCAATGGACAACATACGAGGAAAGATCATGGAATGAGGTAGATGAATGAGAAAAGATGTCTTATTCAACTCTTTCGGCACCGAACACCACCATCCAATGGACAACGTATGAGGAAAGAGCATGGAATCACCTAACAAATGCAATAAATCATGACTAAGAATGAGGCACGAATTTCACTTCAAGAAGGGACCTGAGATCCTTCCAATACCAAAAAGGAGCCACATCAACTCCATAACACGTTTGCAGATGAATGAGTTAGACAGTAGAAAGTCTCGATATGTTCTGGAGAGCATATTAGGAAATCTCTAAGCAGGAACTAAGGCAAGTGACTAACTTTTATCCAATGGAGCTCATAAAACTACTTCTTGATGTAGCAATCCCCAACATAAATAACTTGTAAAGAAAATGAAAAGCTGTAAGGTAGATCAGTTAAAGGCAAATTCACATAAAGTGCCAAACATCAAACACACCCCCACAATTATGTAGCCAAGTTACTTTCATAGGGTTATCTATAGGCTGTATCAAATAAAAAAATATATCCAGAACAAGGACCAATTTGTCGCTGTTAAGATGGCACATAGTCATTTAGTTAATCCAAATTCTAATTGAAAAACTTGAGGAGTATATGACTGTGTTTGGTCAGTATGCAATATATGTTTAGGTACCACATCAAAATGTACAGATGAAACCTGTCACCAATTACAAAAGGGCTTTAGTTAATTTCAAATTCTAATTGAAATCTTTTGCAGAATATGACCTTGCTTGGTCAGTCTGCAATAAATCAATAGGGACCACAGCATACTTAAAAATAAATCTGCCACCAATTAAAAGGGGGCTTTAGACATCATCACAGAAAAAATTGAATGAGGCAGATAGAGAAAAGGCTCTTAAAATGATGAAGGCAAGATATAATGATATCCTAGTATCTAACTTACTACATCTAATCTTGGAATTTCACCACATTTGGAATTGACAGTTACTGATCATAAGACCAAGCAAACTCAACACAACTAAAGATAAATTATCACAATAATGGCCAAGAAACAGTTAAAAGGAAGAACAAAAAACAAACAAATATATATAAACATAAAAGCAAGAGTAAATTTGACCTGATGTTGACATTATTTTTGGTGACATGTGTGGAGACATTAACGGAAACCCATTTCTCAGCAGCCTTCATGCTAGTAGCCAGAGTAGCAAGCATGTCATTTGGGATACCAACCATGACCTCAATCCCACTCTTACCAAGAGCTTTTAGAGTATCATAATCTGCATCAAAAAGCTTAACCTTTTGGATTCCATTTTCCCTAAGTAGCCTCACCACAATTGCTGGATCCAAAGGGTGGCTTGCTTGCGTTCCCCAGTTGGCACCTATGGTCATTGCACCACTCACCATCGAAAGAAATGAAACTAATCCAATAGCCAAATGATACAACCCCATTTTTTTCTTTTCTTCAAACAAAGGGGCTAAGCTTCTCTCTACAAGTAAAAACCAACTCCTTGAATCAGAGCTGGAGTAGATAGTGGTAACAATATAAGGTGTGCTTAAGAATCAGTCTCAAGTTGACAAACAAATCTCACTGGAAAGTACTAAAACAGGGTATTAATCTTTCAGTGGCAAAACAATAATAGAAACCCCAGATGCATAAGTAGCTAGAAGAGTAGGAGGCCAATCAAATCAAGCTATGAAGATTAGGATATATATGTGTATAAGTATTAAGTAAAACTATAAAGCAACAAGCTTTACAGTAGTAGAACTTTCACATCTGAAGACAGAAATATTGGCATTAGCAAGAGCATGTCTTCCATAAATCGCAAGGGATATAAAAGAGAGACTTGTCACCTGAAGTGCCAATGATTAAACAAACAAAACTTGAAAGAGAGACAGTTACAGTGAAGAGAGGGGGATAAAGCTAAACAAAGAAACAATTAGAACATAGATAAAGAAGCAGGGGGAAGAAACAGTAAAAGCTTAGCTTAAGACAAGACCAAACTCCCAGGAAAGATTTTCGAACATAAGCTAGGTTAAGCAAGTAAATAAAGATAATGGGTTGTTTAAGTGGTTAACTAACTAAAGTAACTGAAATTAATGATAACTAGGAACCAGAACCAGATTCATAAATAAGAGAGCACACAGACAGCAAAACCAAAACCAGAAAAAAGTAAAGCAAATATAGATAAGTTGGGGTTTACGAAAGGGTGGAAAGGGAAAGAGAGAGGTGTATCCAGCGGGGATATGAGATCACCAAGTAGTTTAGGATCCTGTTCCTGTTGAAGCAAACATTACTAACCAGACTAAAATTAACTAAGGTAGAACCTGTTAGAGTTTTAGCACTCAAGAAAGAATCTGTCCATCCAATCTATGAAGATGATCCATCAAAAAGCAGCAGAACAAAACGGCACAAAACCACGCACTCTCTGACTGGGCACCTGGCCTACAACTGAGCAAAGGTTGAGAGATAAAGAGAGAAGGAGTGATAGCCCTTGATAGGGACAACCAGACAAGTATCTCAAAAAGAAAGAGAGAGAGAGAGGGACAGATAGATGAGGTGTCACATTATTAATATTAAACTATGAAAACTAAAACTAAAAAGAAAAGTGTAATTATAAATTAGTGCCTATAGTTTATTCAAACTAATTTATTAGTCCATGGAGTATCAAAATTGACCATCCTCAAACTCTATTCGGTAATTTTCTGTTCCAAAATCTAAATATTTTCTATTCTTTCTTGATCGAATTTCACTAATTACTTATCTATCTTTGATTTATTCTATTTTTCAAAAAATAAAATAGAAAAGAAAATTAAATTTTGAAAATAACATGGATTTGACGAAAGTACTTCGTAATTTTTTTTTCAATCATTGCTTTTTGTTTGATAATCGGAGAAAGGTAAAGAGAGAGAGATTGGGACGTTTTCTCATTCACGATCCTTCAGGACTCGCCTCCTTGTACTGCTCTTCCTAAAAACTGGAATTAGATGCATGGATTAGATATACATTTTCTGATAAGGACTAATTAATTGATTTGATTAAAATAAAAGGACTAAGTTATAATTAACTAAAAAGAAAATGAAAATAAAATCTTGGGTTGGGTGTCTGTCTGTCTGTCTGTCTGTGCATTAGCAACTAGCAAGGCAGCATTTGGCAGGCATCTTTCTCGCAGCAATGTAACCATACTTTGGCCCTCCATCTCTTCAACGGCTACTTCACGTTGTCCCATGTCCTTGCTCTTTAGAATCGGTCACCAACCTAACCGTGTTCCGACCACATCTTATTGTTCAGAGATCAAACCCGACTGTTTTTCTTAGACCAATTTCGGATGGAACCTAGTCTTGTTTTGCAGGTTATTTGCTAGGATAGGGTTCAATTTCCATGTACCCAGAATAATAATAATAATAATAATAATAATAATAATTCAAGATTTCTAGAATGCGATCGATGGTTACCTTTATTATAACATAAAAGTCAATTATTCCTGTCATTCTTTAAAGAAATTTAGGATTTTTAATTTTACTTTGTAGGCAAACGAATAATTAAAAAAAAAAAAAATTCCATGGAAGCCTTGTCACACATGAACCTATTTATTAAAAAGAAAAGGAAAAAAAACAAAGAAAGAAAAGAAAAAGGATCTGATTAGTGCTATTGTAGTCGTTGTGAAAGCAACTTTATCATACCATAAAGGATCGAGAGGACAGGTAGTAAAACAAGGAATTCGATGTTCTCTTTCTTCCATGGAAGGAAAGATGGAGATGTCATAAAGTTCTAGAGAACCTCCTAATGTCCGAAAATTACTAGGTCCATACACGTTGGTTAGATTTGATCCAACTCAAATATCCTATCACTTGACATTTATGCAAATTAATAATCTATTTGTTTAAATAATAATTCTTCTTTTTCTTTTTAAAATAATTATAAATATTTGTAGGATAATTTATCAACATGTTTCTTTCCACCATAGAGGATATATGTTTATATATTACAAATAATATCAATGCATGTTATAAACCAGCTGGTAATTGACATATTTTTACTGTCATTGAGAGGCAAACCATCACTCTCAGATAAGGTGGAATGGAACTAATTTCTTTCGAAAAAGAGCAATTTTTTATTGTCGCCAAGTGAACAAATCATTTTTCTTGAGTCACCATACACCAAGAAGCAAAATGCAAGCCAGTCTGAAATTAAAATAATTGGAATAGTTATTTTCTTCCTCGACAAACCCATCTCATTCTCCCAGGCAACACGCAGCCCTCCAGTGATAGATAGATAAGCGTCATAACCTGCAAAAAGTTTCAATTCACTACGTCCACAATTAATGTACAATTCGACTGTTAAGTTACAAATTTTTGCCTAGAGGTACAAATTCTAAACAGATCAACTATTGGGTGAGAAAGCATGATTGTACAAGACTCAAGCAACCGCAACGCGATACTCTAGCTCGTTGGCTACATTCCTATTTCCTCTCTGATTCACTAACATTTGGATAGATTTTTGCTGCCTTGAATGGAAAACAAAAGGGTGTATGATGAAAATGCTATACGGGGAAGAAAATTGCATAATCATTCCCCTCAAACTAACTTTATAGGTCTTCATGGTCAATCAATCCCGCACAGGCTCGCAACCAACACCTCCACCCAGAAATATTAATTAATCTTGGGTTTTGCTCGTCTAGGCTTTAGAACAAAATAAAGAACACCAACAACAACCAAGAAGGCAGGAACGGTTGTCATATCAATCACCACATGTACTTTTCGCTCTCTTGTGCAGTGAATTGGGTGAAGAACTGCTATAGTTGCATTCACTTGATTAGCAAACCTGCAAGAAAAATGAGGTTGCTAAGTTCATAAAATAGCCAGAAATATCAGTTGTAAGCTCAGTTCCAGCCAACCACATTGAAACAAACAAAACAGGCATAGCTAACATAATGTTTGATATACTCGAGGCTTTCGTCTACCTACAAATCTGAAACAAATGTAAGAAGAAATAGAGAAAAACAAATTTAAAGAATTAAAATGCAAGCAGGTGAAACTGCCAGAATTATGTCCGGTCATCGATATGTATCAGAAGCAAACAGGGCCTTTCCAGCTAAATGTCAGTTTCAATAGTGCAACACACATTTCTTCGAGGTTAGATTTAATAAGGAAAGAAAATAGAAAGAATAAGGTCAAGAGTGCCTAACCTTTCAGATGCATCCTCTAAGGTATAAAGAAGTCTCATTGCATCCATGTAACGCAGCTCCCCATGAATAGTTGAAATCTGACAGACAGCCAAATATATTATTACATAAATCAAGCAGGTTCTTCAAATATTACGGACTTGAAAAACCCTTTAATCAAGGAACGAGCATGCTTACTCTTCTCCAAAGGCTAACAACATAATTATACTTGTTCACAAGTTCTCGCTCCTCAGACTGAAACATTTTGAAGGTCTTTTCAGCTGGTTTCTGTCAAGTCCTTTTCCAAAGACAAATAACAATCACAGGTGCAACTGTAATGATAGATGCATGATGCATCTTTCAAGATTTATTTATTTATTTATTATCATTATTATTATTATTTTTTGAACATGTCAACTGTAAAAATATTTGAACTGTTGAATTTGACAGCCTTAATAGGTTCTATTGCAATTCACAGGCAAAGCAAATAAGGAACCTTGTTCTACTTAAACAAAGGGTGACAAGAAGCACTGGCTTATTAATGTCAATTTTCTAATTGATTGCACACCCTGAGCATTCCAATTCTGTACTGTCCAGGTGGAACTTTATAACTTAAAGTTATAGTAGATACAATATGAAAGTACAGATTGGATAGCAATGGATTCCGGATAAACGTGTCCCCAGATAAGTTGTGACTCCAATCAAAGTTAAGAAAATAGAAGGTAAAAACCTTGCAAATATTATAGAATGGTATGAATCATGGCATGCACGTGCAACTTTCCAGTTATTCAATTGCAACAAAACAACAAGGCAAGGATACATGTACGCTCCATAAGCAGACGACGAATCACTGAGTTGACCAGTTGTATTGATTCTTCAAGTGCTGTGATGATGTAGCTCCGAGCAATTGAATCAGAATGAAACTGTGATACGTGCCATCCTCGAGAAGTGATTGAGAAAGGATTGCATCCCACCGACCATACCCAATCCTGTCACAATGCAGATAACATTAGCTATTCAATTAGTGTGATAGGAGATCAACAATAAGAAAAAGAACAGGAATCTGAAGCACACAAGTACATGTGTGCCTACATGTGGCATTCATGTGCATCTGCATGTGTGAAAAACAAATGACACAAAATGTTCAGTTGCAGAAGAACATCTAACATTTAAATGAAGAAGGTGTTCAACCCTTCACAAGTCATGTGACTCACTAGTTGGATCTCCTGATATAATTCAATTCTTCAACAATTAGAATAAAAGGACCATTTTGGATCAATGAGAAAT